GAGCAGTATAGACCCAAACCCCGTGTAACAGTCACCCCTCTGTAACATTTCTCCAGACAGTTGGTGTACCTTGCGTAGATGACTCACGATGCTTGGCCAACTATCCAAGGCTACCTCGGACGAACACACCAGATTTGGGGGGAAACAGGTCGCTCTAAACTCGTGAAAATTACTGATATGGGCTATGAGTATATTTTTATTTTCACATGAATTTTGTGAGCCGCATCCTTCTAGGCATGGGGTTGGTATGAAGTCATTTACATGCTTCATCTATTCCATCCCTTCTTTGCCGCTAGGCTGAGTAAAGTTCCGATCTCCCTGTCTCATCTACAGCTTCATATCTACGTTTTGAGCCTGCTGAGAAGCTCACTCTCGATCCTTTGAGTTGTTCCATCTCGTCTGCACTTTTAGCAAAATGCATCGATGCGCTCGCCCGTTCGGAGCCTACCCAGACCCTCTATTCTAAAATTCGGAGTGGTAATCTTCTCATAGCAGTGTTATATAAGCACATGTAGGCTTAGGCGAACATTCAAGATTGCTGGTACTATCAGCTAACCGTTTCGCTCTTCAGAAGACTAAACCTATGCCTATGGTCCCTCCAAGGAGATCTTCGACCCCCTTACAGATGACAATATATCGTTCATTTCGCCCACTTGGGGATAACTCTTGATATTCTCCCAGACATCCTCAATAACCATGACCGCCTCATCGCTTAACTTCCCCTTTCTTGATGCCCTGAATCGTCTGCTCAATTTGTGATAGCTTACTTACACCAAAGAAAATACTATCTTCGTCGCCATGTAGCGCACTATGATACGCTACCCAGCGGTACGCAAGCTCAGCATTTGAAACACCCTCTTTCTTAGCTATTTCGTTCCACGTACTTAGCGACTCGCGCAAGTGCTTGTGGTCATACAGTTTGCTAAATAGTTCACTCATGACATTCTCATTGAACCGACCAACACCTGCGTCTATGTCTGCAATCGACTTGGTCAGGAAGCCACCGGTAATGGCTTAATACGCGTAGAAATGAATACCGAGCTTGCGGAGCGTAGGGAGAAATTCTGTCTCTCCATACCGGTAAATCGGATTATAGTGGCCTGGGTATACCTGAGGAAGTGAGTATCCCTTTGCCTTGGCGATATCGTAGACTTCTTGGACCTGCTTAGCAGTATAGTTGCTTAGTCCAAAGCGGCGGAAAGCACCCTTCTTGTAGGCTTCGTTTATGCCCTCAAGCGTCTGTTCAATAGGAACCGAGTCGTCAGGCTCATGGATGTACAGAATATCAACTTAGTCAACCTCCAGGCGCTTGACTCTTGTGTATATTTGAAAACGTCATCTTTCGTGACTGAGCCAGGGATATTGCCGTCAGGGAGCTTGGTATCAATAGTGAACTCCTTCGGCTTCTCGAGCTGACCAATTCCGGCTTCAGATTCAGGATAAACATATCCAGTGTCGATATTGTTAACACCGTTCTCGAGGAGTATCTTAGAAACGTAATTTCGCTCTTCTAGTGTCTTGAAATATGCCAGATCAGATAGGTTCGACCTATTTTGGCTTCAATTCCATAACACTACGAATTACGCCAGCTGATGCGCAATGTCACAATCGTTCGTAGCTCGATGTAAAGCTACTATTTATAGTGTACTAGAAACGCAATTCATGTACTAACTCAAAACCTTAGTTCCAATCGTAGCTTGGACGCCTCTGGAAAGTTACCATGGGGTCGCGGCTCGCCACCCACCTCGCGTATGCTGACTAGAGGATAGTTTCTGATTCGAATATCGTCAACAAGCGGACTCATTTATAGTACAGTTGTCATACATGCTTATCAACAAGTGAAGTAGGTAAATTTAAGGTCTCCTTAAGGGAAGCTGCGCACACACAATGGGTAATTGAGTTCGTTAGCATCTAGTCCTAAGATACAAGACTTATTTCACCAAAACTAAACCTAGTACTCCATCACGGTGTAGCCGACTTCCTCTTAAGACTTTTTGATGGAAGCTAACCTGTATGGTCTTTGATCTCAAATTTGGCAAACACGCATATAGTATGCCTTTAGAGAGCCAGGAAAGTCGGCGTAGAATGGCCACTATCATTATGGCTGCCCGGTGATACTAGCGGGGCAGGATCGCGAGGGTGGATGCTTCAAGTCCACATTGCTGTGAGGGCACAGAGCAGGCGCCTGCGGTCCCGTCGCAAAGCAATGATCGTAGACACCTATCAATTTATACCATTAGTCTCCGAAATAATGTAGTTTTTTCCAGCGTTGTAGAAGAGAGATTATCTTACCAGAAGGTCCGCATGGATTCCTGTCTCCTCCCTTGCAAGTATCGGATGGCACAACCGGTACGTGAATTTCGATGAACGACCTAGGCCCTTTAGAACAGATAAAACCATTCGTGCCCACATTTGCAATCTAGTGGCTCAGGGAAGAAGCGTTAGTAAAGAAAGTAAGAGAGATAGTAGAAAGAAAGTTGGGTGAATCCACACGATTGCGTGGCTCAAGAACTTACATATCCCCAACCTTTGATCACACCGATCCGTGGAGTAAACACGGAATAGCAAGGATAATTGCCGCCATCAGAGCAAGCAGCAGTATATGCGACTGTTGTAGCAGTTCTATCATGTGCATCACAAGTAGTTAGCCAAGCAACGTCCATCTGAAAACACTTTTAAAGTCCCATCTCTGTCCTGAGAAAGACGAAGAACCTACCCCCAAGTGTACGCAAAGCCGACACGAAGGCCGATTTTATCGAAAATAGCGGGACCAAATTTTAGATCAGGACCGACATTAACATTGATGGAATACGTGTAGGATATCGTTCGCGAGTTGGTCACACTGCCGGGTGGACACAAAGGTTCCGAGATGCGCCTCGGGAGGCCGAGGTGCTGGCTCCATTCGCTGACTTCGAAGAAGGGCGTGGGCGTGACTTTGTTATCGTTATACTTGGTGCAGCACGGATCACCGAGACAAATGTTCTGGCCCATCTTTGATTCTTTGAGGGGATCAGGCTTAGGGGCGCTGTTTTTGTAGAGGGCTCTGAGCTCTGGGGTGATAAGTCCCGTGTATTTGAGAGGGCCCTGGGTGCCCTTGCCGGACTTTTCGACTTTGGAGTTTTGGAGTAGTTGGTCGATGGGGACCTGGATGTTCTTGGTTTGGGCTCGGGGGTCAAAGAGAGAAGTATGGGCTGAGGCAGGATCAGAGAAGACGCTCAAGAGAGCGATGGCCGCAATGAGAACACGCATGGCTGGTTTGATTGATGTAGTTGAAACTTGCTGTTTGGAACTGATGCTTCAATGTGAGCAGTGCTGTTCTCAATACAATGATCCACTCCCTTATATACAGTTCCATCCCACGCTGAACTGCAAATCTTGCAATTGAGGTTGCGTGCTTCGCACATCAACTCGGGCATCTCGCAATCCTTACTACATTGTATCAAACCGTGCTAATTCTCCCCAGGCTGTATACGATCCAACAAGTAGCTGGCTTCCCTTCCCCCACGCGAATATCAACTTCTCAATGAACAATCCACTTGTGCATACTCTTCACAACACGTGTATGGTATCTGCTGGGATCAACAGATCAGCTGCAAAAACTTCTCGTAGTGGGAGTTCCCAAATCTTATCACTAAAATTATAGAAATGCCATGGCTGGGGAGAAAATGTTGTTTTCAGGCCTCCATGGACCATCTACCTTGCACTTGTATACAAGTGTTGTCGAATTGTATGTCCGTATAGCAGAACGTGAACCCCCACGGGCAGAACTTTATTATCCCTTGTAGATAGAATATCAGCACAAACGGGGCTTGAATATTACTCTCCGTAGACTCTTACATGGATTTCAACGGGCTTACTGCGGAAGACTATTACCTGGTCTTGGAGATGTACTTTTCGGTCCTATCTTATCCTTCTCACGCGATCATATACGCCTACTTGATCCTGAATCACTATTGACTAAGAGAGGGAAAAAGGTTAGAGATAAAAACAAAGGCAAATGGTTATGTCACTAATCATATGTAGAGCTGCGAGCCAGTGTAATTGCTCCTACGGCGGCTTCTTGACTTTTTCTTAAGGAGTGTGAGCTTATGGAGTCCGCAGAGTAGCTGCGCGATTAACCAAGCCCTAGGTAAGCTTAATTCACTTCAACATTCGTTTGCTAAAATTCAACCTCTTCTTCTTCCACAAGGAGCCCTGGTAATATTCGAGGGGTATGTTGGCAGTGAGCTCTCAGATTTAAGCTAAGCTTCTCTGTTGTTAATGTGTTTGATATATCTACCCCTGTCTTACTAAGCGCCGACCTGGTTATTTACTTCGTGATACGGGGAAACAGTATGTAAGCTGCACAGATCAGTTTCTCGTGTACCTTAAGTGACGAGTGGGCTGGGTCACAGAGAGAGCGCAATATGCAGCATATGAGAGACTCTAGGACTCGATTCTTCAATTCTTCATCAATTTCTTAAGAACTGATTTCGTGGACACCGTGTGTACAGTGCGGTTGCGGAGTCCCGCGTTGATCTTCGACAAAGTCTATTTTAGATGATGTGGGGGTGGGGGATGCGAGCGATCTCCTGCAAGCACATGTTTCGTCACGGCGCCTTTACCGGCATATATTCGGGGGCAGGGGCAGCATTCTGGTGTAGATGAGTAGAGCATTAGGCTCGGTCGGTACGTGCTAGGTTTGCTAACCAGTTGATGTGATTGTTCAGTCACTATGTGCTGACGGTTTTCAAGTTGCTGTCACTTTTATTCGGTATGGTGCTAATCTCAGTCTTTAGACGCAAGACTTCGTTCGTATTCAAGCCTTCTTTGCCAGTGATGCGCTAGACATCTTGTTTTTTGGTAGCACGCTGGGAAGAGCACTCTTTGTTGCAGTAAAGCAGAACATTTCTGGAGTGGTCAGTGCAAATAATGAAAGCCCTCCCGCCTGCGTCATGGCATCGCTTGTACAAAGTTTATGTCAGTGCGTCCGTAGTACCGGGCTCCGTAAGACGACATCGGTCCTCGGGTGGTAAGATAAAGAGACACGTTGACCTGCTCTCGCATCTGACTGGTTCAGTATGCCAAGTGACATGTAGTAAGACGGTTAAAGTGGCCCTAGCACATTGGAGCAATGTCAGAGGCCTTAGATGTCCTCTCCGCCGACTTTTAGTAATACACCAATAGGACCTTGCCTGAAGGATAGGAGAATAGCATATTTGGAATTTTTAACTTGCAATTAGTTGGTGAAAAGAATACTTCCCAAATTGACAGTAAAAGGACGGTCTTGATAAGCAAGTACAACTGAAGTTTTTTGAACGCCACGTGGTGATGTCATGATTGAGGAAACATACTTGTTGACTGAACTGGCTACACGCGAACGGGAGCGATGGAAAAAATTGCATTGGTAAAGAGAGGTAGTCAGCATCTTCCGTGAAAAGTTTGTAAAGCAATACAAGGCGACTAAGGGTATGTGAAGTGATGATATAAGAGGGATTTCACCGGATGTTGATTGAACGAGGAACGCATAATCAGCTAACACGCCTCGAATTCCAGAGGTGTGCTCACTTGTTAGGGTAGCAATACATCGCTGTTATTTTCTTCGTTAGATCAAGAAGAAAAGAAGCCAAAACCGATACTAACGGTGCAGAATTTGTGCAATATGTACATAGAACGGACTGATATTGCGGTGAGAATAATGATACGTAATCACACACTGCATAGCTCAGTCGCGATTACCAAACCTCGAAGAACACGGTACCAATACGAGCGCCAATTCATAAAATGCCGCGGCTTCCAACGCAGCAAAACATGGAATTTTTATCCTGTTACTGAAGTTGACAACAAGCATACTACTGCAATAGCTTATGCCACATAAGCTACCATCTCAATACTTCACACAACATTCCTCTCCTTCCATTCCCCCGCAACCTCAGCATATGTACACCACTCTACCACCCCCTCACTCTCCAACTCCTTCAACCACTTGACCACCCTCTCCACCATGCCAACAACATGCGCCATACCACTCGTATCGGGATGCAGCACTAGCGGGAAAACCACATCTTCACTCCCTCTTAGCCCTTCCTCAGCCTCACTCTTAATCCACTGGAACTTATCTTTCCACATATTCTCGATGACACGAACATCAACATAACCCTGTGAGTTGGGCGTGTTGGGGAAAAACTGCAGGGGCGTCATATCCTCGGCATACCAATTTGCCGGAATCTCGACGAGCGATCTGGAGGTCGGCGCGCCGGGACTAGGCAGCGGCTTCATCCAGTCTTTTGCTGATGCGGTATCGGTGTAGCTAGGTACTTCGATCGGGGGTAGCTTGGGTATGTAGTATGGCTTGCTGTCGTGGTGCGAGAGGCTGGAATCGTAAAGAAATCCGTATTCTTCCAGCAACTCGATTGTACTTTCGCGCAGCTGATAGAGTGGTGCGCGGTAGCCCAGCGGTCGCTTGCCGAGGAGTTCTTGGTATAGGCTTATGCAGTGTTCGAGGACTTCGCGTTCTTGGGTTGCTGTGAGTTGAGGTGCGCCCTCGTGACAGTAGCCATGTAATCCGATTTCTGCTCCGCTTTCTTTGATGGATGAAAATTCCGTAGGAAAGCTTTCTGCGCTATGCATTGGTACGAACCATGTTGTCTTGTTTGCTATGCCATGTTTTGCAAAGAGTTTGAGTAGACGTGGGACACCGACGTAGGCGCTGAAAAAGCCTGAACTATAGTCTGCGAGGTTGTTTGATGGGTTTTGACCGGTTCCTAGCCAGCCAGATACAGCATCAAAGTCGACTGATAGTAGGACTCTGATCTTTGGCTTGGAACTGTGACAAGGAGTACTCAAGGGCGAAGCCATCGGAGTAGGCATGGTCGAGGCATCTCTGCCAGTTAAGGAAACGCCTTGAGTAGCAGTGCCAAATGTCTCTTCAACGGCATCTGCTGGTGGTATCCCGGGCTGAGTAACAGTGTCATGCGATTTGCGAAGTTCGTCTTCTGACCACACGATTCGCCCTTCCATGCCACCGTCCACAGAAATGCACTGGCCCGAAATATGGCCTGCTGCACGGTGGCTAGCTAGGAAAGCCACTGCTCTCGCAACATCCGTTGGTTGTGCAATCTTTCGCAATGGAACACTAAACATATCAGGATATGGTTATAAGCGCCTTCGAATGGGACAGAAGATTTCGGTACATACGTAGCTTGAGCCTCCCTCCACAGCTCCTTGGGATCATCCAGTCTTCCCTCAATCAACTTGGTATCCACCCAACCCGGCGCTACGGCATTGATCCTCGCTTTTTCATTTAATCTCACAATCTCGTTCTTAACCGTCTTCACAAGGCCATACTGCAGTCCCGCTTTTCCGCTCGCATACTCGACATGTCCCGCCTGGCCAAAAACTCCACATTCAGACCCGGTAACCACAATACTCAGGTTATCAATCTCATTACCGGTCTCATTTTGGTATTTCTGGATGGATTTGAGAAAGTGCTTGATGGTTAAGAAGGTACCGCGGACGTTGACGGCATAGGTACGGTCCCACAAGTCGCTGGGCATGTCCCAAATAGGGTAGTTGCAAGATTCATCCGTGATACCCGCATTGGCGCAAAGTATACTTATGGGTTGGGAGAAGTGATCAACAGCTTTTGCGATTGATTCTTGGATGGAGGATTCGGAACTAATGTCGCCTTGAATGCAGTAAAGGTTGGGATCGGTCGAGGCAAGAGAGTTTGGAACAAGGTCGTGCGCCGTGACTTTGCAGCCTTGGGCTATGTTATTGTCAGTGGTTATGCACATTGCGGTATCAATGCTTTGTAGAGAAGACTACAGAGTACACGATTTTCTGCGCATTGGAATTGGCTTGTCACATACCTAGCAATTCATCCACAATTGCACTCCCAATACCGCCCGCAGCACCCGTACAGAAAGCATGCAACCCCTCGAGCTTGAGAAACGACATTGGGTACCTCGAAAAAGAAAACGTGTGGCTGTTTTCCACCGACCGCAAACGATATCCTGGCGATACTCCAGCTGGTGGTCTAACAAGTGCTAAGATGCCCAACACGACAGCGCGCCCACTTTTCTTGCCTACGTAATATACGAAACAAGGCAGGTACACATGTACAACTGCGCGATAAGCCCTACATACGCTATCAACGAGTCGCAGATGCACATGGCGGCCAAACATAGAAGGAGACAATAGATGCACGTCTTTTATCTGCGCATCCGCAACATGACATCAGTGTTTCTACGTAATACAGATGACATGCGAGCAATTACCCAAGCATCTTGCTCTGAAAGCTGAGGAAACATCACTTTCCCCTACTACAGCCATCAGTAGTAACAAGGACTCTGGACGGAGTCTTGTCGCAGGAAAAACACCAACCATCACCCAAAAACCCTCCTAGAACACACCGAGAAACCCCAATCCAAATAAAAACAACAATGTCACATACATAACGTCACCACACGTCCTTCGCCGTAGGCCAGGCTATTCCAAACCCCCCGGACTAATAAAACCATCGCCCGCCCACCGCACGAGCCCTCGCCGTCGCCCGCCGGGCCACCCACGAAATGCCAAGCAAAAAGCAAAAAGAACACAGAGGCGGCGCGCCACAAGGCTTTGCGGCTGCGCCAGCGCCCCCCTTCCCCCCAATCCCAAGACGTCCCCTTGTTTTTCCTTTGCCGTGCCGAACCCACCCATTGTGCGAGAATTGCCAGAAGAGGTAAGTTCTGTGTCAGGGTGTGGATTACTCAGGGCCGAAGGGCACGCGCTGATGGGGCTTGCCGTGACCAATGGGCGGGCGGTTGGCCATGGCCGGCGGGCGTGTTGTAATGCAAAGAGAAAAATGGCACGGAAGAGGGGGGGAAGGTGGGTTGGCCAATCGGGTATGTGCAGGAGGAATGGTGTACGGGACAGATGTGTAGGTAGACTGGTATTCTATTTCGGGGCACACACACACGTAGGGACACACGAATAGACATGGGGCACAGTGTTTGGTGCATGAACTGCGTGTCTTGATTGGTTTGTGAAATGGAATAGTATCTAACTCGTGGGACTCTGGGGCATGCCTGCGGCAAACAGTTGTTGGTACTACTTACTTTTCAACAATTGCGCCGTAGCTGATAAGAGACTTTTTATTTCTCATTAGGGGTGTGGTATCGTCAGCCATTCCTTTTTGTAGATTATAGAGTGATATCCTCAGAGCGGTAGTGGTCTGCGACGATGCGGTAGAGATATGAAGGTGCATGGCCACCACTATGACAATCAGCTATTGGCCCAATCAAATAGACTCTAGGAGACAACTTACAGGTTGGTAATGTAGAGATCCACAAGATCCGCAGGGACGTAGTCATATAGCGGATTCTCAACATCAACCTTGTCTACAAACTCGCCGTCGTCAAAAGGTACTACGCTGCCAGCATCGCCATACTCGATGAGCTCGTCAATGTCAAAAGGGTAAACAGGGCTGAGCTTGTAAACGCCGCTGAGCACTACCACGGGTGTTTGATGCTCCTTCGCTGCCTTTGCAATCATATGCGCTCCAGCGGCTGCAACAAGACCGCCGTTGGCCAGAACTGTGTGAGTAGCTAGTATGACCTTGTTGACGCGCGACATTATCGCAAACACGTGCGAATCTGGGATTACGTAGACTTGAATGCCCGCGTCAGTGAGTGGCTTCCACTTGTCATCGTCCTCATCATCGTCCGGGTTGGCCTCGCGCTTCTTGCCAGTAAGCAGGATTCCATGCGTAGCAGTGTGGTCGTCAGGGTACGTCTCGGCGTGTACAACAGTAAACTTTCGTTTTCGTGCAGCGAACAAGAGAAACTTTTGGACGGTTGTGGAGGCAGTGTGGGTGAGGATGATCTCGTTGGCGTGGATGTGTTCGAGCGCAACTTCAGCAATCTGCTTGTCTGATGTTTCCAGCTCGTCTTGCAATTCTCGTATGCCTTCCATGACCTCGCCTTTGAGATCAAGATTCTGACTTCGTTCCATGCCTGCAAGTCGCTCGAGATTGAGCGCAGTCAGGTTGCTTCTGCCAGTGGGCGATGCTTGCCCTGTCGGTGTGCTCGTGGCTGAGGGCGTGTCTGCTGGTTGGGAGAAGAGGCCGAATAGCGAGTGTACCAGAGGTGCAGCCGATGCTGGTGCGTACGAAGTGTGCGAGGTGAGCAACGGGGGGCGTCTTGAGGGTTCGCTGGCGTCGGAAGCGTTGTCTGTGAAGCCGCCTGCGGGCATGGGCTCTGCTACGGCATGTCTGAGAGGGCTGAAAGTGGATATGCTCGACTGAAGTGCTGGCCTGTGAAGCGAATCGTGCGAGGCGTGGGCGTGTGGTGTTGCATTGCCTCGGTCGCTGCCCGTAGGTGTCTGTCCATCCGCATGCTCGTCGACGACCTCACGTACCAGCCCAAGTACACGCCGTACAATGTTTCCTACTACAACTTCTCTTGGTTGGGCTGACGTCAGCCGCCGGCCGACTTGCTTGATGCGCTCGATGAGTTTAGCAGCGTCTCTCCCCTTGAACTCGCCCACTACGCGCAGTAGCAAGGCTGTGGTTGCAATGGCGCAAGGTCTCGAGTTTCGAATCTGGCGGCGCTTGAGGAGTCTATCGTGGACTGATCAGCCATAGTTCTGCACTAGCATACCACGAAGAAACCTACGAGGTAAAGTGCTCAACCGAGGCATCTACTGGCGTGCTCTTGAGCGACTTGAGGAATGTGGGCAGGCCTGGTGCCTGGATGGTAGCGCCCTGCATCCTGGTAATCTCCGCACACTGAAAGGGTGGTATTGTTCAAGATTTCGAAGTGTATAGCGCGCGGATGTGGGGGTGGTGGGGGTGTTTCTTGGATGACTGTTCAGGTGTCGCCGCAGTTCTTTTTCTTTGGGAAATCCAAAAAGAAGGCTAGACGCAGAAGGCTGATGCGATCTAGACACTGCAGACGCTTGTGTCGCGTAAGGGGCACAGTAGCGGAATATTGCTTGTTCAAGACTGCGTGAACCCAAGTTATGAGTCGTCGCCAAATTGAGCTATGCGTGTTCCGATTGGCCACGGCCCTTCTCCAGCTGTTCGGTCGTCATTGGCATCATCCCCAACCTTTCCTGCTTACATACATAACCGTCTGCAGCCTCTCCGTCCTCGCCTCGGCCTTATTTCTAGACTTCATAGCGTCACTATAGAGATTCCCTCGCCGGCCCAGCAGGTTTTGTGCGGTCTCCCCACTGCTCGTCCATCTCAGCGCCACCACCGTCTGCGAACAGAGACATAGGCAGCAAGCAGCAGCAGGAGCAACAGCCCCCGGCCATCACGCTACCCCACAATCCTCGCCATTCGCGCACCCCAGCCCTCTCCCTCGACTCGGTCTGACGATGCGAGTGCAGTAGCTGCATAGAGCGAGACGCGCAAGATGGGCGCCGACAGGAGCAACGGCTCCGGTTCCTCGACGACGGAAGCCGTCGCATCCGGATCCAACGAGAAATCACCGCTCCTCCAACAATCCCAGAAGGGACCATACGACGACACGACGCGGCGAAGACGGTGGCTCTACCCGCAGCTGCTGTCCGATGGCCTCACTGCCATCGTGGGCGTGCTGGCGACCCCCTTTGTCTACACCGGCCACTACCTGATTGCCTGCTTCTACTACGAGGACGGCCACTTTTCCTTTTTAGCCCCTGTGTATCACGTTTCGCGCACCTTTACACGCCGACGCCGGAAGAAAGTAGGCGCACACGCAGCGCGAGCCTCGGCCGCTACCGGCAGCAACGAGAAGGCCATGCGCAAAGGTCGCAGCTCGAGCATTGCCCAGCCCATGACCATGCAACCCTCGCGGCGCTCCCTATCTATCGCATCCACATCCACCGCCATGACATCCGACTCGGAGACCGAAAGACCACCTTCGCGCGGCGGAGACTGGGACAGCCCTTCGCAACACACGCGCTCTAAGTCGAGTGCATTATCGCGCGCAGATGAAATCGCTCCCGCAAAACGGTCGATCCGCATTACACTACACCACAACGAGGACGTGTTGAGACAACGAAAGGCTGCAAAAAAGGCACAGTCTTCCAAAAGCAACTCCATCTCGTCTGAGGCTGCCGCTTCGCTCAAGTCGCCCACCGGCCCGGCAACCGCATCGTCCAAACAATTGACCAAATTCCCACGAGCGCCTCAGCCCCCACGCCCCTTGGTGCCACGGCGTCAGCCATCCTACTCTGCCAAAGGCACTTCGGCCGTCGGTCCACACCAAAAAACACTCATCATTGATCTTGATGAGACTTTGATTCACAGTATAGTCAATGGCGGCCGCTTCCAGACTGGTCACATGGTAGAGGTAAAACTGCAGGCATCTATCGGCGCGGACGGACAGGTTATTGGTCCCCAGGTGCCGCTCTTGTACTACGTCCACAAGCGGCCGTACTGTGACGACTTCTTGAAAAAGGTAAGGAGTTTAGCCGGGTCTTGCCAGCGCGTAGCTGACATGCGAATCAGGTCAGCAAATGGTACAACCTGATCATATTTACCGCATCTGTCCAGGAGTATGCTGATCCCGTCATTGATTGGCTGGAGGTGGAGCGCAAGTACTTTGCAGGACGATACTACCGGCAGCACTGCACTGTTCGCAACGGGGCTTACATCAAGGATCTTGCCCAGGTCGAGCCAGATCTGAGCAAGGTTATGATACTTGACAACAGCCCCTTGAGCTACGTCTTCCACCCAGGTAAGAGGTTCTCCCCGGCTCGGACGCCTGCAAGGTTGTGCCGTTGCTGATGACAAAACTAGATAATGCCATTCCAATCGAAGGCTGGATCAGCGACCCAACAGATCACGACCTGCTGCATCTCATCCCACTGCTCGAAGGCTTGCAATATGTCACTGACGTGCGAGCATTGCTTGCGCTCCGGCTCGGCATGCCTGCGTCCGTATAATCAGGTAGCCACAATTTTGGTGGCATTCACAGTATCCCGCCTTCTAATACTCTTTGTACCATAGATCCGTTGACTAGGCCGAGCAGTTGGCTATGTAGCTTGTTGAGGTGATACCCATGATGTTTATCCGTTCCTGTTGTCTCGCTTGTCTGCTGTCGAATAAGGCTTCGTATGGGAATTGCTGTTACTCTTCTGTGAAGCCCGAGTCCCCGCACATCGGTCAAGAGTTCCGGCATGCCGTGTGCAAGCCGTCGCATGGGCCTGTCGTCTCGCCCACGTTGTTGAGCACGGTCCCCCACGCCTATTAATTATGTGGTGTCCAAGACATGACAAGTGCGCCTGCAGCGTCCCGCTCGCCATACTTTTACGCATTCCGCTTATCTTCTTGCACCATTTTCAGCCCCACGACACCCGTTGCTTCTCCCGTGGCACCATACAGCGCAGTAATTTGCTCTGCTTTTAGGCCCGTTCGTATGGTAATCCAAGCCTTGTTATATCTGTTTGCCGCTGCCCTCTTCGGTACCATGCCTCCACAATGCCACCGTCTTTCGCCGCAAAAAGTGTATTCTGATCTGTGCCAATGCATCCGCTCTTGAGAACAAGGCCGCGCTTTGATTGGAAAATATCCAAAAACTTGCACCACACCCAGGACCCGCTGCCATAACAATGGCGGACGCTGTGTGAGTCTCTCGCAATCATCATCAATGCCTGAAGAAAATCTAACCAAATCGCAGCCTAATCACACCGTTGTTTGATGAAGCAGTGGCGGCCATACAAAGCGCCGTACTGCAAGAACACCGACTTCATTTCCAAAGTGACGCAAACGCATCGCTCTTATTAGACGAGCTATGTCGAGTATCAGTCAACAACGGCTCTGTAGACCAGAGAGTGGTTGCGTGTAGCCGGAAACTCACATTGTTCATTCGTACTCTTGCGCCATATTTCGACCTTCTGAGCACATGCATAAAGCTCCAACCAGAATGGATTAGCTGGTTCTGGGGTGCGCTCCGACTGGTCATCAAGGTAAGATGCAACCACAGCCGGATGCACACTATGCTAAACAGAGGCAGATGAGCAGTGCCTATGTCCTTCTTCTTGAAAAGGTCGCCGATATGTTGGAAGCCATTGCGCATGTCATGCCTCCTTATCAGCAAATATACGAGGCTTGCAGTGCAAACACTCCGGACTCCAATGTTAAAGACGAAGACTTTTATTTAGCAGCACTCATGTCATATGTATATGCCGACTTTGTACAGCTGTTTTTGGAACTTTACTGCATTTTCTGTCGAGGGAGTCAAGGTACGTTGCAAGATTCGCACGTCAAAGCTGTATCAGGAAACCGATCGTGCGTTAGACCGGCTAACCCACGAGACAGCTCACACAATGTCATGGAGGCCGCTTGACTCACGCATTTCGCGTATGGAAGTCCGATTGGCCAAACACAGAAGATGGCTGGAGAAGGAGACACAAAACGACATTCAAAACTACTCCGATATCTCGCATCATCGCAAGCACTATCTAGACTTTCTGCAGAACCAAGACCAAATTAGAGGGAGCGACAATCTGGATCATGACGGGCAAAGAGCTGTCAAACGATGGAGGAGGGTGGAAAAAGTGCGAAACTGGCTTTGTCATTCGTCTGCTACAAGTCAAGTCGATCGCCAACCCAGACAGTACAGCCCAGACTCATGTGCGTGGTTCTTGCAAAGTTCGGTTTACTGTAAATGGCGAGATCAACCCTTTGAAAAAGCAGTAGCCAACGACACAGATTATTTGTTGAACAATTGGCAACATCGGGTACTATTTGTTCAGGGTAAGTTGGAATTTCTGCATAATCCACGAGCTGACTGAGTACTAACATCATGTAGCACAGATTGGTTTTGGTAAAACCTTCATGTCACATTCAGTAATCGAGAACCTTACTGCTGAGACTGAAGATCCTAACATCTGTGATGAGCCTCCCGTAATCGCGTACTACCGTTTCAGTCTACTCCATTCCAAGCACAATCATCCAGATGATGCCTTGCGGGCCTTGTCACACCAGCTGCTTCAGTTGCACCGCAATGATCATTCTACCCTCGATTCTGTATGCTTGTTGCTACGTAAAACTTCGTTTCGAGAGCATGCAAATACAGACGAGGTATTAGACGTCCTTACTCTACTTTTGCGGCAACATCCTGCCTATATCGCTATTGACGGCATCGATGAATGCAACAACACTGAAGTCTTTTTGGGATTGTTGGCAAGATTATGCCGAGGTTCCGACGCGAGAGTCATCTTGTTCAGCAGACCGGACTTGAAGATACCGTTGGAATACCAGAAGTGGGCGTCCGATGCCCCTCACATTCTTTCTCTCAAAAGCTCACATAATGCCATGGCCATTGAGAGTTACTCAACACCAGAGCTAAATCGTCTGGCAGACCAAGGCTTCTTTGGCATATCCATGGACCGAACACTTATTCCTCAATTTGCACAAGCAGCAAATGGAGAGTTTTTATGGGCTTCTATGCTTCTGAAGTTGCTTCAGTCACCACTGATTTCACCAGAAGAACGACTAAACCTTCTGTTGAATGTTCAGTCGTTGGAAGGGCTGGGCTCACTCTACCATACTATGATTGATGCGCTGGCGCGTCACTCACACCAGAAGAAGCGAGTCATCGCCAGTGCTTTCCGCTGGTTGTCCCATGGAATCCATCACCTGGATCCAGCTGCGCTACGAGCAGCTCTATCTACGCAGAGTAAAGACGAGAATGAGATATCGCATACGATGGATATCGTCAACGCGTTGGAGGAGCTCAGTTGCGGTCTACTTCTAGTCACAAACGACGCTGTTTCTTTCGCTCATGCATCCGTGCGCGACTTCCTCCAATCCTCTGCTTCTCATACATCAGAATTCAGTCTGCATAACGAGATTGGTGTACATGGACACCTTGCAGCTGATTGTCTTTCTTATCTTGTCTACAGCGTACCGAAGCAGCCACTTGGCGTACTACACCCTCACAATCCACCCACGCCTCCGGCTGCTTCAGCCAGTAGTGGCGCGAGTCAGCGAACAAACTCATCTGGAGATAGTGGCTACAAGTCGTTGTCCTCATCCGACGGTGACAACAACCATGCTGTAGCACCAATTATACTCAACCCACGCAACAGCAGCTCAAGACCAAACAGTATTCGCACCATACCCTTCGACACCCATCTCCCCCTTTTACGCTATGCAGCGCTTTGTTGGCCTATACACCTGAGTCGTGCCCTAACCTTATCTTCTCACTCTACCACCTCCTCCATGACAGATACACTCGCTTATCTTCCTGCTCTCAGCGCCTTCCTATATTCACGCCTCGCGATCACATCGTGGGTCGAAGCATCATTCCGGTACAGCTTACCGCCCACACTTACACGGCTTGTGGGGCCGCTATCTGATCTAAAAGGCGAGATCTCTCCCTCGACAGCAACGGGCAGGGAGTTAAGATGTGCTGTGGGCCAGATGAGAATATTGAGTGAGCGACTGGCTGGCTTGAAGAGAGAACACGAAGTTGTGATGAGAAGAAATCCGAGTTTGATATGGCAGATGGATGAGCCAGGGGAAGATGCGTATTGGCCTGTTTGGGAAGATGTAGTTGCCAGCGCAAGTGTTCCGTGAGGAAGGCAACGATGTAGGCTTGGCCGCCATCAATTTTGCATAGCTTTTTGCTTCATTTTCATGTTCAATACACATATATTCCTCTAGACGATTTATTAGATGATATCCACTGGTTCAAATCATTGCGTTGAAACTGAGTACCATATGGCCCTTCTTGTGCGTAATACTAAGTCTTTATTACATAAGAAATAGATGTTGGAGATATACAAACACGAATATTGCTCTTCGTGCTATGAGAAAGCGAACTAAATGCACAGAATTGTATACCTTGGGTCGGTGTTCATGGGGATGCTTGATTGCCAGACTTTGTCATGTGAACTCGTGTTCGGAATGTGCTTTCCGTTCGCGGCTGACCATTGGCCAATGGCCACGACCACTTCACCTCTCACCTGCATGAACAGTAACCCAAACCCAAGCAATCAACAATGCTCTACTATGTCTCGCAAACTACACGTCGTCTAGTTGCCCTCACGAGCAATTATTGCAAGCTTCTGCAAATATAATTACCTCAACAGCCACTGCGGGCAATCCGATCCGTTACGATAGCAATTCCCAGAATGGCTCCCTCACCACCTACCCTCTACACTCTCTCGTTCTTCATAGCAATCCTCGCCACCCTTCTAGTCGCATTTACTCTACGCCTTCTCGCTGTCCTACCCAATGCAAGCACAAAAACGCGACCACTCCGGCGCAAGCGCCCACTCGCAACGCGCGTGCTAATCGTGCTCGGGTCTGGGGGCCACACCCACGAAATGCTATGCCTACTCCGCGACCTCGACACAAGAAAGTACACACATAGGACATACGTAGTCAGCAGTGGCGATGCCTTTTCCGCGCAACGCGCTGCGCAGTTTGAGCAAGATTTGCAAGATGCCGCGAGAAAAAGGAAGAAGGCGCAGGAAATGGTGGTGAACGGGCAAGATGCAGACAAGAGTGATGGCAAAGTAACAAGACCAACGATGCAAGTCACGGATATAGACGGCCAGACACGCGTGCTAGATACAAGTAGAGGAGACGACAGCCCGGCGTGCACAGGACCCCATCATTACGACATAGCCATCGTACCGCGTGCAAGGAAGATCCACCAGTCACTGCTTACAACACCATTTTCCGCCCTGTACACCTTATTCGCATGCTTCACACCGCTTCTCGGCGCACCCGCGCCTCTCGCGGGCCAAGCGCCCACAACCCCCTACGAAGCTGCGGCTGCCGACGTTCCCGACCTGATTATCACCAATGGGCCGGCCACAGCCGTTATCGTTATTCTTGCAAGCCTTGTATTGCGTTTTTTCAACGTCAAAGGCGCAGAAAGCAGGCACAAGTGCAAAACTATCTATGTGGAGAGTTTTGCACGAGTCAAGACGCTTAGTTTAAGCGGCAAGATCTTGCTTCGATTCGTCGATCGGTTCCTTGTGCAATGGGAGGAACTGGAAGGTGCAGGTGGGAGAGCAGAGTACTGGGGCGTCCTGGTGTGACGAATGCAAGGAAAGTGCGCACGTAATGAGAGATTTACAGGAACGGTGTGATATGCATGGGAGATGGCGTTTGATGTGCATTTCACAGCGACAGATACCCCCGCCTCAACTATGATGACGATATACTATGCAAGAGGGCCTGGATTGAGATTTTCTGCTTTCAGTTTCGCGGCTATGTGTACAGAAGTTTCTATGTTACAAATCCCTCTTCTTCTTGCCCGTAGACTACAATTGCAACCGTAAACTTGAAGAAGAAGAAAGCTTAGTCCAGTTCCTGGTTTTGAGCAGCAATCTGCTTCTTGCCTAGGTATGGCTTTGCAGCTTTCTTCTGCATGTGTTGGCCCAGCGCAGCCAGCAAGGTTTCCTGATCCACAAGAGGCTGCTTCTTCGACGCCTCTGCTTTCTTCCTTTGCTCCAGCTCCCACCGCAACTGCATGGGCGTCTTCATTGCCTCAGCAGCTTTCTTCTGCTGCTTTGCAATCTCTCGTGCGAGTGCGCCTTGTTCAGAGTGCCTGGCGATCTTAACGCGCGGCGCCTGGGGATCTCGTTCCTTCTTCGCCTTGATGGAGAGGTCGTGGATGTCGCCGCGGAGTTCTTCGCCGAGAGTGTCAGGGAAGGGTGGTGAGACGAGGATATAGGACATGGACTCTGATCTCTCGACGATGTTGCGTGTTGTATCTACATCGTCATATGCCTCGGGGAGTTCGAGATCCTTGCTTCTTGGAGGTTGTGTCTTGAATCTGTCTTGTTGCTCCTTTTCAATCTTTGTGAAGTTTTCTTCAATATCGTCTGTCTTCAGGGCACTCGAATCTTGCTGCTCTCTGCTCTGCTTGTTGCTGCTTCGCCAGCGGTCCAGGCCAGAGAAAGGTTGAGCAATGGTGGACATGGTCTTCCGCAGCCATGAGCGGTTATCTGTACTTTGCCCATTCGTGACATCGACATCTTCAGTCCATTCCTCGCGTTCCCATGGCCATTCGATTCGGTGGCTTGTACCTGAAATGTAGCGATGGAAGATAGGCAGGCCGTTGCGAGGGTCATATTGATGTTCCTTTGGGATTTCTGAGCTGCCGTAATCAGTCCCGGTGTAGGGATCAATGCCAGTTGTGTGTCGCTCCATGAAAATCTTTTCTACGATAACGTCCTTGTAACGCTTTGCACCTCCTTGACTGATTTCAGAGGGTATTACAAGGCGAACGTGGTCTAGAGGAAGTGGCACCTCGTTTGGATGCTTCGGACCCATGTCTTCGTTGGCAGCACTGAAGACATTGGAGTCGTAATATTGCTAAGAAGTGTCAGTCTGAGTTAGTGGCCCAAGGGAGAACACGAACCATATTCAAGCCCTTTACAATGACATCGTGAGTCCGGGGGATGATATCTTGTACAACACCAATCTTGCCAGCATCTTTACCCTTAAGAATAACAACACGGTCATTTTGGACAATAGGAAAGTATTTCTTATCATCGACAACCAACGGATACTCAAGCTCCATTCCCTTCCTCTCTCTTACAACATTGCGATTCTTTTGTGTCTTGGCGGAGATTTCTGGTTTCTGCATCTGAGACGATGTGAGAGCGCCGTACTTGTCTGCATTTGGGCCAATGGCACGGTTTGGCCTCAAAGGACCCAACTTCCAATCTTCCTTGGCATTGGCTAAAGCACGTTTCTTGACGCCCTTGATATTTTCATTTTCCCACATGATGCGCTGCAGGACGGCTTGCTTTGACTCCCATCGCTCCTGCATGAGTTCTTGCCGCTTCTTTCGCTCTCTCTCGTGCCATTGGATTGCGTACTTCGTTTTGCGGATTTCCTTGAGCTTCTTGGCCTGGCGGGCGGCGTTTCGTCCTGGCCGGACGACTAATTGGCTCATGGTGGGTAGGGTAGCGGCGATGGACGTGGATGTGGGAGGGTTTGCGGACTACCGAGCCATGGAGCAATGGGCGGGGACGGGTGCTAGCAATGGATTTTCCAGGTCAATCGACTTTTTCGGATTCACTGCAAGCGCCTCGCTTCAATGGCTTGGTCCTTGCGGCGATGGGCTGGCGGGAAGTCGTCCCTTTTGGTGGTGACCAGTGCCTTTGATACTGCGATCCAAATTTCCGCGTCCGTCTCCGGGCGGTGTGTCAGCGTCGCCATTCTGCCACCCCGAACCAGCTGGCCGATGACATCGTCCACCCACATCAACCATCCCGTCAACCTCCAGACCTTGTCGCCAACATGCCGCTCCTACGGCGCAGAATGCGCTGTCATTACTGCAATGTTCAGTCGCGAGAAAGCGTCTCCCAGATACCCAAAAAATACCGCTGTCCGCAATGCGACGCCGTGAATCACTTTGATGAGGTCAATGACTGAAGACATTAATATGCGACTTCTCCTCAAACTGACTTTCTACCAGCGCGGAAATATCACGGATCCACCGATAGAGGAGATTGCAACTATCCCCGCACCTGTGCTTCAGTACATACCCTCGCGCTCACCCTCACCCTTTATGTCTGCTCCCACCGACAATGTCTTTTGCGACGCGTGTCAGCACAACCAAACGCTATACACCAGCCTGCTCGCCGAGTTTCTTCCGGAAGAAGACGATCCTCAGTATGATCAATACCTCGCAGCCTACGACAGCTACAAGATCGAGCTTGAGGAGCGCTACCCACAGGTTTGCAAGAACTGTCTGCCTCGGGTCCAAAACCAGATACGAAATGCGAACCATGTAGCGCGAGCAGACAATTTGGCGCGCATAATGGAAGCGAGCAAAGAAAAGCGCACGGTTGTATACACGGCGCGACAAGCATGGACACTCAGGGCTATTTCGCTGGCCGAGTGGACGTACATTTTGAGTACGGTGGTGGGACTGCTCTGGCATGTCGCTGGGCTAATTATGGTCCCCAACGAGGCTACTCGGGAAGACCAGATCTTCGCTTGGAGCGCGTGTCTGCACCAGGCGTTTCTCTCGCGTTCCGTCGACAACATCTGTGTACTGTCGCCGTATATAGTCAAATGGTTGCAGTACGCTATCCTTGCCGACCTGCTCACTATCTGGTGGAACCCCAAGTTGAAGCTCAAAACGAACAGTCTCACAGGCAGAATGCATGGACTCAAATCACTATGGTCAATCCGCTCTGCCGTCATCGCACTTCGCTTTGCGAGTCTCTACTACTGGCAGCATACCGCAGTAAACGGCGATACCCTACAGAGCTTCCGATACACTCACACAGTCATGGCCAGCGTACTTGCGCTCTCGTTTGTCCTGACTTGGAAGACTGTCCGCATAGTTTACGGTGCCGCACCCTCATTCCCCAAGGCAGCCCAAGAGCCTGTCCTTAGTGAACCCAGCAGCGCAAAGAAAGAAAGAAGGGGATCCTACCACCCTGCACACCCGCAAGCGGACCTCTTCGATAGCATGGCACATTCGTTTGCATCTGGAATCCAAGGCTATCAGGAATCCTCTCCCGCCCCTCCATCACCCACCCTTACAGAATCATCATATACCACACATGCGACCGAAGCCACAACCCCCTTTGCCCAACGCAACTCTTTCCTAGATGCCGACGACATGGACTGGACCCCGACCAAGGGTCGCTTCTCCGCTCAACCACCCGAGATCATATCTAACCAATTCTCCAAGCGCCCAACTTTTGCTCAGCAACAAGCCTCGCCCTCCGCCAAACCCAGAGAACCACACTCCATCTTCGCCCGCAAAGACCCAAATCCCTTCCGTCACCGCGTCCCCGCCGCACCTCCCACCTCACTCGCCGCCAACCAAAAACCCAACCCATGGAAACGCGGGGTGTGGGCGCCGCCACTCAAAGAAAGCATGCCCAACTTCTTCAAAGAAGAGAAGAAGACAAGGGGTGCGGGTGGAACCAGCAAATCACAGGGCCTAGAGGGTCTGGGCGTACCGAAGAATGTCAAGAGGGATGCGGAGCTGTTTGCTAGCCCCAAACTCAAGTATGATTACTACGGTACGATGAAAGATACGGGACTAGAGGATACGTTCAATGCCATGTTCTCCAAATAGAGAGGAGGAGAGATAGAGAGTCACTTGGCTTGCATCATTGAAACTTTTTTGGTTTGGTACTGGCAAACGCCTATTTTTTTTCCTTTTTCTCTTATTTTTTTCCACTGTTTACCTTTTTCTTTTTGTCTCTTTCCTTGGGATGGTGGACGCATTGATTGGCGTTTTATTTGAGATACCCGGCAGCTGGTGGCACTTTTTTCCTATGTTCCATTGGCCCGAGTTATCAAGGTCGCAGACGAGATCTGCAAGTTGTGATACTCAAATGTAGTATACGATACGGACCACGAATAGGACATGTAAGCATAGCGAATATGGCTTTGATTCAGTACGCGGCTAACCTTCCATGTTTGCACACGACGTGCGGGGATACATGACTTAGGTAATAGCAATTCACCCGTTACCCCACCAAGGCATTGTGAAGGACTACGAATTACTCCAGTAGTGGCACACAAACGAGTGGGCGCTTGAACGAGTTAGATTTGCTATCTAACCCTCCAGCATATCATGACTTTCATATGCCGGGTTGAAGCACAGATATCCCCAATGTAAAGACTCCGGTAAACTTCCGCGGCCATCCGCGGATTCCATCATTCGTTCATGGCGTGCTGGTAGTCCGCATTCATTTCCTTCCTTGACTCCTTGTTGGCCAGTGCTCTATGATCTGGGCTTCTCCTTCTTCTCCTTCCAGAGTGCCGAGAGACCGACACCGGAAACCTTGACGACCTTGAAACGCACACCGGGAATATCACCCTTGGCCTTGCCCTTGCGACCGAAACCGGCAAGGAGGACTTCGTCGTTCTCGTCCACGAAGTTCAAGCAACCGTCGTTGGGGACTGCTTTCATGTTAGCCACAGCTTCTTGATGCATGCTTGCCAAAAGTGCTTTGCTGCAAGCCGCACTCAATTCCCGGGATGTCGTGACATACCGAAAGCGGTGACCTTCTTTCCGTTCTTGATCAACTGAACCCTGACACACTTTCGGATAGCGGAGTTGGGCTGCTTGGCCTCAACACCGACCTTCTCAAGGACGATACCCTTGGCGTGGGAAGAACCACCAAAGGGAGAAGACTTGAAAGCGGTTCCGAGGAGACGCTTCTTGTAGTGGAGATCGGCCCATCGTCCCTCACGGCGATGGTTGCGGAGCTTGCGGGCGGCGTTGAGACCTCTTGGCTTTCCTGGAGGATGGTGTAAGCAGCTGCAAAGTGCACAATGGTGTCGTGCAAGGCGAGAAGGGAAGGGAAATGGGATATGGACAGGTTGGGGACGCCTTGGTGAGATGAGTGCGTACCTTTACCCATGATTGCGGTGTTGACGAGTGATGTGCTGGAGAGTGGATGGTTAGTATCGCGAACGTCGAAGAGTAACGGGAAGGAGAAATCTCACCCAGCGTGTGTGCGCACGGGCCTTGGCGTCGCTTCTGTCGTGGCTAGCGCGGCTGCAGGGGTATTTGCTATCTTATCGGGCCATCGTCATTGAGCTGGGCCGAGGGCTTCAGGAACACTGAACACCGTCTTCTCTGTCGAAGCGCATAGCCCTAGTCTTAGTAGCTTCTTGCTTTCGACAAATATAAAAGAGAAATTAGTGTTCGCATTCTGACACGCAACGCCCTTGCTAGCTTCTGCATCTAATCGTGTAAAGCTACAGTCACCTTTCGTCTTCAACATCTGCTCCTGTGAATATCCACGCTGCATGCTACAACATGTCTTCTAAAGACGACAAGAAGGTTTCCAGGATGCAGACAAATCGTCTGCCAGCACCAGCTCTTTTCGTTGGCCCACCATCACACAATGCCTCGAACACATCACTACATGAGACCCGAACACCAGCAAAAACACCTCTAGTCCGCCAACGCTCCCTGCTCTCTCCAGATCCCAAGCGCCCTCTGCCCCCAAATACAAGCGGCGATGGCGACTATCTCAGCCCCGTATCGACAAACGCCTCAGCGCCCTTCCAACGGCGCCAGCGCCAACAAAGCCAAGCAGCCGACGCAGAAGCCTCGTCGCGCGCCGAAGCAATATGGGCCGAGATGCAGAACACACTCGAGGAAGTCGAACTCAGCGCTATCAAAGGCCCTGGCATGACTGTCTTCGGCTCCGAGCACTCGCACGCCCTCGACGAGCTGCGCAGAGCCCAGATCGAGCTCGCGAAAGCATGGGCCCGCTCGGAAGAAGACGAGCAAACGCCTGAGCAGCAGAAGAAGAAGTCGCAGGATACCAAGGTGACGGACGTACAAGCACAGAGTATGGTGAGTGGTGCTGGTGCGGGAAAGGGGGATAAGCTGTTTGATCGGATTAAGCTAGAAGAGGAGACGGAGAAGGACATCGAACTTAGCCGGAAGAGGAGGGAGGAAAACGACCGGTATTTTGAGAAAGTGAACAAGGGGGTTCAGGAGGTAGTTGTTAGGTTGGAGGAGGTTGCTAAGGCGATGAGGGGGGTTGAGAGTGAGAGCAAGGAGATTTGGGGGCATGGAAGTGAAGGGGGGGTGGATTCGGATAGCATTACGACTGCACAGAGTGTGACTTGAAAATATGAAGGGGGGAGGGGGATATATGGTACTTTTTTTTAGCATGCAACGATCTACTAATGCGAATCAAGCAAGATTCCGCACGGCAATTTATCATATCCAACGTCGTGATTCGTCAAGTCATGGACTATAAAGCGCAGTACAGGAAATTGCGTAGTATAAATCACCAAGGCTGTTCAAGCACTGGAGTCTTGTAGATTTGGCGAAAAAAAAAGGTGAATTGGGCAAGCTTAGATTAATTCGGTAATGATACACACATAGTGAATACCTATCTAGGATTATATTCCATACCGATGGTCAGTCTAGATACAAATACCCTTCATGCTAGATTACAAATTTTGTTCCTTTTGGATTTTTCATCGTGGCTCTTTTTTTTTCATTCCTCATCCAAGAACTTCGACCTCCCCCCCCCCCCCCCATTTAAAGGAGATATCGATAATCTGGGTTCAAATCACCCATTTCCGTCTTTTCGTATTCGGTCAACCCCACATCTCTCACACTCTTGTTGCGCCTCCGGTTCGCCCAGTTGCACATAAAAAAGTACGCAGTACAGCTAAGCGCGCTTAAGATTACAAAAGCAATACTTATAGAGTAGCCTTTTGTGTACTTGGGTGCATCCTTTTTGAGAAAAGAAAAAGTAGCAATGATTCCACCGATGTTGCCTATATGTAATGTCAGATTTGTTTTGCGCAAACAAGGATCAAACGAGGAAAAATCAAAGACAAAACTTACCGAAACCCACCTGCCACGCACTGCCCACAGCCCTCCTGTGATGTCCTCCCAGATTCATATTGAACCAACAGACAATAACAGGCATGGCTGTATAGGCTCCCATGGCGACCAGGAAGAGAGCTGCATACTGCAAGTCGTGGTGGTTGTGCACAGAGATGAGGATAGCGAAGCCGGTGATGCATACGCAAATGGGGAAAATGGCAAAAAGGAAGCGATGTCTGAGGCGATCGGAGAAATACGCAACAAGCATGGCAAAGCCAAATGCAGTAGCCCAGGGAGGCACACTGTGGAGCTGGGTCTGGATGGGCGAGTAGCCGTAGCCTTGGATGATGGCGGGTGAAAAGTAAGCATAGCCATATGCGGGTACGATCAAGCCGAAGTACATCAAGCCACCGATAAAAATCTTGGGGTCTTTGAAGACATTTCTAACGTCTCGCGCTTTGATGGGGCGCTCGCGGGCGGAGCGGCCTTGGTCGACTTGGAGGCGGTGCTTGACATAGGCGCGCTCAGGCTCTGACAACCATTTGACTTCTTCGGGAAAATTAGGTAACAAGAAGAAGAATGCAAACGACACCACAACGGTTAGCAGTCCTTCGAGAATAAATATCCAACGCCATCCGCGATAACCTCGAATGTGATCCATCTTGCCAATGGCACTGGCAAGTAGTCCTCCAAAGGCACCAGCAAGGGTGGTGGAGCTGAAGAAGAAGGAGAAGCGCTTCTGAGCCTCGCTTCTTCTATACCACATTCCAATTAGATAGAAGGCGCCTGGGAACTGGTAGATTGGTAGGTACGAAGTCAGTGTATGTGCCATATGCATTTTGTACATTCGTCTCTTACCATGCCGGCTTCAAACACTCCAAGGAAAAAGCGGGTGGTCAGCAATCCGGCGTAGTTTTGAACAAGACCTTGCAGCGTGGTGACGAGTCCAAAGCCAAACATGCAGATACTAAGCCAGACGCGGGGCTTCATCTTTTTCAGCAGGATGTTGGAGGGGATCTCGAAGAGGATATATGGGACGAAGAAGATGACAAGGGCTGTGTTGTAGCGGTTGTCTCTGTTGAGGTCGAGTTCCTGGCTAAGGCCAAAGACATTGGCGTTGGCAATGTTGACTCTGTCCAAAAAGGCCAGTAGGTACATGATGCACAGGAAGGGGATGACATGGAGATCTATCTTGGTAATGAGTTTGGTGTCGGTGGTGGTGGGCGGACAAGTGACATGTTCAGCGTCGTCGTCGTGGCTGTTGTCGTAGCGAGGAAGGGCATCGTGCTTGTCCATGTCCGGAGAGGGCGGATGCTCTGCAAATGGTCAGCCTGGCGCTCTACCACCAACAAACGCACATGCCTGGTAGCCACAAGAGCCGTGTGCCAGGCTAAAAAGGTTGGCGACGAGTGTAGAGAGAGACAAGCCTTGTAGATGAGGTCTGAGACGACTTGGCGCCGTGGCCATGAAACCCTAAACTTACTTTCAGTCTTGCCAAACATGGCGGTGTTTGGGCAATGCCGGACCGTGTGGCGGGCAGTCGGGTTGATATGACGGGGCCTGGATGGCAGGCGACTGTACCGTGGTAGAAGCGGAAGCCGGGGTGACGCTTGCAGTGGCACTTGGGAGGCGGCGTGGGAGAAGCAATGATGTTGACAGACGAGCAGGCCGAGGTCGCTCAGTCTAGCTACCGGCTCTAGCCCGGCGTGGATGCGCCCCCTGCCCGCTAACCCCGCATCTCTCCTGGGGCAGGGCGCCTGTCGCCGTATCTTATCGCCGCTCCTGCGCGCTGCTTTCCCCAGCGCCAAGTCGCGGATAGCACAGGCGACGGCGTAACCTTTGGTGTGTTGCATGCCCTTCCAGCCCTTGTCCGAAAGCCCCCCTTCACCACCGCCACGCCCAGCCCAGGCGACTTTTGCCGGGCCCGTCCACGGCGGCGCCCCCCAAAAAACTAAGGGTCGAGCGGCGCGCGCCTCGCGTCAAAGTAAGTCCTGGTCGGTGCCGCCATGTGATCGCCGGCGCGGCGTCCTTGTCGTCCTTGCCGTCGGCCGAATTGCGAAAAAATGGCTGAATGCTCAAGGGCCAGTGTTCCGCGGCGGTCGGATTCCATCTTGGTGTGCTTGTGCTGCTCCTGGTCCTGGTCTTGGTCGCATGCCCCTCCAGCCCGCCCACGAGGCGGCAGCCAGATTGTGTGGCGGCTGTCCGTACATGTGTGCGTACTTATTAGACGAGCACATGCGTATCGAGGGTGCATGTCCAGACTGACGGTGCATGTCCGCATCCGACAAGGAGCCCACTCGAGTGATGTCAGCCGCGCACAGCTCCAGTGGTTATAGCACGGTCGAGCTTAGTAAGGAGCAGGCCAAGGTTTTGTATGCGAAGGGTCAACCTTGCTACCGGGCAAGACTGGTTCGGCAGCCGACCTCACTCGAGCCTGGGCACGCCGAAGTCTCAGCGTCGTCCACGCTCCTTTCCTGCTGCCCCAGCCCGTCTGACCGCTCCACCCTCCTCTCCTCCATACCGCCGCCACGACGCCGTGAAAAAGGACGACCCTACCCCCCGGAAGTCTGCCTGCCTGCCTGCCATCCGCCTCGATTCCACATCCCACCGAGCGGCTGGCCTGCTGACCCGAAATGGTGAATGCCAAATATGTCGCCTTTACAGTCAACAAGCAGACGCCCTTTCTGCAGACGCCCGACCAAGCCTATGCGACAGTAATCAATTGCCGCCCCCCCGCTGGCAAGCGTGCCGCCTTTGCGCAAGAGGTGCGCTCCCACAACGTGCCCTTGGCAAAGGTCCAAGGCAGTCTGAAGCGCAAGCGGGGCGAGGACGGCAAGAGAGAATACGACCAAGCAGCACACGCGAGCGCTTCCTATGCCAGCAATGCCATGGCTCCACTTGCAACCACAACCGCCCGCCCCCTCCTCACGCAGCAGTGGCAGCAACGCAAGCCCACCAGGTTACGGAGGGGCAAGGTCTTGTCCAAGGGTGTCGACCTCGACTGCTGGTTCATCATTCTCTCCTACTCGGACCCCGCCCAGTTGCTCGAGATGCGCAGCAAAATCGCTTCATGTTACCGCTTCCTGCGCGACAACCCCATGCTCTGGAAGCATAGCAGGGTTTACTACTACGGAACCGACATGCCGGACCCTCCTCCAGGCCTGACAGAGTTCCAGTTTGCCCATCTGCGCCACGGCCATGGCTGTATGGACTGCGGTGCGCCCGTAAGTGATACCACCTGCACCGTCTACAGACTTCTCATGGCAAATTTATCGATTTGACTGACCATCGTCTAGAACACTCGCAAGACATTCTGGGCTTTTCTACGCCGCATGTGCAAGGACTGTCTAACAAACCAGGTCATTAAGGAGTACGAAGCCATGGCTCTGCTCAAAGGTCCAGACGGTGAAGACATCTCCTTCATCCGTGCTGCTCTTCCAAGCGGTATCTACGACTCTTGGGGCAATTTTGTCGGGGTTGGCCCAGCAAGCACGCATGCACTTAAGACGATTTATTTAAGATCAGACGTGGACAAGCTCGTTGCCGAATACAACCGCGAGGTGCGTGAACGGGCTCCTGACGCAAATGCGGCTCCCGCGTGGATCGCTGCATGGCTTGCTGCAAAAGCTCAGAGGATAGAAGAGCGACAAGCCTTTGCGAAGAAGATGGAACAGTGGGAAGAGATGCAGCGGACTGCCAGGACTGCCGAGTACAGTTCAAAGAAATCTAGGCGCAAGGCCTATTTCAAGGAAAAGGCCGCCCAACTGTCGCCACCCATTGGTATCAAGGAACTCGAGGCCTGCCCGTCGTATAAACGCGCTGTGACTATCCCCAAGGATCCCAACAACACTTCCTGGGATCTCCTCAAGCCCAAGATTGTCAAGGAAGCAGCAGAAATCGCAGCCCGAAGAAGTCTAGAAGAGTCGCATCAACCTACAGCATCGTCATCGGGTATCTCAACACCCACAAACAGTATGACGGGCTACCCTCATGCGCATCTCTACCTTGGTACCATTATGGGCCTGCCTCCGCTAGACCACCACCACCACCACCACCACCATCACCATCACCACATGTTTCATTGATTGCTTTTCATTTTGCATGTTTCACGCTAGGACGAGCGGCTCACGAAAGGGGGGGAAACACCTGGGTTAATGATTGCATTTTCGGCACTGGAGCTGGGTCTGATTTTATGTTTTTTTACACGAGCATGGGCATGAGCATTTCCCTGCAAGGCGCTAGGTCAAGATTTGGGATCATCAGCGGGAGGGTCATGGCCAGCCGGAGTTATCATGTTTGATTGTCTCCTCTTTTGTCAGCCCTAATGTGTACGTGCGTGTGTTTGGGTTGGAGTATGTAATGGAATTGGCTTATTACCGGACTGATTTGCCGCCTTGATACATGTGTAACCATAAGGCAGTGGGGCCCCTTCTGGCTGGATGGAGAGATTTGCCTGTTGTAGCAAAGCATCCACTATTTGCCGCTTGTACCGCGCTGGAGAGGGACGGCATGGGGACGGCATGTGGGTGCGGCACGAGTCACGCCGCCATGGCTGAGTATGACAACATTGTGATTGGCCAGTCAGCAGCCGTACCCAGCAACGGTGGCTGACGCAGAAACGACGACAGCAAAAAGCCATTGGTGTGGTCATGGCGAGACAGAGGCAGTATACTGCATCGATTGCGGATAGTCTGTTGAAGAGGACAAGGGCATCTCGAGGCGGCTGCCGCAGAGCCTCATGCCGTTGCCCCTCGTTCCGCGCGCCTGGCCTGCGTCGATCTGTCTCGGGGCGAGGTCGGAATATGCACCATGGCAGTGCTTAGTGCAGACAAGTCACAAAACCACTTGGCCCTCCTCTGCTGGACTGCCGCGGGTCTGCCTGTGTGCATGTGTAAGCTGATTCCTACCAAGAAGCCGCTCTTCGGCGACTCGAGAAGCACAGATGAAGCTGTCGGGCCTGTGTCGCCGTTGCTTCAGATATCGTAATCGCAAGGGTCCAGACAGCCATGCTCTGCGACGCATGTGATTGGCCCACAATCGTCAGAGGTGGGTCTTTTGACGTGCCTTCCAGAAAGAAAGACTTATCGCCCTCGGGACACCGAGAAAATACTTGTGTCTTCATAAAAACCTTCACGCTCCCTTTGCTGACGTCTCTGATCGTCTCGCTTTCGCCGGCTTTCTGCCCCTCACTTCGCCCTCTGCCTTCACCAATTGCGCTCTCTAGACACAAACAAGTCGATTGTACCTTATCAACACACACACATATACACAAACACCCCCACAATGGCGTCGGCCTCCCGAAGCTTCTCCCGCGCTCTGCGCACTGCTGCTCCATCATTCCGCACCACCGCCACCCGCTCATCTGCCCGCTTCGTTGCACCCGCACAAAACGCCTTCCGCAACCAACGACGCGGATACGCCTCCCAGGAAGATGGCCCTGATAAGCACGAGGGCAACCCAACCGGTCTAGCTTTCGGTGCTGGTGCTCTACTTGTCGGTGCGGGTGCCTACGCCCTGTACACATACAAGCCAGAGCTCTTTGGCCAGACCAGCACCAAGGTCTTCACTCCCAGGTTCGAGGACTACCAGAAGGTCTACGACACGATCGCCAAGAGACTGGAGGAGGACGACAACTACGATGATGGCAGCTACGGTCCTGTGCTGCTGCGTTTGGCATGGCACTGCTCGGGAACGTGAGTACACTCAATTGTATTTGACGCCATTGAACCAACAACTGACATGCTATAGCTATGACAAGTTGACGGGAACTGGTGGCTCCAACGGCGCAACCATGCGCTTTGCCCCCGAAGCTGACCACGGTGCCAACGCTGGTCTCAAGGCTGCTCGCGACTTCCTCGAGCCTGTCAAGCAAGCTTTCCCTTGGATCAGCTACTCGGACCTGTGGATTCTTGGTGGTGTTTGTGCCATCCAGGAGATGCAGGGCCCCAAGATCCCTTACCGTGCTGGCCGTACCGACCGCGATGTTGCCTTCTGCACTCCTGATGGCCGTCTACCCGATGCCACCAAGGATAGCAGCCACATTCGCGCCATCTTTGGCCGCATGGGATTCGATGACCGTGCTATGGTCGCCCTCTCTGGCGCCCATGCCCTCGGTCGCTGCCACACTGACCGCTCCGGCTTCAACGGCCCCTGGACCTTCTCTCCCACCACACTGACCAACGACTACTTTAAGCTGCTCCTCGAGGAGAAGTGGGCGTACAAGAAGTGGAATGGTCCCAAGCAGTTTGAGGATGTCAAGACCAAGAGCCTCATGATGCTGCCCACTGACATGGAGCTTGTCAAGGACAAGAGCTTCAAGCAGTACACCCAACTGTATGCCAAGGACAGTGATGCTTTCTTCAAGGACTTTGCCGAGGCCGTCACGACCCTGTTTGAGCTTGGCGTGCCCTTCCAGCAGCCCGAAGATCAGCGATGGGTCTTCAAGAGCTCTTTTGATTAGACTCTCTTTGGAAGACCAGCGAATTAGACGAGGATAGAAGACGTTTCGTTCCGAGGGTTCAAGTTTTGAACATTCAAGATATCCATCTAGATTATTAGACATTTGCTTTTCACGATACCCATGGGAGTGGGTTAGCTACAAGATGTATGATTTTTCTTTTTTCTTTTTCTTTGTAGAAACATACATTGCGCTCTTTCCTGTGGTCGTATGGTTTGCAATAGATAAGAATAAAGATAGAGTCAAACTTTGCACCATTTTACCCGGATCATGGATCCTCCAATTTGTGACTTAAAATTATTCCATTGTATTTTTTGAAAGTGACCATTTTACATGCACGTTAACTACCCCTTTGGTAAACATGATATGGAACCTAAGTAGTAGTTGTAGTAAAAAGCAAATCCTGCATCGCTTTCCCTCCAAGACATGCAGCGCCAAGTTTCCATAGTATCTCGCCCACGACGGCCTCCCATGCTTTTTGTAATGCGGCCACTTTTTCCGTTTGCGCAGCGATCAGTGTCTCGAAACGCGACATGCGCACCTCGAGCGTTTGTTCAAAGCTTACGACTTGGCCTTTGCTATCGGTATGGTGCCGTCTGAGGGTGAACTGCGAGATGGGTTGGTGGAGCTGCAAGGCTAGGCGTTCGTATTTTGCTGGTGCTGACAGCTTGATTGGAGAGGCAGAGGCATTCTTGGGGCTGCTGCTTGGAAGGACGGTCGATAGAGTACTCTCATCAAGTGTGGTAAGCAAACCTTTTAGAATATTGTTAATCTGGAGAGAGGTCGTCTAGTAGAGGTGTCTGCGATAGTCGTTACTGGCGTCTGTAGGATTTGATGTTGACTAACAACGCAGTCTATCGGGATCTCGGGTTATACTTTTGAAAGCTACGCTCAGCGGATGTATATCTGATGCGCGCTTTCCATATCCTTTCTTCACGCCACTACGTGGGCTCGAGTGAGATTTGACACTTAGTAACATCGTAACATCACCATCTTCTTTGGTGAATTCAGAAATTCCTTCATTCTTTCGGGACGCATATATACTTCGATGGGGCTTATGATCCCTTTTTCTGAAGATTGCGGCAACTGACACTGTTTTCTTTACCTTTGCAGACAGTACAGTTTTAGAGGATGAAATCTTTGTTGTTTTTGGATGCGAAGGAAGATCTCTGCGTTCAGCACCCATCATGGAAGAGTGGGAATGACGGCGTGGACGATATGTTGAGAGTCCCCATAGGTGTCGACGGTGCACGCTTGGGAAGTGCGGAGCTCAAGATCCAAGCTTGTGTCATCTGGAATTGGTGAGGAAGGTGCGGCCCTGACGACAGGCCATAGTAGCGCTTGTACATGCAAACATAGTGCGTCAGAAAGCGGTAGCTTGCAAGGGCCAACCAACGGCAAATGTTGTATAAGTCGTATGTACACATTCTTTTAACAGTAATGCAAGCTATTGATAACACTCACAATCGATACAAAACAGTATTATGTAAGTACTAGGTCGCGTGCCCTGTATTCTCTGCCGTTTTCATGAATAAGCTTTTTAAGGTGCTTGCCCTTGGCCTTCGGCAGGAACAACAACACCCTTTTCCTCAAGCATCTTAGCGAGCGATCCGTCCTGGTGCATCGTCATAAGAATGTCGCAGCCGCCGATAAACTCCTTGTCGACATATAGCTGTGGTATCGTCGGCCACTCTGAGTATTCTTTGATTCCTGATCCATTTGTCAGCAAGATATTCCCAGTGGCGCATTCCATGCCAATTGACAGCAAAAACACAGAGCTCAGTCCGAAAATATTCGATCATGCCGGTTTATGCGCCATGTGAATTCCTTACCTTGCCTCAGCTCCTGGTCCTCTAGTACATTGAAAGCTGTGAATTTGTCCGGATCTACGCCCTGCATGCCCAGAATCTGGATGCTGGCTCTTGAGAAACCACATTGGGGTGTTTCAGGTGTGCCCTTCATGAATAGAACTACTGGGGATGAAGCAATGGCTCTGTCGATTGCGGAGCGGACTTCATCAGAGAGCAGTCGTGCTTGGAACGGCGTGAGGAAGCGTGTGGTTGGGGAAAAGCGAGGTGCGCTTGCGCGAGTGGCGGCTCGGAAGGCCTGGTAATTGTTAGAGGCATTGAATTAGCGGGAATATATTCGTGAATAATTACCGAGGGAATTGCGCGTCTTGCAAACATTTTGTGTCGTTGGTGGATGTTGACAGAAAGTTCGGTGATGGCATCACCTCCGACGTTCGCCGCACTCGAAGTTTTGGATGAGGTCAGAGCGCCAAGGCCATTGGCACCACTAATACTTGTTGTATCCTATTCGCCCTTGCGTTTTCCACCACTTTTGGTCATTGGTATCTATGCATTTGCGTAGCGTAGCTAGCTGCCTTTCCCTAAGAAGTAATTAGGATGCCTTATCTGTTATGATCATCGTTCGTTTGCTCGTGCTGATGCTTTCACACTCTTCCGATATATCTATACTGGAAAGACTCAGCATGTATCGATAGCTTTCCTACCATGGAAAGTTGTGGGTTTGGCAAACAATCTATTCCAGTCTCAAAGATAAGACGAAACAACAATAGGTCTCGATATGTTTACCAACACACTAAACCAGATGGTCGAATGAAACGTTTGCATTTGAAAGAAGACGGCAGTGATCATGTGCAGAATGTTCGTAATTACAGTAGAGAATAAGCCATCATTCCTTCTTCAGGGCTGATTTAAACCAATTGAGTTTGATTCAGATCTGGAGAAATATGAATGGAGGTAGCTGAAGGTACATCATGGTGGGCATTTGCATCATAAGATGTAGGTAAGATGATTCTTCTTGCTGATAAGAGATATCTCTTATATACGTCCCCATTGTGTCTTGAACGTTCAACTGAAGAGTGTCACGTTGATTGCGTTGAGATTACAAGGTTGTGTCGTACACACTGATTGTCGTACTCAGACCAAGACAAGCGATATATGTACGCATTGTCTATTGCATTAGGATCTTTGATTCATGATATCTCTCCCTCGTGTTTCTTCAGCCGGTGGTGTTGTTTCGTATTAGTGAGAACGTAGTTCATCTACAGATGAAGCTGCTCGGACCAGACAAGTGGGACAATCATATTAGCCTATACATTTCTCAAGATACTCCGATGGTCCAATCTAAAATAGTAACGGAGAAGAAGGGAAATCAGGCTGTAAAAGACGGCGGCTAGCTTGACTGGGAAGAAGTTACGTGCAGGAATTGTCACGATGAAAGGCCTCTCGATTATACGCAGCGTTTCTCTGGCGAAACTCTGAAGAATCTATTGCTGCTCCATTTTGCTATGCCTACTTACGGCAAGGGAATGCTGGAAGTTGCCGAGATAGCGATTCAGCGGTGAGATTCAATGTGGTATCCGCAGACTTCCACGCGGGCCCAAAGAGGAATGGAGAAGTGGTTGACCATGCATTGGTCATGGAAGAATGGTTTTCTTTTGGCCCGAAGTGGTGCAGCATGCGCGATTAGATGGCTTTTAGTCCCTCGAAGTGCGTCATTTTGATGGTGGCATAGTGTCATATACATTCGACGCACGATTTTAGCCGTTTGCTAAGTACTCTGAAAGATACGATGAGTTAACACCTCAGGCCGACCATAGCTGAAGAACAATGGAAAAATACGATGAGAAGAAGTCGCAAATGCTCCAATACACAATCTTCCGTGGTCATGTTGGTGCTACGTGGAAAGTCACAATGGTCTCTGAGATGGCTCGAGTAGCTAATTCAACAGCACTGGTGATACTTCCACCGTTGAACTGGACCAGCGTTACAGTGAAATTGGTCACGGAAAATCTGGAACCGGCATAGAGAGTCGAAGTTTGTCGACCTTTGTCACCCGTGTTTCAGGGTTAACGGCTAAAGTCAAAGAGGGCCAAACGAGGATGGAGCATCAATGTACAGCGGGCTCCGGACTAATATAGAGTGGCAAATCACCGAGATATTGCATATGTGAACTTTCTTTGGTACGAACGATTAGACCGGAAAAGATGCAACGCGTGCCGATTTAGCAAGACCGTTGTACAACGGCGGCTAGAGGCGACGTTGAGGTTATTGTCGTGAGGAGAGGAGAATGGTATCGTCCTTGTTTTTTTTTGCAGATCTTCCAGGAGGAGAAGGGGTAGCTTGCACAGGGGAGGCGTAGGTAGTGATTACCCAACACCAATACGGCATACCGCCCAAACAGCGAATGTGATAGGGCTGATTGAATGGGATTTGATGAGTTGCAGAGACGTGGAGATTTAGGCGCAAGCCTCGCGACAGTAAATGGGCCTGTGGATCGGAATGATTTACGCCCACACGGGATACCAAGCTCGTATTGAAGTGGTGATTTTGCTGGGCAGTCAACGTCTCAGACATGCAGATGGCAGTCGAGCGTTGCCTCAGGCCCCAGGAGGGCAGTGGGAGATGGGCTCGACGCCATTCTCCACCAATCTGGACAGCCCAAGGTCAGCAGCATCTCGCGTCAAAGGATGGCGATGGGGTGCGAGATGCTTGGCGAGCGAATGCATTGGGTGATGGCAAATCAGGTGATTGGTGCGAAATCTGGGGGTCGAGTGGGCGTATGGTAAGCCGACGGATAAATTTCAGGCGCAGCTATCGGCGAAGGCGCCCTGGTGCCCGCGCCAGGACCGTACACTATCCTACAGCTCCGAGCTAGTGCCAATGTCAACGGCATATTCACCGTCCAGCCATAGGACGGCTCTGAAGCGAACAAACGCGCGCGGTTTGCGGAGGCTTGGGGCTTCCACTTCTGTTCAGGACATGGTGCTATCTCTCTATCTCCAAACCTCACACGCACTGCGATTAAATCAAAAGCCAGCCCTGCATCCCACCCCCCCACGGATGAATCTAGTACAGCGCTCACTGTGAGGCGCTCGTATTTCTCCAGACGCACCCCAACTGCCTCAGCCTCGTCGACGCTTTGGAGATGGTAGCGACGGTTGTTGCAGTTTGCCAGTTGTATTCCGCCCGTCGCATCCTCGCCGAGATCCAGCACCGCATCAACGGCTTCAACACTTACGGCTAATCGAAAGCGAGAACAAGAACAGTACCCAACTTTATCTTCTTCACCCATGGCCACCATGGTGCAGACTGCCGGGGGCATGACCTCCCCTCACCTGAAAGAAGGCATGGTCATTGACGTGCAGGAGATTCCACATGGCGCCCGACCCGCGCTCCTGATTCTGCACAACGAGGGCGAGGAGAGCATTGTGGACACAATTGCAGATGTTTTGGGACAGAGATGGGAGTTGGCGTCGTCCATGGAGGACGCGCTGGCCGGCCCAAAGGAAACAGTGTATGGGTTGAGCAGCTTGGTTGCAAAGCCGCACTTGGACAGCTGGGATCGTTCCAGGCTGTTGATCAACACGCACCGGGTGGACGGAAGCTACGAGCTGGACGAAAGCATTACCGACCGATGCGACTATGAATACCTCTACACACGATCACCCTTTTTCCGTCGAGACGTTTCGCGCTACCTCTCCTTTATCCTAGGCCAGATTGGCCCCCACCGCGACCTTACCAAGAAGGCGCGAACGACGTTAATCTCGACCACGTTCCCTGACGTCCATGCCGCGCTTCCGAATTTGGATATCCTGTCGGTTGGTGCGGATGCGATAGAGATTCGAGTCGACTTGCTCCAAGAACCTCTGGCAGACGGGGCCATCAGCAAGGTGCCCAGCCTCAAGTATGTGGGCGAGCAGGTCATGGTGTTGCGCCAGCGCACCGAGCTGCCCATCATCTTTACGACGAGGTGCACCAAGGAGAATGGTCGGTTCCCCATGGACGACCCTTCGCTCTACTACCGATACCTTGCGCGCGCGATACAATGGGGCTGCGAGTACATTGACGTGGAGCTGTGGTTGCCAGAGGAAATCCGAAAGAAGTTGGCTGAGAACAAGGCATGCACGAAAATCATATCGGCCTTCCACGACTTCTCGGGCACCTTCAAGTGGACGTCGCCTGAAACGCAGAGGCTGTTCGAGATGGGGGCGGTGTATGGGGACATTGTCAAGATGTATGCCCTGGTCAACTCGATGCAGGAGAACTACGAGCTCGAGTACTTCCGGTCGACGATTCAGGCCAAGTACCCGCACCCACCCTTTTCTGGACTCAACATGGGGCCCATGGGTCAGCTGTCGAGGACTCTAAACAAGATATTCACGCCCATTACGCACCCACTGTTGCCCATGATTGCAGCGCCGGGGCAGCTGAGTGCAGCCGAGATCAATGCGGCTCTGCACACCATGGGCCAGATGCCGAAGCGAGATATATACGGGATTGGGAGCTTCCGGTCGACGGCGCAGGCCATGTTTTTTGAGAAATGCTTCAATGAGCTTAGCCTGCCGCATTCATTTAGCTTTGCCGAGAGAGGGCCAAAGGCATCCATTGAGCACATTCTCCGGCGCAACAACTTTGGGGGGGCCTATATCAACCCACCGCTGGGAGCGTCTGCGCCATACCTACCCTCGCTGTCGAATGCGGCGCGGGCTATTGGCCAGGTTGATACGGTGTTAGTGCCACCGGGAAGTAGCAATGCATCGCTGATTGGTGACAATACTCGGTGGAAGGGGATACGAGCAACACTGACACGCGACTTTGTACCGTCGGCATACAGCGGACAAGCAGCGTTGTTGCTAGCCAACAACGAAGGGGATGCATCGGCGTCTATTTTCGCACTGAAGAACTTGGGCATCGGGCCTATCTACACGATTGGGTTCAAGTCACATGGGCCATTGTCTACTGACGTGTCGCCGGTGCGGTCGATTGAAGATGTCAAGCGGCTGCAGCAGCCGTTTGTGATCATCTCAGCACTGCCGGCGGAGAAGTCGCTGCTGGTGGTGCCACTGCTGAAGCATTATCGGGTGGCTGGGCGTAACGGCAGTCCCGAAGGCAGCCCCAAGGCACTCGGAGCGGTGGGCACCAAGACAGCAGGCAAGGTGTTTGTCGACCTGGCAAGTGGGCCGCGCAAGGTGGACACACTGGAGATTGCAACGTCGGCAGGCTGGACAGCGTATGGGATTGCTGATGTGTCTGCATGGACGACGGTGGAGACGATTAGGAAGCTGGTTGGACAAAACGTGTGCTATGACTTTGTGCGACTGGCGTGTGGGCGGGGGCACTTTTAAATTTGCAGCCGGAGGGGATGGATGGTGGGCACTGCAGATAGGCAATGAACAAGCAAGCAAGCAAGCACAATCACATGCAGAACGTGTCTGGCAAGGCGATGGATGATGATGCAGGATGCGAGACGGGGGGCGGTTCTCGTGCAAGAGGCGTGAGTGCCTGGGTGCAGTGCATGCACACTTGTGTGTGTGTGAATGAGCGGGAGTGGGTGAAGGAAGGCAGGCGAGTAACCGCAAGCGTAGCGGCAACCGGGGGGACGGTGAGTGTGGGCGCGAGTGATTGGCGTGCGGGCGATACCCCAGATTTCCAGAACAGAAGAAGCGAGGCCGTCCGGCACTATGCCTGCAACGACCTGGCTGCGTCAGACGAGCGCAATCAAAAGCGCTAAATTGCAGATACAGCCCATGCATGGGGGACGGGGAGGGGGGCTCTGGCGACCGCGTACTGGACCACTGGACCGAGGCACCCCGGCACCATGCCCTCGAGCATGCCATCCCAGCCCTTCTCATCCAGGCCTCCGTGCTGCTGCCACCCAGCCCAGCGCCGCCAGCGCCGTCATCGCCCTTCGGCCCAGCGGTTGCGCGACTGCTGCACCCCGACCGGTACTTGCACACACCCACCCACACACCCTCCCACCACCAGAGGCTGCTCTACCCTCCTGGGCTAGACAGCCCGTGATCGCCATCACGCGTGCCCTTCTCATTCCCCCCTCCCTCGGCCCTCTGCCCTTGTCCCTGCCGGCCTGCCGACCGAGTCGCATCGCCGTGCGTGGGCGCTCGCTCCCGCTTCATCAAGCCTCGCAGTCCGCGCACAACCCCCTCCCCTGCCCGTCTCCACCGCCCGCGGCTTTAATTTGGACTATTATCGTACATACTTACGCTGTCTTTCTGGGGTCATGTTTTCTTCTTCCCAACGTCCTGTTCATACTACTGCTCCCGCCTTTTTGCTGCCCAGAGAATGCTTATGGTCCGCCGCCCCATCGTAATAGCGTCGCCATGTCCACCGAAGTCTCCCAGTCCCTGGCTGCCGCAATGGCCAGACCTCAGATTGGCATCGACAGACTGCCTGCCCGCCGAGTCTCAAACGAACCCCGGGAGGCCATGAATTGCAAGAGTTGCAGAAAGCGAAAGGTACTTGTCCTCTCCACGACCACCACCATCGCCTGCCTGCTCACCATGGGCTACAGATCAAATGCAACCGCACTCGCCCAACCTGTGAAGCCTGTCAAGTCTTCAACTGCCCGTGTATCTATGGTACGCTCTCCATCCCCGAGCGCCACCCGTCCGTATTCAACCGTAAGCTGAGCTGACCGCGCCCAACAGACGCCGTGCCAAAGAAGAGAGGCCCCAAAACCGACGTTCTCGAAGCCCTTTTGAAGCGTGTCGACGGCCTGGAAAAGCGCCTGGTCTCTGAAGGAAAGAGCGATGACCTAGGCGAGGCCAACCCCGCGGCCACCACCACCACCACAACAGCAACTGCAACTGCCACTACCTCGACTACCGCCTCCGCCCAAGACACCACCACTGTCGACAGGAAGCCATCAGATGCCCCAAAGTCTCAGCCACTCCACCCAACCCCACACATTTCCGCAAACTCCACAAGCCATGCATCCCAACTCATGTCGCCCATTGAACCAAGGTAGGTGGTAGCTGGAAGCAGCACCTCGCCTCTTGCCCACCTACCCCTGTGGCTGACTAATAACAATCTCTAGCGTGCAATCACCCAGCCTGTCCCCAGATCTCCTTCTCGATACCTACTTTGCTAGAATACACGGCAAACCCTACTACGTCCTAGATGAGTCGACCACGAGACAGCGATTACAGGCCAATCAACTACCCGGACACTTAGCCTATGCCATTTATGCCGTGAGTGCCAGGTATGTTGGTTTCATCCACCCCTGAGCATAGCAGAACAACGTTAATTCATTAACCCCAGATATGCGCCCCACTTTGGCGGATACGGCGCTGCTGTGCGAATCGGACAAGAGTATGCCCGCCGCGCTCGGCTAGAGCTTGACATTGACGAGCCCTCGATCGAGGCCTTGCAGACGCTCATGCTGCTGTCGCAAGCAAGTTTCCAGCTGGGCAAGGGCAAAAAAGCCTTTATGCTGCTGAGTATGCATCGCGCCACCCAAGCCAAAATCCCGTGGAGCTAATACTGATTTCGATAGGTTCGGCCATCAGCATGGTCTTCGCCCTCGATCTCCATCGCGAGCTGCCCACCGTCGTCAAGGTTACATCGGCCGAACGAGAAGGCCGACGGCGACTTTTCTGGTCATGTTACCTCATGGATCGTTTTGCTGCAACCGGCTCCAAGCGACCTTCATTAATCGCAGATGAATCCATTGTACTCCGAATGCCCAGCTGGCAGCTCCACCCGGGTGGAATGCTAATCGACGGTGACTATTTTCCAAATGGATGCAACCTGCAGTACATGGGCGGCACTGGAAAAGGAGGACAGGGAAGCATGGGTATGCTGATTGGTATATCACGGATCCTAGGCATAACCAATCGCTACCTTGCAGCAGGCGGTGTAAAGGGCGACTCACACTTTCCCTGGCATTCATTATCCAACCTATCCAAAATCCGCCAAGAACTCGACACATGGGCCTCGGACACGCAGGACACGTTTACATCCATTGACGCTCTCTTTGGCCAGCCCGACAGCACCATACTGGTTCTTAGCAAGCTGGTTTATCATCTTATACATTGTCTCATCTACCGGCCTTTTCTTCCTGTCGATCTAGCCGAGTTGTCAGGGACGTCTCAGCATCAGCCCTGGCAAATCGAAGCCACCAATTTGTGCTTTCTCCACGCAAACGCCATTGCCGAACTCGTTGAGATTGGAAGAGCCTCCTCTATCATGGACTGGCCAGCTTTTATCGGCTATTGTGTGTGCACCGCAGGCACTATCCACGTTCATGGTGCACACTATCCAAGTCGAGAAGGCGAGGTCTTCTCAGTGAGTGCAGAGTTTCTCTCGCGTGAGATGCAACAGCTCTCTGAGCTTCGCTTCGTCTGGGCGAGTGTTCAGCACCAACGAGACACTCTGCAAGCCATTTACGGATGTCATTCAGAGCTTGTCCAATCTCTGGCAAGCAACCCGATGCGATATGCTCCGGTATTCCAGCTTGAGGACTTTTTCGATAGATATCCTGGCCAAGTCTTTGATGGGGCGCACATCACATTCATGGACATTGCTATTGAGTCTATGAACGAAGGGTGAGTAGGAGAGCTAGGTAGACTAGAAAGCTGTTTACTGACGATTCACTTAGCCTGGCAACCTTCAACATCGAGCAACGCAACAACATGTACATGACCAGCGGCGTCATTGGAAACATCCAGGGATACCAAAAACAACAAGTTCCATCGCAGCGCTCTCATTACTCAAGTAGCCATCCAAACAAGAGGCGGAGAGCAACCATTTCTTCTTCCAAAGCATCAGCCCAATCGCAACCTCTACCTCCAACACCCACATTGGCCACCCATCTGCCACCGGCTGTACATACACATAGGCCTTCTGAGAGCGAAACTTCAGAGTCAAACTCGAGCCCTGGAGATACCAAGGCCCCTACTGACTCTAGTCTACCTCCCTGCACACCACCAGTACCAAACAATTCACTGAACCCCCCAAACCTCAGCGGCGGTGGACTCGCTCTCCCTTTCTCACCAAACTTTTCCTTCTCTCCATTACCGCAATTTGCAAGTTTAGCGCCATCACCGGTTCCTCGGCCAGCAAACCTCAACCAAGACCAACATCACCATTCAATCAATTTCGATCCTGTGCTCAGTATGCCGCCGCCTCCGTACGACCAGCAGCCAACTCCCGGGGCAGGCAGCACATCAGGCGCTTCAGCGCATACCGATCCTGATAGCAAGGATCCGTTTCTGAGTTTGCTTGAGCAGCTTGCAGAGAATGAGGTTAGCAGAGGCGGCCCGAGCGAGCTAGATTTCTTCTTGAGTGGACAGAGTGGTTAATATGCGCAAGCCTTCAATAGGCTCAAATTCTCGGAGGTGGCAACCTCGCAATATCACGACGGATTACCGGGGCGAACATTCTCCAAACAGTACAGGGTTTCCGTACTTGGACGCATTTTCAGTTTCATCTACATGTTTGTAATAGCTTTGACAGCTGTTATCAGGTTTCATTTCCGATCACCAAAATTCACATGGAATCCAAAATCTTGACGCATTTCAAAATCAGCGCGGCGCAAAACTGGGGGCATTCGGATTAGAGAAAGGCTAGCTTCTCAGCGGTTGGGGGACATACGGGCGGGTCAAACTCTACTTTACGGCAATTACATATAAACTTGTATAATCTTCGTCGACAAGTAATTCACAAGGCGCTTTCTTGCGGCAAGCCGGCATCATCAATTATCGCCGGCTCCGCACCATCAACTCCATCACGACATGGATCCACTTCTTTGCATTCAGAGTGCCGTAATCTATCTTTGGCGGGGTCGCTTCCGATGTGCAGGTGGGCGTTGAGCATGTGTCGAGCAGCGGCTTCACTACCTCGTATAGCAGGGCAGCCGTTGAGCGCGACCGATGCCCATTCGGTTCAACTTGCATGAGGACGGGTTCGTTTTCGCAACTAAAGTGAACTAAACTATGTCACCTTTGGTGAGATGCTTCTAGCGGGAAATCTTGCATGTAAATAACCCGGGGTTCAACCGCGGCGACTGGGGACCCCAGCTTTCCCCCCCTCCCCAGACACAACCTTCAGGGACACACTTTGCGGCAACCATGAGCATCTTGGTGGGCACGAAATCAAGCGCATACTTCTATTTGCTCTACAGAAGCATAACGGTAATTAATTTGGCAATCGTGACCCGCAAACCCATGGACACAAGACGTCAGGGTAGCTGTTTGATGCAGGCACGAGGTGTCGTTCGTAACGCGATTCATCGTTCGTGTGCGGAATTCATGCAATACCCATGTCTGGACAATCCTGGCTTACCACAAAGTGCATGAGGCAATCTGGGACGAACTTCTCGTATCAACGCGGAGAACGCGCTCCGTTGCCAAAATCCTCTCCATCGGTGTGGCTGGCTATTACGCGCAGAGGACTATGTCTCCTAGGTCTGTAGGACAATGTGGCGCTGCGATACGAGCTACAACGGCTAGAGACGAGTGCGATCTGAAAGTTTAATTGGAGGAATGGAATCCCCCGTCCACATACGTTGATACATTGATACAGCAATGGTTTGATGAAGAACATCTACTACAGACAGCCAACGACACAACATGGTAACCACAACACCCCGGTCATAACCTCACATCACATGGCTAGAGGCAGACAAAGAGGTGTGACAGTCGTAACATTATCGTATGTTTCGATAGGTCACCACCGTCTATTCGAATCGACTATTGCCGGTGGTATATCGTTCGTTCCATGCGCCGAAGGATGCATAATTCACGCAACCGAGAGGTACACCCCAGTCTCCCCCCCTCCATTTGATGGGCTTTCCTAAGCGGATGTGCGGATGCAGTGAACGCGGGGGAGGACCCGCTGAACGAACGCAGGGCACAAACCTGGCGAACTGAGTTCATTACGTATGATGAGTCTACTGAACCTAGAGTATGCACAGTCAGCACCACAATCACCACCAGCGGCAGAGGCGATGGGGTCAGCAGTCACGGCCACTTGCGTAACAGATGAAACATGGATCTCTCTGGTTACATACTATGAGTGCGTGCACACACGTGTGTGTGTGTTGCATGTGGAAGGTTGAGGCGAAAGACGGAGATGGCACCGAGAATCAGACCGACAATGCAGGCACGCACACACACCCCTACTACTCTCATTCTCTAAGTAGCAAGTATCTCTCCCACCCCTCCTCCGAAGCCGCTCTCTCTCTTACCCCAGAAATATACTTCCCGCACATGTGTAATAATGAAGCTACATTATTAGATCTGTGGACCCCATGCAACCCCACGATCCCACATGAGTAGCAGCGAACAAGTCATTTACGAGCGCTTGGAGAAATAAAGTGCTGCAAGAAGAAACACTATGTAGACACACCCCTCTTCTCCTCTTTCTTTCCCCGCATTTCTACAGCAAGGGCCAACAAAGAAGAAAAACAAAACTGTACTAAGATATGGGGAATCACCAAGGCAGGAAAGTAGGAAGAAATGTAGCCCCACGTGGCCCTTCTGACTCGTTGGCATAACGCGATGTTGCAGAGCGTTAACGTTTTGTTTTGTTCCAGAAAATCTCCCACCGGGTGTATGCATGTGAGCGCATGTAGACAAGTGGGTTCACACAGTACGGAATCAATACGGTCTTTATCGCCTCGCTTTGCTTGCCATCTCATAGCAGCAAGAATGAATATGAGAAGAAACAGAAGCTAAGACAATGCAATTGAAGGTCAAGACCCTTGGTGCAAGCCAGGCATCTACAATGTAAACATTGTCAAATATAATTTTTTTTCTTGGGTTGTTTGATCTTCGCATCCATCCTTCGGTGCCCGATTAAGAAGGGCGCACCCCCGCCCCCGATCGACCGACACACACATAACTATATTCCATGTGTGCGCGCTTAGCCAGACAACCCCCCCTGTCGAATCTCGTTCAATGAACCTGTGCATCGTGGAGAGGTGTGGATGGGTGGGGAAAAGGAAAAGAAAAACGTTAGATAAGGGGTAGGGGGGCGAAAACGAAAGAGAGCAAAAATAAAAGAACGCACGTACTACTTTACTTCCTCATGGTGCATACGGGCGCCCGGACGGCGGGGGCGCAGGATAAGCACTTGTCCAAGGGCTTGGAGGTCTGGGGCTGCAGGTATGTAGGGGTCTATTTTTTTCTTTCTCATATCTCGTCAAGGGCGGCACTTGCCATATCGGTACCATGGAACAATCGCAATCGAGTTTTTGTGAAGGGGGGCGGGATCGGGGGTCTTGTGCAGCGGACGTTATTGGGAGGGGGTGGATCACATACCATGTGGAATTTGGTGGGGGATAGGAGGAATGACGACATGTAGAAAGTAAAGACAAAGAGAGAGATATAGAGAGAGAAAAACGCGCGTAGCAAAAAAAACCCAATTGCATAGTCTCACCAGCATCGTTCAAAATTGTTCCTAGTGCCATTCAAGCTTTCCTATATTCTCGACGTTCTTCTAATCCCAAACCGTCGTCTAATCGATAGAAGCAGGCGAAAATACTAAATGCGACACAAGCAAACTTATGTTCTCGCACGAATTTCCACAAGAAAAGTAGTCCAGGTGTCCTCCCAGCTTTCTAGGTCATGGTGACGAGCTCCTCGGCGGAGACCGGATGGATTGCCTGTTGAAGAAAAAGACGCCATTTGTTAGCAGATCCATGCATGGTGTATATTAAACAACGTGTCAAACCCCTTGATTGTGTGGCTTCCACGACTTTTCCTGTTAATTCCCACCCCCCTGCAGGCGTGGGCACATATTCGCACGCATTTACCAGGGGGTGTGCAAACCGCCTGCATATGCAGGCACGGAATAGCCGTCCAGAACGAGAGATGGAAGGAAGGGAAGGAAGATGTAGGGAGAGAGAGAGATAAAGATACGTACCACACAGCTGTCGAAATCCTTCTTGGTAGCACCCATCTTGATCGCTACGCCGAATCCTTGCAGGATCTCACTGCTTCCCTGGCCAAGGATGTGTAGACCAACTACTTTCTCCTCTGGGCCTGCACAAATGATCTTGTATGCCGTGGGCTGCTTGTGCTCTTGATCCATCATGGCAAAGTACATTGCCTTGAATTCCGTCTTGTAAATCTTGATCTTATCGCCATACTTTTCGCGGGCCGCGGGCTCAGTCATTCCAATCGAGCCGATTTCTGGGTGAGCAAAGACGACAGAGGGAATGTTCTCGTATACAAGGCGGGCGTCGGGCTGGTTGTTGAAGAGGCGGTCAGACAGGCGGCGGCCAGCGGCGATGGCGACGGGTGTAAGTTCGAAACCGCGGTCGCAGACGTCACCGATGGCATAGACGTTGGGAATGGACGTGTTCTGGTATTCATCAGTAACGATGTGGTTCTTGTCGTTGACCTTGATGCCAAAATCCTTGATTTTGAGGTCTTCGATTTCAGGCACACGTCCTGTCGCGAAAAGGACAGTCTCAACCTCGACAGTGGATTCCTTTTTGCTCTCTGTTTCCTGGTAGGTGACACGCTTCATTCCATTTCCAATATCCTCTACTTTCGTAATCTGTGTACCCTTGTATAGGTTGATGCCTTGACGCTCGTACTCTTGGGTCACGGTGTCCTGAATCATGGGATCGAAGCTTCGGAGGAGCTTCTGGCCGCGAATGAAAAAGTGTGTTTTGGTGCCGAGAGCGTGTAGCATGCCCGTCATCTCGACACCGATGTATCCTGCGCCGCTTGTTGCGATACTCTTTGGCTGCTTCTCAAGCTCGAAGAACCCGTCGCTGTCGATGCAGAGTTCCTTTCCAGGAATATCAGGGATCATTGGGCGTCCGCCAGTTGCGATGAGTATGTGTTTCGCCTTGATGCGCTGAGTGCCTCCTTCATTCAGTGCAACTTCAACCTCATCCTTTGCGACAAATTTTGCACGCCCCCTCAGGTGCTCAATCTCGTCCTTGTTTAGATTGTTCTCGTAGATACCATTCAGGCGAGTAACATAGTCATCCCGCTTCTTTTTGAAGTATGACCAGTCGAATTCCGGTACCCCGCCAACGTTGAAGCCGTATGCGGATGCGTCCTTGAAAGTCTCTGCAATTGCCGCCGCATTCCAAGTCACTTTCTTCGGTACACAGCCTACATTAACACAAGTACCACCATATCGTTTCGACTCGACAGCAATGACCTTTGCGCCGTGTTTGGCGGCTCGTCGGCCGGAGGCGATACCCCCACTACCAATACCGATTACTAGGTAATCACACTCCTTGGTCTCGGCCGACATCTTGAGACTCGTTGTCGAGAAGTGAGACGAGAGGTTTGCTAAGCGTGAGGATGCCACTGCGGTTCGTGGAGACTGGAAGTGGGGTCGGGACTGAATGGTGTGTCTTGTGGATGGAGGGGTAAGGGTATGGAGACTCGCAGATAGAGCTCGCAGTCTATAAGCTGTGGTTCTTTGCATTAAGATTGCAGATCGGGTGCCAGCAGGTGCTTATATTATGACGACAACACACCCAAGCCGAAAATGCACCACCGTGTTTAAGGACGGTTCTGGATTACTTTAGTAAGCCTGGATTATGCGGACACAGTCGTGCAGCTACGTCTTGCTGTTGTGCAGCCCCTGGAAAGATTCCTAGGTAGCAGCAATGGGAAAGAAAAGGGCTAGACCTACGATGACAACGCAAAGGAAGCAAGGTTGCCGAGGCACGCCACTTTTGATTATGCAGAAGTTTTGCGGTTTTGCGCTTATGGAATCAACAGACGATGACGCGATCTTGGTCGGCTAGTAAGGGTGCGTACTTACGCTATACCGCTTGCGATAGCTACTCTGACAATTACCTCATCGTTTTTGAGCTCCACCTACTGCGCCCGCACGCGCCTACTACACCAAAGCAATTGCATATTCACCCATGTGAGGCCGACTCTGGGATTGTTGGTGGGATAAACATGCCAACAAATGACAGCAGCAAAACTTTCCCTGGATCCGGAGTGCTAAAGCAAACCCGACAATTCACAACCGTATCACGCCATCTCCACTGTGAACTTTGACACTGCGTACTTGATCGCGTGTACGATTGAGCATATCATTCTCGAGTCACACTTACTCCAACTCTTCAGCAATGGGAGGCAGGCTTTCCATGCCCAAAGCCGCTGATGGGTTGAGTGAAGTCCCCAAAGCCGCACCTGGCAATGCATCAGCACGGTTTTCTCGGAACCGTGGTATCATCAATGGTCGTGTAAGATTTCTCTGCCGGAAGTAGGATGCACCTACAGCGTTTTCTCTGACCCGTATACAGACGGTCATGGCACCACTAGCTGCCTTTACTATGGCCGGACTGCTGTTCGTTTACGCTCGAACGTCAATACGTGCCGCCAAGCTCAATGCGCAAAAGCACCGGGAGGCAGATGGAGGTCAGATCAGTTGGCACAAAGAGAGCTTGAGGCGGCACGGGCAAATTGAGAGATTGGACGATGATAGGGGAACGTTTGGAGAGGCGCTACTGGGAGACATGCGTAGGAAGAAACAGCACAAGGCCAAGGAGAATCAAAAGGTGTCGGCCGAGAGATCGGAAAACGATGCGGAGTTGAGGAAGATCATAGGCAAGAAAGACTGATGTAGCCAAGAAGAGGTAGAGCTGGCCATGGCAGCTGTCAGACTGCTCCGCAGGAGGAACTTGGCTGAGCTGATGTATGGAAAATCACCAGGGTTGAGGATGGGTGCCTACGTGCACAAGATTATTCAACGTGTGACCTAAATCTCAATATTTCTTGGAGCTGGATATAACATCTCGAATGTGATGTGGTATCGGAAAGGAGCATGGCTGCGGATGCCGATGAGCTTAACTCAACCCGCGTACCATGGTCCGCGGCCGGTAGCCTCTTGTCATACATGTCCTGTCACAGATGGAGGCTTGCTGTCGGATGGCCAAGGTCGGGTAGCGAGAGCGCAAGACGCGGCGTGGAAAAGGGAGGGCCTAGTACAAGCGGGCGACTTGATGTTAAGACTGTGAATCAGAGAATGCCTACCCAAGTACTGTGGCTGCAGTAGACGGCCAACGTGATTCGCCCGAGCTATTGCGACGCATGTGAACTGGGGTAGGTGTTCAGCTTCGCATAGGCGCGAACCGACCCCGCATTCCACACCGGCACTCTTGAATTACACACCTGTACAACGAGTTCTGGCAGGATGACAGCATGGGCAATCAAAAGGGCATACACATGCCCAATGCCAAAGCAGTGATCGTCCTTTTGCGTGCGGCGGACGAGACATTTCTGCGATCTGGGAGACACATTGAAGTGCGATTCGGCTTGTCGATCACAGCCATGCGCCAATCAGGCCATGGTTCCGGTGACGGTTAAGCCGCTTTGGAGTGTGAGCTTAACCCCACCATTCCATCACCACGCTCCGAATCTATACACACTCAGCAGCTTCCGCCATTGTCGCCCACCCTCCCTCTCTGCCACCAACCTTTCCACGTTACACCGATCGCGCGCACTCCTGCAACCCACTGAGCCTGACGACGCAGCGGTCTTCATGGAGCTTGTCTGGCTGCTGGCCCGATCGCGATTGCCGTAGGAAGACAGCACTGTCTTCCACAGCTAGCGATAGCCGGTATGCCCACGCAGGAGGGGGAGAGGCCAAATTTACAAAGAGGCGTTTCCAGTAGGCCCCGTGATCTGACCGACGTCTCGAGAGCCGTCTTGCGCAGCGAGCAGGCAAAGCGATGGACAAAGCGCTACAGGACTGAGGTCGCTGCGAGCTCCAGTAGCCTCCTGTCTACCTTTGCTGCTGTAAGAGAACTCATTCATGATGGCCTGCTACCGAGCTTTGAGGCACTAATAGCTTCCAGTATCCTCTCGACTCTGTCAAAACCCGCCTGCAAGCGTATGCCAGCTTCCCCTGTTATCTCGTAACCTACGACTAACGCTAAACAGATACAAGTTCAACTCTTTCGCCGACTGCGTCCGCCATACCTACAAAACCGAGGGTTTCCACGGTTTCTACCGTGGTAAGCCAGTCATGTTTCCGCGTCGTATCGAATACATTCTAATACACGCGTCACAGGTGTTTGGTCTCCTCTCGCAAGTATAACGCTTGTTCGCACAGTGTCCTTCTCCATATACCAGCGCTCCAAATATGCGCTTGACAACTGGATTTACCAGACTACTGGGAGTTCGCCACTTGTAATCGCGAATACCAAAGATGCATGGCCCACATTCTCGACAGTCACATGTTTTGGGCTGGCGGGGGTGAATGCGGGTGCAGCCATCACAGTCATTGCATGTACGGAGAAGGGGTTTCCATTTGCAGGCGAAGCCAACTAAATATCCTCTAGGTCCGTTCGAGCTGACAAAACTAAGCGCACAAATTTCAGTGCTTATGGCCGAGCGTAACGATGGTGGCGGCAAGAACGAAGCGATACGGAAGAGTTACCAGAATTTAGGAACCTGGAAGACGGCACAAAATCTGATCAGGCATCGGGGTTGGAGTGGCCTGTATTCTGGCTTTCATTTGCATCTGCGTGGGTGAACCAAAGCAACAAGGCAGAGAAAAATATGTAGAAAACTGACATTGCATAGTTCGGGATTCGATCGGCACCGGCATCTACTTCATTACGTATGAGAGTGTGAAACAGGTTTTGGCAAAAGCACGCGGGACATCACCCACACATCCGTTGGCAGTTGTAATAGCTGGTGGTCTTTGTGGGCTGGTGAGTTGGGCATGTGTAAGTACGCTCAGCAAGGGGGAAAGGCATACCTGACCGTCATTTCAGATATTTCCCATCGATACAGCCAAGAGCATCTATCAGCGCAACTGCCTCGTTGGAGGAAAAGACAAGGCCACTCGTCCGAAGATTCAGTTCTTCAACCGTCGGATGTATCGAGGTGAGAATAGGTCATTGAGATTTTTCAGGTTCGCTACTGACAAACTCTAGGCCTGGGTGTATCGATGTCTCGCTCCTGCATTGTCAACGCAATTTTCTTTACTGTATTCGAGCTCACAAAGAAGCGCATTAACAGTATGACTTACGACGACGAGCTTCTGCGTGCCAACGGCGTTTGAATGGGAATCCCTTACTGTGCCGACACAGGGCATCCAGTAGGCGCATAACATATTTAGCTGGAAATTGATACACAGGATATTGTGTTTTGGATATCTTATCATGGGCACATCAACCAATCAAGTCAAATTCAGATAAACGCTGCAAGATATCAATCCACGTAAAAACAGGACATCTGGTGATTCTACCATCGCCTACTCAGCTTTCATTTTTGCCAGTTCCATAACAAACAGGAAGTTATCTCACAACTTACTTGGGCATTCACTTTCGTCCTCTACTTTAGGATATCGCTGTAATCGATAAGGTCGGACTGCCATGCCACTTAGGGATGAATCGTCAATACTGGCTTGAGCAAGTCTAAATGCCATAATTCTCGACAAAAAATCACAGCGTTAGAAACGCAATTGTAGACCTGGCTGAACTACATGCACCCCCATTACCCTACCCATATCCACAGACGCCTTCTGTAATGCAAGGTGGGACTAGGGTGTTATCTTCAGGACAAGGATGGTACGTGAAATGGCGCAACGAGCGGTAAATAGAAGGTTTTATATGCCGCATTGATGAGGAGCAGTCAGGTGGATATTTTCTGGAATAAAGAAAATGGGCACAGGCTAGGACATGGGGGTAATACTGAGTCACATGTTGGTGGGTGCAAGAGATGAACGCTAAAAATGGCAGACAGAAACCCCCCCAAAAATGAGTGGTTGGCCCCGAATTGAACAACACAGCTTGACTTCACTGCTGCGATAGCAAGGTTGTTGGAGGGTAGAGAAGCCTCTAAAGACATGGCATTTCGCTGCCCGTTGCCATCACCTAGGGTATCACGGAGAGACTCCCGACATTGCGCTTTTCGAAGTATTCATTGACCTGCCGACCTAACATATCTCATGACGCCGTCTTTGTTTCTTCCGGGGAGGGCCCGTGTGCAAAACCGTGGTCACGGAGAGGTCGTGACTATTTCTACCCCAGCAATGGGGATATGCCCGCTGATGAATCCGTTGTACAACCCCGATAAAGGCAAATGTCGAAGAAAGGAAGAGAAAGAAGACGCTTAGTCGAAAAGACCGAAGCCCATGTCCTCGTCGGACTCCTCCTTCTCTGTTGGTGTGTTAGTTGGATCATCTGCCATGGCCATTGTGTGTGGGCCAACGTACCCTCTTCCTTCTTCTCCTCGGCTGCTGGTGCGGCGTCAGCGGCACCGCCAGCGGCGGCAGCGCCACCAGCAGCAGCAGGGGCAGCAGCGCCGCCACCTGAGCCAACGTTCAGGAGTAGGTCCTTGACATCCTTGCCCTCAAGAGCCTATTTACACATCAGAAATTGTCCTGTAACGCAGCATTACCGGAAATGCGCACCTTGGCGAAAAGGGAGGTCCAGATGGGCTCGACGTCCTCGACCTTTGCGGCCTTGATAAGAGACTGGAGCTTGTCGGCCTGTTCAAATTAGCCATGGTGCCCGGGAATTGCACAGATGCACCTCGGGAGTCGTACAGTGATCTCGACACCGTCATCCGCGAGGATGAGAGCGGCGTAGGAGGAGGCGAGCTCGGCGGTAGACATTGCGACGGTTGTGATCGTGAGATTGGTCGTGAGGTCGAGGTGGTGGTAGTTTCCAGACTGCTGAATTCGTTTGATGGTGTGGAAGGCGCTAGTGGTGTCCTTCGCTTAGCTCGGTCTAGCCTATTTTAGGATGGAGGCTGACTTTGCCCCTCGGTGACGTTCCAAGCCCTTTCCCCGCTTTCATGCTGCATCTTGGCTTCCCGCCCAGCTACGTGCAAGTTCGCATATTGCTGCACTCCAGGCCTTTACCAACCACCGAGTTAGGCTCAACCCCACCTCGAGACGACCCGGCCATCGCTGCATAATTCTTGTGGACCACCATGACTGACTCTCCACTACCGCGGATTCCGCTCGACCCGAAAGAGCAGCCTATTCTCGACAGACTGCAATCTATCCGGACAGAGCTAGAGTTGCTGAAGCGCGACCGATCGACTTATGTCAAGAGCCAAGATGTCTTGAAGCTGTACGATCAGGTTATCGAGCAGGTCATAGTTTTGAACGAGATACGCGAAACGAAGCGTCTTGAGCAGAACAAAGGTATGTCACGTTGCCACCTGCCGAATATAGCCGAAAGTTCGCTGATATCTTCTTGTAGTTGACTACATGCTTGATGATTGTTTTCAGCTCATCTCGCTTGCATATCTGACCATTGGAAAGAACCATGAGCCACCAGCAGTGTATGCATTTAACCACTGTTTACTTTATGTTTACTCACCTCTTCGTAGATACTCTTACGTCTCAACGATCAAAGTAGGATAAGATACTCTGTGTATATGATTCTAATTCCAAGTTCTGATGAGTTTTAGCGCCTCCTGGATCATCTCAAAGAAGCTACATTCTACTCGCAAAAGGATCTTGAAGCACTCGACGAGAACCTGAAGGACTGTCGGGACCATATCGAGCGAGGCAAAGATCACTACAGTCCCCACCTTTTTACTCTTCTCGACGCACGTATCAAGGTGTGCGAGGAGATCCTGGCTGAACTGAAACTCAACTTATCTGAGCTCACTCCTGAGCTGATACCAAAATGGGAGAAGCTGGTGTCAATACTAAGGTCAACTTGCGGCTGCAATACACGATCGAAGGTGGGTTGTCTCTGTAAGGTACTCCGCGTATATGCTCATTGAATCCTAGTTTCCTCATGATGAAGTTGAAGAGTACGAGCAGGAGCTGAGCAAGCTAAACGAAGAACTCAAAGAATATGGAATTCATGCATATGAGACCACCGGTTCAACCGAGGAGAAGCTAGCCGAGATGGTTGACAAAATGCAGCTCACCATAGAAAACCCCGAGCCAGCACCAGAAGCAAAAACTCTCATTGGCACATTGTTGAGGCGAAATCTGCTTTGGCTTGCGCTAATCAAGGAAAAGTGCGCGCCTTCCCATTCCTCTTCAATCGCTTGCTAATGGATATATAGGCAAGGACGCATAGCACCGGCTTTCAAAGACACTTATGACAAGCTTCTCACCATACGAAACAAACTTGAAAAGCTCACGCTTACGCAAGCATGGTCACTCCGTGAGACAGATCTTTGGGACTTTCAGCGTCAGCTTGACCGCATAGACGAGGCACGGGTAGACGGCAACTTCATCGATGCATTAGGGCGCCCGTCTGAGATCTACGAGCAAAGAGTATGTGTCATCTGCGCGATGAGAGCTTATAGGCTAACATAACAAGACACTATTGTACCTCCTACGGAAGGGTTACGCACTCATCTACCAGTTGCTCTTAACATCCGAGCCTGTCTCTGAAGCATTGTTGCCAATATACAACCAACTGACAACTCTCCGAAAATGTCTTCTTGAAGTGAAGAAATTGGGAGGCGTATCATCACCAAGAGAATTGTATCCGTATAGCATGAAGGTTTGTGTTTCGTAATGATACGTCGATATTTGTGCTGATACAGGAATAGTTGAATTCAATCGACAATATGCATGTAGATGGTAAATTCATGGTGGGCGACGAGGTACCAGATGGTCAGGGCCGCGTAACGCAGCTCCTGGAAGAATGTTTCGAGCTCGCTTACGACCTAAGGAACGACGCCGAAGAGGAGAGCTCTGCAGACGCTACACCGTCAAGCGAAAAACCAGAGCCTCTTAGCACTTAATTACTATCTTCTTCCTTGCACGCAATGTTCAAGGCTACCACTTTCAATATAATCACCTCATCCACTTCGGCACGTAAACCAGCTGGGGAAGGGCTCCGCACCGGAGGCGCTTGTTCTTTGGACCCTTGTACTCTACTATCTTTAATACGGCTCGATCATTCTCAACTGCTCGATTTCATCTTCAAGTGGCGTTGGAGGTAGCATATCCGCATCCTTAAACGTTAGGTGGCTGCCATACGATATGCCTAGATCTATTAGTGTCTTCTCGGTTTTGATTTGGAAGTTTCTGTTATTTTTGCTTACAGAGTTCTTCACCTGCAGGAATATCTCTCAAGGCTCGATATATTATAATTTTGCGACAGAGGTCTCGCATCCATCCCACATTCTGCTCCTGGGTTGAATGGTTGAACATGCTCCCTAGTCCAAAAACAACTGCTTGCGAAACTTGGTGATTACCGTGCGCATCTGTTTGGGGCCAATTGCTGGATTGAGTCAGGTCTATATACTTGCAGTCAACCATTGGCATGTCTTTGTAGAGTTGTCGCCGAAGTCATCTAGGGGCTTGTGGTATGGGGAGATTGAGTCTATGTATCTTTGAAACCAATGCACGGATTGAGTTATGAAGCGATCATGTACAGGAGCTGAAGAGTGGAAATACCTACTAGGTATAGTGATAAAGGGAAGTGTTCTCTATATGCTTCTTATTCTCGTCTGTTCCCAATATTAAGACTGGACAAATGTCTATGATGGTCTGTGCAGGAATGTCTTTTGTTGCGAACACACCCCGTCCTGCAAGTTCCCATTAGTAAAATTCAGCATCAAGTCCGTGATGAGACAAAACACATAACTTTTGGGGTGTCAGTCTTGATGATCAGATGCGGACATCGTTGAAGCTGGATGTCTTCTTGACCAGATGCAACATCCATAATGTCAAGTGAGTTTTCTTTTGCGTTGTAACACAACGACAAAAAAACAGCAAAACAAGTCAGCACAAGAGCGCGAAGCGGAATCTCGGCCCAATGAGTTGATTCTCATGGGTTGAGCACATCAGTTCACGATATCGGTTAAATTTTACCACCGAGCTAAGTCCGCACCGGCCCGATGTTTGGATGGTCTCCGATGATGCGTTTGCCCCACTTGAACTTGAGCCTGGCCTTTATCACAAGCTCAGTGACCTTGCAACACAACGGCCACCAACATGGCTCAACAGCGAGGCCCTGCAATGGGAGACTCTCTCAAGACGGCGCACTCGGTGAGCCTGAAGGTACTACGGTGCGTATCGCCCAGACAAATGCGGCTCAATAACAGTCGGCCCTCGTGGTATCGCCGAATGGCCAAAGTCTACATGCACTTGTCACTGCCATTCAAGAGAAGCAGCAGTCGCTGATGATATTAGACTATCTCGTCCAATGCTTGCTACGCAACATCCACTGCCAAACTCGAAAGATCTGGGTATATCACCACAAGCTTCACTCGCCTATCCTTCACAACGGAATACCAACGATGCATTCATTCTCAGTCCTGTGCTGAACCTTCCTGAAGCGTTTGGAAGTGCTTATGTTGGCGAGACATTCTCCTGTACACTATGTGCAAATAACGAGCTCGATCCATCAGACAGCACAAAAACAATTAGCGGCGTAAGGATACAAGGGGACATGCAAACGCCTTCGAACCCTACTGGCTCACCACTGGACCTGACAGGCACACCAAACGAAGAAGTCAATACTTCTCCTGGACCAGGCGAATCGTTGCAGCGGATCCTGAGGTTTGAGCTGAAGGAGGAGGGGAATCACGTACTGGCAGTGACGGTCACATACACTGAAACAGCTTTAGGAGAGGGAAAAGCAGCCAGTGGGAAAGTCCGGACTTTCCGCAAATTGTATCAGTTTGTGGCTCAGCAGTTGCTTAGTGTCAGGACGAAGGCTGGCGAGATGAGCCCGAAGAATGGATTACGCCGATATCTGCTGGAGGCGCAACTGGAAAACATGGGGGAAGCGGCAGTCTGCTTAGAGGTTTGTTCTCCCAGTTCCGAGCAACGAGTCAGATCTACGCCACTTTTTGCCTGATACGTTCGCGGGCGCAGCGATTCAAGCACAAGCTCGATCGTGATCATAAACCGCCATTCCGCAACACATGTGGATCCCGGCGCTATGACAATAGCCTACCACAACCACGATTCCCCGGTATATGCCAAATCCGTACTGATTCTGAATAGGCTGTCGACGTCAGTCCGAAACCGCCTCTAAAGTCAACATCGCTAAATTGGGATATGCAAGCCTCAGGACTCAATGCACCAATGTTGAGTCCTCGCGATGTTGTGCAAGTGGCTTTCTTGCTTACCTACAAACCCGGCGAAGACGAGGAAGTCGAAGGCTCCAAGACTGAAGACGACAAACGAGTCTTGGGCCAACTGGCGATTCAATGGAGAAGCGCGCTTGGTGATAGGGGCTCGCTCAGTACGGGATGGCTGACGGCTCGTCGCTGAGGATACTGCTTCACGATAAGGTTTGCAGGACCCGCTCCTAGATGGCCAAGAGTCGTACAAATGGTCTTTACTGACGGGATGACACTCGTGCCTACGGTTTATGAGGGGCTGGTCTTGGCTATTGAGCCTACATTGTGTGTGTGTGTGTGTGTGTGTGTGTGTGTGTATGGCGCACAAGTGAAGCCAGTCGGAAGGCGCTCCGAAAAAAGTGTAGGGCGCGATTGGATGATTACTGTCGGCCACGATTGGTCCCTGAAAAGCAAACAACAGCGCCGCAAGTTATATACATCCTATATGTTGTGCGCGTCCGAATGCTGTCAGCTCCACGGAGGACGTTTGTCAGGCAAGGCGGAGAGGGATTGGGGGAGATTGCGTGGTACGGGCATAGGTATGTATGTATACATGTGACGAGTTAATTTGTAGAAGGGTGTGTTGTGGTGTGGCTAGCTACTTCCAAATCGAGGTAGCCGGGGTGTGGAGGAGTGTTACTTGGATCGATCTGCAAGCGAAGCGAGTCAAAAGCATGTACGTTTGGACTCAGCCACCTCCGAGAAACCCGAACGCACGTGGAAGCGCGAAATCTATTCTCCTCGAGAAAGCAATATAGGGCTATTGCGTCAATGACTAGCGCGAGGCGTCGTCGTGTGGAGAACCGGCTTCGAGGGGAAAGGATGTGTGGCGCTGATCTTCACAGGGCGTCATCAGCCCGGCAGGCAGGAACAGGGTACCCCAGACGCAGTTCGAATCCTGGGAAAGATAAGAGACGCAGCCAATGTCAGTAATCACGAACTGGCGGAGGGAGCCAAGAGGGGCGAAGGATCGACTCTGCTTCACGAAGACGAGGGCCCGCACACGTATGACTTGGACTGTTTGATTGTGTCTCGGTCGATAAGATGGAAGAGGACGAGAGGCCGGACAGGGAGGCGGAGGAAGAGTGGGTGGTAGAGCTCGCTTATGTGGAAAACTATGGACCGACTACTTTTTGGGGGCGCTGCAGTTGTCAAATTAGGGAGCGGCATTGGGTGCGCCCTGGCCAATTTAGGACGTCGACTCAAGATCGACAAGAACCAGTAAGATCGACGGGTCGAACTGGCTTGATCATGTACGTAGTTGGGTACAAGTATGTATGTGTGTGTGTGTACATTTGGAAGTATTGGCAAGGAGAAGGAGGCAGGCAAGAGCCTAAATTAGGCTAGGAGACTGGGGTCGGAAGGTCAACAGCAATGGCAGCGGGATAGATGGCCGGGACACGGGATTCCAGACGGCTCAGGCACGCCTTGTCGGTGTGCAGCGGGAGAGGGAGGTTTTGTGTACAAGTACATGTATGTGAATGTACGTGTATGTACACACATGCACAGGTGTGTATGACAGCAACAGGGCGGGCGTGTGAGATGTGCGGCTGGTTGCAGATGGCAGTGGGGCAGCATATTTTCTTTGTCAGGACGTTGGACAGGTTGCCAGGTGTAGCGCATGGCAGCGAACCATGGACGTGGCCAAAGTCGGCATGCCGGCCCCCCTATTGCTGTTGTCAGGCCGTGGCGGCGGTACGGTTCAGTTGATGAGATGAAACGGAAAGGCAGATTGCAAGCACACCACCACGACGTTACGGTGGACGCAGACGCAGAAACGCGGACGCAGGTCGTATATCCTAATGACAGCCCTGGCCGTCGACTCGACGGCCCCTGAGCAGACGGCGTCGCACCGGGAATGGCGAGGCAGCGGCAGGCGCAAATAGGCCCAATCAGCCAATAGCAGGCCCAGGGTCGCGGTCGCGGCTGCTGGCTGCTCTCAAGGCGGGAAGGGACCCAGACTGTGCCTTCCCCTTCGGTGTGGGCCCCCCCTGGTCGTGCCTTCCGAGGACAGGGTCTTGCAGCGCTGCACACTGCACAGGGGAGGCCGGCACACCAACGCCGTGCCTGTGCACTGTTATGTATCGTCACGGCCGGGCGGTGCAACACACACACACACACAATCAAAAGTATAATTCACCACCTCCAAGCCCGCGGCTGGCGGCTGGCGGCTGGCGGCAGTGCCTTGCATGGCCCAGCAGCTGGCGTTGACTGCCGCTGCGGCCACTCGACCATTGCGTGCATGCACACAAGGTGCAGCAGTCCGGCCCAGGCCAAGCGCCGACACACGTTGACCGCGGGAGCTGTCAAGCGCTAACCGGCCTGCCTCCTCATGCCATGGTGATAAGAGCGCAAGACGGGAAGAGGCCCTGCGATGACGGTAAATGGGGACTAGCTGCTGTCTCCATGTAACTGGGGGCACTTGGGCCCGCGCCTGTCCTTTTCAATGGCTTGTGACCAGGCGCGCTGTGCACTGAACCCTTCTCCACCGGCCTTCTCCCCATTCACTCTCTTGTGCCCGCAGCAACCACACGCTGCCCGGCCTCACAAAACACCGGCCGCCCACCCCTACAAACCCTCTGCTGCCCCTGCCACTGCCCCTCACCGCACTTCCCACCCTGCAACCCTCATTGCCTTGCCTGCCACGTCTGCCCAGCCAACTCAATCCTCTCGTTGGGCTCCCCCTTCGGCGCCGGTCCATTCGCATTTGACACTCACTGTCGCACCACTTGTCTCCACGGACGCGCATAATAGCCCGCTGCGCTGCTCACCACAAAAACCCATTGGACCTGGCGTCCAATCCCCAATGACATAGACGACCAAAGGCGACCCAACGCCCGACACGCCCCCCGGCTGCCCAGTCCAGTCCACCTACGTTCTTTCGTCGACGAGTCTTTCTTGGATATCCTATGCCCACCTACCATCATGGCGCCTGCTCCCTCCTCCTCTTCCGCCACACCTGACCAGTCGCCGCCCCCACTCGCAGACTACTTCTTCATCTCCGGCATCGAGTCCTCGCAAGTTTACGATGAGCGCACCCAGAATAATGTCATAGTCACTTCCCCACTGGCCCAACCCCCCGTCGACGAGACAATCGAAGAGGACCGCGCCCTCGAGACGGATGCCATACGCCCAACTTCACAGGACGGCCTGTCCCATCGCGATAGGGGGCGGTCAAGGTCGCGGTCACGCTCTGCAAATCGCCTCAGCGAAAACCGCCAGTCAGTCAGCACAATCATTGGGCCAGACGCAAAGCCGACGGCGAGCAACCGGAGCAGCGCCACCATCAAGGGTGTGCAGCTTGGCGGCTCTGGTCTTAGCGACCAGGAATTTGACATTGCCCTCCGCAAATTTGCCTCTGAGCGAGATTCATTTCTCGAGGAGATACAGTTCACAGCTGGTGTTGCACAGCAGTCGCGCTCCACCCCCACTAGGCCGCGCCCGCGACCTCAACGCGTTTCACAAGCCAACCCCGAAGATGGTGTCGGTAATCTTCGTTCCGGGGTTGGCAGCATCCGGCGGCGCATATCCACTATGCAAAGCAGCCTGAAGAGACAGCCGTCGACTGCAAGACAATGTAAGTTGACATCATACTATGCATCCAAAAGGTCATGCTTGCCTACACAGCTACCTTTCGGCATGATATGATATTCCTTTTTGCTTTTTTCCCTCATCTCTTTATTGGCGATTGCTGACATGCACGTAGCCTCGATCCGCACTTCCAAACGCATGTCCGGGTACAATTCGGTAATACCAGCACCGCAGCCTTTCGCGCCGGACCCGGATATGCATCCTCTTCTCCGTCGCTACGAGCCAGTCCTACTGGATCGTTATCCGCCAAGAAACATGGTCGAGGAACTCAAAAAGCGTAACCCCTTTCCGGATTATGTACCCATGTTTGCTTTTCCAAATGATGTTAGTGTCGTCTCCTCGGACGAGAGACCAAAGAGCCAATGGCACGGATTTGCCATGACCAACGGGGATGGATCAAAGCTTTACGGCATTTGCCTTATTGTCTGGTTGCCCTTGAATGCTACAGCTGCCGAAGGCCTTGAGCGTCAATGCGAAGAATGGCGAAACCTGCACATGAATCCTGAGGAACGGGAGTTGGCAAGCAGCCTGGGCGAGCGTCTTGCACTAGAGCGTGCCAAGTTGTCTCAGCTCCTTACCAAGCTTCCTTCGATAGCTCCCGATTCTGAAGAACGCGAGAATCTCGACGATGAGATTGGGGCAGTGGAAGAAAAAATCCAGCTCATGACAGACCTGCTCCGTCCGGTACGACACGGTGCAGCCTCCAAGATTGAAGGTCTCACTGATGGAGAGACTGGCCTGTGGATCCCACGTGCCTATGGTGTATTGGGACGTGACGCGAGCCTTACGCCATTCTGGAAAGAGTGGTTAAAGGCAGTCACCGTACCTATGACTACTGGCGCGGTTCTCCGCGTGCCAGCGAGCTCACCGCGAGTAGGCATGTGGCAACCGCTCGAACGGTACGTGGTCAATCTATGTGCAGAGGCACTTAGTCCGATTACCTCCGTTACACAGGTCGAACTGGCTGTTCGGGAGCTTCGCATGTATGCTCGGAAAGAAGCTGTCAACGAGTTGCCGGGGTCCCGCACCATTGACATTTACGCCCTCTTCCGCTGCATGTCTATCCCAAACATCATCACTCTGTTCGAATTTGTTCTCTCTGAGGCTAGGATCATTCTCCTCTCTTCTCACACGGCCATGCTACATCTTGCGAGCATGGCAATCACCAACTTATTATATCCTTTCCAATGGACCGGTGTCTTCATCCCCGTCCTACCATCTCGTCTCGTCCAGACTATCGAGGCTCCTTGTCCTTACATTGTTGGAATCGAACGTCGTTACGAGCCCGCTGATTACCCAGAAGACGATTATGTATTGGTCGATTTAGATGCCGACTCCATAGTATCCAATGGCCCTCCACCGCCAGCGCTTCCTCGCCAACAGCGGCGCAAGCTCATGTCCTTGCTCCAACAGTCTGCCCCACATCATACGCAATACGGCGTGTCCACTGGCCCACCTGCTTATGCGATCGAGGCATTCCCATTCGACACATTCGCATCTGAAAACTCTGGGGTCTTTTCACACAGGGCACAGCCATTGACGATACAGAATTACGTTGGATTGAACTCAACCTCATTCGGCACAGTTCTTGGGCCACCGAGCTCCAAGGTCTTAATCCACAACGCCTTTTTACAATCAAGTGCCTTGAGTCGTGGAAACGACAGGCCATCAACAGCAACAACCATAAAGTCTCACCACTCTCCACCTTCACCCAAGGTCTCCCCTGTTTCTACGGTATTTCCGCCCATGCCAGGCACGCCTATATCGCGCAGCGATTCTGGGTATGCTCTTCAGGCTAACCTTCGGGAGAAGAGATCCGCGCATTTTGACTCTTCCAGTCGGCGAAGTTCGTCGGTAAGTTTGGTTCTCTATATGCTGATCGTCCATGGACTAATGTAGCTAGTTTGGTTTTGAGCGTGTGCCTCCACTTCGGCGCCCTTCTCAGCCGTTAACTGGCCATACCCCCAGTGCATCCACATCATCCCTGAGCCAAGAATACAAAGCGGCTAGCTCTTCGTATGCACCATCAGTGTATGCACAGTCAACGCTGGCCGCATCAACCATCATGCCTGGTATGGCAGTGCAGCAGGTTCGCAATACCTCAACTACGCAGTGGCAGGAGGGACATTGTTTGCAGTGGAGACCCAACGAAGATCGTGCTGTTTGTTCCATCTGCGAAGAAAAAGCAGACGATGGTCTGTATCGCTGTTCTGGTAAGTTCTGCATGCTTGCAAGTTTAGCGAGTGTTTTTTTGGCTAACCATGTACAGGTTGCAGCACGTATGCCCATAGCCGATGTGTGGAGTCTATCTGTATTGTGTGCCCTACGGCTTTTCGTCCAGATCAGGTCAGAGCATCGTTTGTACGATGCTTCGCTAGCCTATTTTACACTTATCGACGTTACCTGGTTCCGGCTACCGGCGAGCGTAAGAAATCTGGCATGCATTATGAATTCAAGATGGATGAGTTCGTAAAGAGCTTGCCAGTGGAAAATGTGCAGTACATTACTTCACTCCAGCAAACACAAGGTTTGTAACTACAAAACCCCTTTTTAACAAAGATGTCTAACCATACACTAGCTTTCAACGAATTCATCCATGAGCGCGAAAGTAAATCAGCTGATGACCCCTCCATCAAACTGTTTGATGAGGTTATTCTAGCGAAGCGCAACCGCGGAAAATCATCGTTCTTCTACAAATCGAAGGTGGACTTTTTGTCAGATACGACAAACCATCTGTGGCATACTGCGTCTGCAACACCGCCAAATTCACGCTTTCCAGGCGATTATCGTTCTGTCATCAGTCGGAGTATGTTGCATCCATCTCCCTACTTAAACCTTACTAACAAGAGTCGTAGTCCCTGCAAAGCTTGACCCTACGCTGATGAAGGAACCGCGCGTCATTCAAGGCGTACCTCGCATACCTCAGGCCAAAGCTCGTCGCAAGCCTATACCATCTATGCTTGGCCCAGGCAGTGATGATCCTCCACAGATACATATCTCATGATCTACATTTAAGCTTCCCGCTCTCTATAACGACGAACCCCGACCTCCATGCCTCCTGTCTCGTCATACTCTCACCTTTTTGCCTTATTATTATCATTATGTGTTACATACCTAGCGACGGAGTTTGTGGCGCATTGCAGCATCATTGGTAGGGCAATTTGATAGTCCACTAACCGGTGCTTGCCTCTCAGATTGGATATCTGATGGAACAACTAAACTCTGATCTTCGGAATCATACTGCATTACATGGGATAGATTAGCATGCCTGCACATGGATCATCATTGGATCCCCTGCCCGTTCTAGTATTTTGTCAGCTGTGGAGTTCTAAATAAAACAAGGCTCCGTATTGCGGATACATCGTTGTAATAGCTTTTTTGGTCACTATTCACCCCAGGTTGGCGCCTCCGGTTCGGGACTGGCGAGCTTCTTTCTTTGTACATTATTGTTTCTGAAGTATACGATAAGACAACAGCTGGCAGAAGATGTGTGGCGCCTCGAGAGTGCCTCCTGTATCACCAAAAATCAAACCTGAATCACCATACTTCCCATACCACTTCCCATCTGGACCAGTCGAAAGAACTCAATGCACGTCGCTTCTGAGCTTTGACCTCGTAGCATTCGGTCAGCACATCCAATCAGCGCGTGTTCCGAAACTTTGTTCCTGACAAGGCCCGCTAGCGCTGACTTTAAATAGATAAGCGTCCAGTCATCGTCTTGGCAGACGCGCGGTGAGGCGAGCCCCTTGAGGACTGCTCTTTGATGACCTTCTTGACGCGCCTCCTGCTTTCCTCCTTCACCGACACTCTTTGTTGTACATTCGTTCTTTTTTGGATCGCTCGCTCATCCTCACTCGTTAGGTTGCACTATCGTTAATAAAAAACAATCCAAATTTCGACACCAGCCATCCCAAAACAGTCAATAAATATGCTCGGACGCACCGTTTTTGCCGCAACTCTTTTTGCGCTTGCGCAATTTGCTGTCGCCGCGCCCCCTGCCTGTCTTCTTGCGGCCGCCAGTCAATACAGTGACCCGGCTACCGTCAAAATGGTATGCCAATCCAAGGACATGAAGTCCATGGTGGCCACGATTTGTCCCAACGATGTGGATGCTGCGGTGGCGGCGCTTGCAGATATTTGCAATGGCCAGAATGCCCATGCTGGTAAGTACACTGCTATCTCGCGTTGCAGTCGGTGTGTAGAAAGCACAGGAGGAACTGCGACGGCATCAAGATCGACATACTAATACTATTATGCAGCCTCTGGCATATCTGCGACTGCCCCCCTGACTACGGGCTCATCCCCTAAGCCTACCGGTACTGGAGCCTCTACTCTGGTCCCTATGTACCCCACCGGCTCTGGCAGTCACCACAGCGCAAATGGTACCGCCCCCATCTCGACTGGCAGTCCCAGCAGCGCAAATGGCACCACTATCATCGCGACTGGTACTCCTAAGCCTGTTCCCAGCACCACTGGCCATGCTAGTGTTCCTAGTCCCAGCGGCGCTGCTGGCAAGGTCGATCTCGGACTCGCAGCTGTTTTCGTTGGATTTATGGTTGCTGCTTTGTAAATTGGCCGCGGAATAGAGGGGTGAAAGATAGCTCGGCATTGTGGTGATGGATTAGGAATGATATTAGGTACTTCGTCGTACATAATTAGAAACTATTTTGAATAAACATTGAACAAAACAAAACAAATGTACCACCCACCCAACCAGCAAAAGTATGCACAACTCGATGCTACATGTCATGTCCCATATCGATTCTTTACTTTTTCACAGTACATTTTCCGATTGCCATCCAATTGTGTCGTTTCCCATCTAGCTCGGCCCAACATACCCAACCTTTTTCCCCCTCTCTGCATACCCCCCTTCTCCCCCAGTATTAAGAGATTCGGAAATTGTTGCAGACTATTAACCCGCCTCTTGGCACGAGCCTTAGGCAAAACCACCGCAATCTCCCGACTATCGCGAAACAGCCCGGTGCCCTCATTCATCCCTTACCCACGCAGTTTCGCTTAGCGCCGGGTAAAGCATCCTAACTATCGATACACACACACACATGCCTCTCAACCACAGCCCTGACCCGACTGTTAAACGAAAGGATCCAAGGAGAAAATAAAAAAACGCGGGGTAGTGTACCCGACCGCCATGTCCACCCAACAAGTTTAAAAAGTCTAGACTCGCCCGCGGAGCGTACGTAAGAGCTGAACGCCCTGTGGCGCATTCACACACATGTTTCGCGCAAGGCCTAGAGTCTCGTCTGCCTTGTTCTTCGGAGACGCACATTCGTTTAGCGGTATGTGACTCTAGACCTCCTATCGTTACGCGAGTTATGTGTAAGAGGCGTTGTGTGCTACCCCTACTACTACGAATCTAAATGAAAGCAACCCCCACCCCCCGGCGCATACACTCTATTGGTGGTTTCAAAGCCGGGTTAGCGGCCTGACTTTATGTGGTTGCGACAGGCGTTGGTGTTGGACCCCTTCTCTGTCTTTTTGCTTTTTTTTTTGCTGGGTCCGCTTGGACATGGTGGGACGGCTGAGTTTACCCCTCATTGCCCCCACTTTCGTTGCTGTCGCAGTTTTCAACGCCCCGCTTCTCGCGGCTGTCATTGCTGCTGGGGGATTTTGCTTTGGTATGTTTATTTTGTAAATACTCAAAATTTCACATATTACCTGGCAAGATGGCCGAGCGGTCTAAGGCGCTAGCTTCAGGTGCTAGTAGAGAAATCTGCGTGGGTGTAAGTTTCAATCAACTACTTTGGCTGTTCAACAGCATTCTAACATTATCACAGTCGAATCCCACTCTTGTCAACATTGTTCTTTTTTTGCACTCTGTTGTATCTATGCATAGGCAATGAAGATATAAAACAACTTTTTTTCAATCCTTCTCAAGTCCATTGTCTGGGCGGTTGTTGTGATTTCGATTATCTTTTTTTTCGCAACGAGTTGAGATGAATGAGGTCTATATATAGAAGCCCGCTCTTGTCAACATCTCATTTGTTTTGCCTGTGTAGACATTACATATATTGGTTTTTGCCCCTGCAAGTGCACTGTCAGAGTACGTAAGCCATGATTGCTAATTGGTGTGCTTTGGGAAGTTGATGTTACCTGCTTCGAACTTTGCTTTATGGCGTTGCCAGTTAGTTGTCCCAAAGCATACAGCAAAATTTGTTTGTCAACAGGTATGTCATATGTAATGTAACAAATCTTACGTTTGTTCAAACACCCAGATGCACTTCTATTGTGAAACATCTCTTCGAGGGATGTTTCCTTAATTTCGCCTCGGCTTACAATGGGTTATTAGTCTAGGGACATGCTTCTTCTTATCGAAGTATTTTATGAGCTGTCTGCATCGCGACAATAGACCCATATTCAACGCCCATATAATAGTAACAAACTTTGATTACCTAAGAAATCTTGCGGGAAATCTGGCGAGTCTTTCGTTAGTTAAATTAAGACCCCAGAATCGAAACTCTGAAGTGAGCTTCGCTATCTCTACATAATTACGCGTATATGAACTACGCCAAATGTACCTCTTCTATTGATGAGTATCAAGACATGCATACCTACAAGTGGCTAGCTTCCTTCATTCTGGAAACAATCCTCTTATCCATGTAAAGCTGAAATTTTCCTCGGCATTGTTTTGTATCGACTACGGGCTGACGAGGCGTGTCGGTCCAATCATGCGCCGTACTATTTTTCATTCATTTTGAGCTCTATTCAAAGAAGCGCACTTCTTTAATTCAGTACTTTACCAGAAGTAGTAAGAAGCCGTCATCTTGCGGAAATAAGGGATGTGGTGGTGATATCTTACCGAAAATACTGGTAAGCCGAGCCTCTTGTGAGTGGCCAGATGGTCGTTTACTTCGCAAACTATCCTGAAAGTACAAAAGATTTGCCAATTCTCGAACTCGTAAGCCTGAAATGATTAGAAGGAGGGTTCTGAGTGGGGAAATTCGGGTTTACCCCGTGCGATTCCGATAGTAGTCTGAAGTTCCTCGCTACTTCACGTCAGCACGTTGTTTACAAAAAAGTGTTCCACGGATTTCTGTATAGTTGTTGATCTACTCTGGTAGAGTTCCAGCCATGGTAAAGGCTGAACGTACTTTCTTTCACATGCGGGTTTGGCAAGGTTGGAACAGGTAGACGCCAGTGAGTATTCAAGGTATCACGTGGCATGGGATGTGCGACAGTATGAGACAACGAGTTAAGGATTCAGAGCTTATTTACTTATTCATTATTCTCAAGTTGACCAAATCGTATGTTGTTTTTCTACAAAATGCTGAGTTCACATAATAGGCAACCGCTCCTTGTGTGTGCTCTTTGCTACTATCATGTGAAAGAGATTATGCGTTATTTCCCGGCCCCATGCACGTGAACAATTTCTCTAGCACTTTCCAAGATGTTACAAGTAATAGCGACTTGGTTCTTTCCGACTTGACCAAGAAAAAAGAAGGAGATATCTATCTGAATCCTTCTTATTGGAAGGATTACAGTGAAGATATCTACAACAGCACAGTATTGTCAGAGCACTCATGACGCATTCTTACTAAAAATATACTATGAAGATCTGATTACAAGACGCTCTATGTACGATGAATGATTGAGTGCTGGCGTTGTATAATGTCCCAGATTTGGATATAGTAATCTGAGAGTCTGATGGTTGTAATTTAACGAGGGCGCCATGGGCCTGCCTTTTGTGCTAACTTGGCAATAGTGATTGGATGTTAAAATGACGCAGCAGGTATCGGCGGCCGACTATTCCAAACAGAAGCTCAGCGCCCCGGTAGCAACATCCCTCTTTCTCGTGTTGTATATATCTACGTACGTGGCAGTTCTCCATATGACACATGTAGTCCCACGACCATTAAACCAGAAAACGTCTGATGTTCGAGATGTTCCATTCGACATACCGTTATATCCTTCAAACCTCTCCCAATACACGACATATCGATAGTTCTAGACTGTAGGATGGTCTGCTTCTTCGACCAACCACTACTTGCTCATATCACATTCAGATGCCACTTCACATGCCACAAGTACAGGTACTTTCTCATGACTGTTAAAGTGTACCAGTACCTAACAGTGATGCAGGCTAATCATGTCTCCTCGAACTGTCTCCAATCCCAACAAGAATTCTCGCCGTCTGATATATCATGGCCGAAATCCTGTTCTATTCTTCCATCCACCATCGATGATAAACTCAAGACAATTTCAATATCATCATCATTCATCATTCACAAAACCTCTTCTCATTCCATGCCAACATCATAATGGCATCCTCTGGCAGCAAACGGTGGAGTGAGGCTGGACCATCAGCCAACTCCTGGCGAAGTCGAACCTGCTCCTCCTCCTCCTCTTCTTCTTCATTTTCATCATCATCATTACCATCATCCGACTCCTGGAGAAGTCGATCCTCCTCCTCCTCCTCCTCCTCATCATCATCATCATCATCATCATCATTACCATCACTACCACCACCAAAGTCCCAGAACTCATGGGCAACCGCAAACAACTGGCGGAGTGGCTCCCCAGTAAAGTCCCTTAACAAGCCGGTAACAATACCGGATTTCGATAAACTCATAGAGGGGCAGGTTTTATACCTCGGTGTACCTCCTCCGAGCTCCATCTTCTGGCAACGCCAGGATTCGTCCTCTCCAGAGAGGCATCCAGTGGTGATTGTCGGAAAGTACCGGGGCAAGGACGGAGAAGGATGCGTCAAGGTCCGACTGGTGACGAGTTTCGGTGGCCAGCGGCTTCAAGACAAGAAGCCATTCTGGCAGTGGAAGTTTTTTATGCTCTGTGAGAACTCACAGGAGCAGGCCCAAACGGAAGAGGTCCGTCTGGCCAAAGTGGCATCTGGTTGTGACGCGTTCAAGAAGCGCTGTTACGTCAATCTCAGCCCAAACTCGCTTTACCATATCGAGTACAAGCACCTGGGTATTTTCGCTACCCAGCCAAACATCAGGTTTGACAACCTGTCAACAAGCGAGATCAAGAATGCTCCAGCGAACTGCTAGGTAGCACTTGTTGGCAGGGCCAGATGCCACTCTCTCACCACCGACTTGACAGCCACCCCTCTCTAGACAATGCCGAACGCCACCGCTGGCTCATGCCTGAAGGTCCCCGGCACAACTCCCTCTCTCTCTATATATCTTGACAATGCCGACTGCCACCGCTGGCTCATGCCTGAAGGTCCCCGGCACAACTCCCTCTCTCTCTATATATCTTGACAATGCCGACTGCCACCGCTGGCTTACGCCTGAAGGTCTCCGGCACAATTCTTTTCATTTGGATTCTGTCTTTCCCCTCATCCTTTGTTGTTTAGGGAGTTTTTTTTGTTTCATTTTGGGCAAGCGCGATACCCGGGTTGTGTTTATTTTTTTTCATCATGTTGGACTTTGCGATGGGGTGTCATTTGATCACGCTTCGGTGTTGTAGCATACATCATCAAGATGGTTTTTGAAGTACAATATTCAAGAAGTTTTTTTTTTGGTTGTGCTTGATAAAAGAAATCGTGAATTGCTGGGTGCATGGTGCGAGTTCGATTAGTGCCCACATGTTTTCCTTCCCAATAGTTTCTGAAGGAATGACGTATCATGATGACGAATTTTTCTAACATTATGCAGGGAATTTATAACCATGTACCAAACGCCATGTACAAGGCTTGTTCCAGAAAGCTTAACTTCAAAACACTTACTGGGGAAAAACAAGTACTGCGTCTAAGTTGTACAAAAGAGGTGAGATGTCGACGTGCTTTGATCATTCACGGTACTAAACTCGACTACTACGAACACGTTCAGGGTCTACACATCCCGCTTCAAGCATTTCCTGTCTAACCAAACTTGTCCTACTTCGTATATTGGCTTACGTATTCACGTAACTACGACATCGTCTCGTCCTATACGAGTTTGGATATCGTATAAGCTAAGTTTACGGGAGGGCACTGAAGTCTCCATTGAGGACGTAAAGAAAGAAAAGAATCGCTGGGCAGCGAAAAAAAGGGAGTCGAGACCGACGTATTTTGTTCTTTCAAGGTGATAATAGTGTGTATTATAGGGAACTTTTAATGATTGTTGTAAGATAGGATCAGTGTTTGTTACCAAGTATGGTAATTTGCATTGGGTTGCGAAAGTACATGTGTACATAGTATGATGGTCTACTCGAAGGGTACGCCTTACGCCCACATTTTTTGGCGAATGGAAAACTAGTATCTTTTTTTTAAATGTTACGAAGCAGATAATGAACCATGTTAGAGTGACCGGTACTGACTACGTGAAGTTTGATTGGGTTGTTTGGCAGGTTGCAGTGGTACATCTAGCTACGTGAATTCTTTCTTTTTTGTTTATGGATACGATGCGTAGTTTGCGCATATATTGTCTCGAAGGCCTTGAGTCATTCCCCTTGTTCGACCTAAATCGCATCGCCGTTGTTAGGCCGCTGATTTGCGTTTTTGAACACTTCAAAGCCAACAAAAACATGGTTCACAATGGGACTTTTTTGTCATGTCACTTCAAGCAAAATCCTCAAGATACACGAATCCTCTGATCTAGAGGCATTTTTTTTTCTTCTGATCTTGATAGTTGAAGATTCCAACACGTGCAAGATTTGATGTTGGGCACCTATAGCCGCTGGACCCTGGTCATTGATGGTGTTAGGCGAATACATCTTGAATCTTGCGGTGTCAAATACAGGAAACTCTACCGGTCCGTAGGAATATGACCAAACGCCACGGAGTATATGTGTACTTCATTAATAGGTTGTGACGCTTTCCTTGGTTCTGCCCACATGGCTATTGCATGCGCGGTAGAGTTTCCCTTCCAATAGCAAAGCTACAAAACGCCATCACGCAACGGAACACCGTGTTCCGTTCTGTGATATAGCCAGTGTGATGAGGTGTGCAGCTGCTTATCACATACTGCAATATGGGCCAGCGACGACACCTGCTGCTCCTTTTGTAATTTCTCTCACATGAGTTATGATGGCGCTCCTCTTGTGGCATTGTTACTTGGCAGAGACAAAAACTGGGAAGTGGGAAGTGGATGGCAGTCTAGGCACAAGGCAAATGCGTAGTAATTGGCCGCAGACGCTGTAAATACTGCTCGACCAAACATGGTCAGCGCTCCCAAATCACGAGGAAAGTGAACCGTGTGCACGTATCGGGAAATTCTCTTTTCAAAGCGGTCCAGGTAATCTCGCAGGTGGAGTTTCAGGTACGGTACCGTGGCGCGCCGAGACCCTACCTACAGACGCTTGGATGCTGCGCCACTAGTACGGCTTCCTTCGCTCCAAAGTAATATAGCCTTGACGTTACATTGACATGACAGAACCTGGAAACTATACGTGTTCTGTCTTCTGTAATACATACAATCACAGCCGAACGGGGTGCTCTGACGTGACATGAGAACTCTTGGCACATCTGCTGTCGGTTCCTGAAGCACTAGGGGCGGTTGCCATGAGTATTTGCGAACATGGTACCGTCCAAGACTAAGAGTGCCCACAATCGCAATGCCGCGGCTTCATCCTTGAGCGTTTTTTTTTCAAGCTGGCAGTAAGCCGTTTGAGTTGAGACGGTTTTCAGTCGCATGCTGGTGTCGTGTGTGTATTACGAACTAGGTCAAGTCAAATATTCGTAAGCATCACCATGTTGCTGTTAGTCGCGTTGAAGTACGCGATTGTCCCAATCCCGCCTGGTGTATAATTATCAAAGGCATCGTCGCTAACGTCGCGTAGAGCGTGTAAACGGCCTTGGTCTTGGCAGAAACTGCCCCTTGGCAATCATCGAAGCTGGGGTTTGCAGTGTATGACAGGGTTATTATGAGGGTCGCGGGGCTGTACGAGGAGCGCAATGATGGCACGATAGTGATACCGAAGAGGTGGAAGTAGGCATGAACGATTGGCTGGTGGCCTGGGCAGATTGCGGCAGGCAGCACCTTTATGTTCTAGCCCTACTGCCGACCCCAAGTATGAGTCGAGGCAACGGCATCGGCATCAGCGATGCCATGGAGACATGGTGGAACAGTGGGGGTGGTGCCGCGAAAGGCAGGAGAGGACAGACAAGAGTTGAGTATTTATCCGTCTCTTTGTGCGTACTTATGGTTACATGAAGGAAGCCCATCTTCCCGTGGAGGGCAGCTAGTGCGACCAGAGTGGGCGAGAGTGGTTTGGATCCATTGTGTAGGCGGTGAAGAGGACAATTTGTGGATTCGCACTGGTGCAGTCGCAATGAGGGACGACCTAGGGTTGAGGCGTGTGCGTGCACTGGGCCATGTGTCTTACAGGCGGGCGTGGTGTAGCCGTGAGTGACGGACTGTTGTTAAAGCTCCGAGACAACTCTCCAGCTCCTTCCTCCCCTGTTACTAACGGGTACCCCCACACATAGACACCACATTAACCAGGTCACCCACTAGTCAAGCTCCACGATGTGGTGGTTCGATGGCTCTTAGCGTTGCTACCGCATGATTGCGACAACTTTTCTCACCCTCGTATAGGTTGTGTCATGTTAGGTGCTAGTAATGAACCGACGGGACAGGCCATCACAGAAGCTCAGTCGGCGACTCTGTTTGCTGCGATTGTGGCGAGTGACGGTCATGGCGGGAGAAGAAAAAAAATATTCGCGACTATCCTTAGTCAGTTAACCGTTAGTAGGCGCAAATCAATCCCGGACTACTACTCTATGGAGCTCCTTCCCGAAGTTCAGCCTGGATTTGAGGAGAAATAAGCACATCATCCGCGGCGCGGGAAGACGGCAAGAATTGTTCTCGAAGGCGCTTCTTTGATGGCGCTTCCTTGACAGCGCACAACCATTTTCGGGCGCTGGAGAATGCCCGGGTGCTTTGAGGAGGTTCAAGGCATGAAGGGCATCGTGGGGCCATCGGTGTGTAGCAGCCGACGTGCTCCACATAGAGTCAGCGACTCGAGTCAGATGTCGCGAGGACAGGTGCTCACACTGACACAGTTAGGAGGAATTACACTACACAGTGCTACTGTTAGGAGACGCCACGCACTGCATAGCTGAAGCATATCATGCGCGATGTCCCGATACTTTGAGCTATCGGGTTCGAGAATGTGTCCCGAATGCAGCCGCGGCACCATCACGTGCCAGCTGGCTATAACCGTCTCGCCTTTTGGAAACACTAGCCGGCATCACCGAGCGTCCAGTTCGCGCCTTGTCAGGAGCCGAAGTTTTGGGGCAGCCAGAGCTGAAGATCCTGATTTTGGTTCATGACTTGTCGAGATCGATGAGTCCATCGGCGAAACCCCCCCCCCCATGTCCCATGAATTTGTATCACGAGTGTAGGTCGTCTCACCGACATTTGTGCGCCGGGCGAAATGCATCGGCAGCCCCACCCGAGAGAATGACCGTGTCGAAGGAAAAAGAGACGACGAGAGCAATAACCAGGGCAATATGGGTGGAGATAAAAGTCTTCAAGACCGCAGCGTGAGGAGACGCGCTCAATCTCGGCAATGTGCCGCATAGGGCATCATGTAGACCCCTGTTGAAACAAGCTGCAAATGAGAAGCGTGTCAGAAAGAGCACGTCGAAAGCCATGCTGACAATTTCTGTCAAAAGCCAACGAGGGCGGCTTATTGGTGGTGATGGTGATGAGGAGGTGCAGTAGGCCAGCCTTGCAGTAGCGCTGAGAGGCTTTGGCGAGAGGCGTTCACGATGCCATGCGAATCGAATGCCTGGCTTTCTCAGAGTGCAAAAAGCATGGGCAGACGCGTCGGTGTTACACTATGCTACATCGTTCACGCCAGCGGCCGCTAGGCAAAAGGAATCGGTTGCCACGTGTTGTGACCCCTGGCAGCCACGGCATTATCTCGAGGAGGCCAGGCTTGACTCGTCACCATAAGCACCGAAGATCTTTTCCCTTTGGAGGCGCTATGGGAATTTTATCAAAGAAAACTGCCAGAGTCAGTTTTCTTGCGGCTAGGGCGGCCAAGCTTGGAAAAAACCCTTGCCAGAAGAAAGAAAAAAAAGAAATAATAACCCCAGACCATCACATGTGGGCCAATGGTAGCAGGGATGACGAGATTCTTTTACAGCAACTAGAGGTATTTGGCAGCGCAGGATGCTGAAGCCGCATAGTGTCCCAGTCGCCAAAGTTACGCGACGGGAAAGGGGGGGGGAACTACAAGGGCTTCATCGTTTGTTGCATCACCATCAGCATCATCGTCGTCACGTCGACTGCGCTAGAGTAGAGATATCTGCACAAGGCGGATGCTATGGGCTTAGCTCAGGGTCAGCGGCGGTGCGAGCAGCATAGTCAGTGTAGGAGAATGTAGCCAGTAAGTATGCAAGTACGAACAAGGGAGGGCCATCTTGACTGAGAGTAGAAAAAGATGGGCTCTCTGCCTCGTCGGGGGCCTAATTATGCCGGGCCCCGCGGGTGCCCTGAAACCCAAAAGTGGGCTGTGGGTGTTTATTTCCGGCCGTGTGGTGCAGCCTCGCGCTCAGATGGTCACGGCCCTTGGGGATGGACAGTGTTTGGGCGACTGTGGCGCGGTCCGGGATATGATAGGTGCGATAGGTGGGCAGGACCGAAGAGATGGGCAGCCCGCTGCTTACTCACCACATGCGTGAGGGCGTCCGAGGCTTGTGGTGATGACGCTGCGCTGCGAGCGGTCGGTGATTAGTCGGAGCGATGCCGAGGGCGAGAGGCAAGCGGCAGGCGACGGCGGAGAAGGAGAAGCAGGAGTCGGGGCTGAAAGGACAAAGGGTCCAGGGCGATGACCCTCCACGGGCACGAGTGCGGGCCTATGTAATACGCAGGCAGGCATGTAGTCAGTAGCAGGTGGATGGATGCAGAGGCATGCAGATGGATGCAGATGCGTACGGCCAAGGAGGGATGTCTCGCATGGCAGGCCAGCGAGGCGTTGGGCGTGAGGGCCTTGAGGTGGGGTTGCACACGTGGAATGGCGGCACATCGTCTGTTCTCCAGCCTGCAGGCTGGGAAACACGACAATCTCCACTGGCAGTGTTCCGAGCTCGCAATCAGGCATTGATCGACCATGAGGTAGATAGGGCGCAGATCTGCCGAGTCTGCTCAGAGCTGATGACGACAATGCATGCTTGCTGTGGTGCAGGCCAAGGTGTGATTGGGCACACCTTGTCTTCAACCATTCCAGTCTGGCCGACAGGGCCGGCGCCTGTTGCATGGCGGGCAATGCAGCCACGCTGACCGCGTCTGGGTACGTACGTACTTTTACATGTGTCTGTATCAAACGACCTACATGTGCGTGCGTCAAAGGCTGCGCCGTCGACTGTGCCCACGTTTTGACGGCCTGAGCAACAATGTCTCGGGGCGTCGCGTGTCGACGTGGGTCGCATTACACACACACCAAAAAGAGAGCGAGAGTAGGGAGAAGGGGGGGGAGGCTAGCTACTGTAGTCAAGTGTACCACGGCGTCGTGGGCCGAGCTAAAGGGTCGTTGGCCAGCACAAAGGTTACGCGGGAACGGGTCCTGGCAAGGTGGGAGCAACGGCGATGCAGAGCGGACAGGCAGCTGGGCGTGTCAGGCCATGTGGTGGGAGACGGGTCCTCTCAACAGAGCAGAGGCGTCTTTGGGTCTCGCGTGGCTGCGTGCGGTGATTTGAGAGGATGGGTGTATGTGTGTGTGTACTGTATGTAAGTACATTACATACAGGCAAGGCAGGTGGCGTATCGGTACATGTGCACATGGTTTATTGTATGTACATATATACATATACATATATGTACATACATACATACATACATACAGATATTGATACATACAGACGATAGTAGCAGCAAAGTATGGTCCCATTGGAGCGGACCCCCTGTGGCGAGGCCGTGGACAGCGTCTCGCAAGCCTGGACAGGGGGCGGCAGAGTGCAGGGATGCCTCGTGGAAGCCCACGGCCAGGTGCTCTATTCCATGGTCGGCGGACGTGCAGGCGGCCATGTGTCTCGTATGCGACTAGGAGGCGGGCGTGGCTAGAGCCTTTGTCATGGCCCGGGTCCAGGGCTAATTCGGCGCCATGCTAGGTTCTCTTAGCTGTCTTAGCACGGCGGTGTGAGCGACTGTTCGAGCGGCAGAGACAAAGGCCAATCCCAGCTAGGGTACCCACACATTGCCCTCCAGCGAGCGAGGCCCGCGATTTACCTCTCCGCGAACATCTTCTACTCGGCATGCCCTTCCCTACCACCTCGCTCCCTCCCTCTCCACCGTCTGTCTCTCCTGTGCCTGACAGCCCAAACCTCGCCACCAACGCCCTCTCTCCCGAGCCCTCGCTCTCCCCCGCCGCCGCTGCTGCTACTGCATCACCAACACCGCACGACGACGGCCACAGAGACACCCGCGACCACCAGCCCATTGCACCTGCCTCTGCTCCTGCAGACGCTCTTTCCCGCCCCTTCTCAGTAGCCAGGAGCGACCGGCCCCCGCCTTCCTCGTCCTCGTCCTCGTCCCGCTCCATCAACCACGCCCGCCGCTACACCCTCTCGCGCTTTCCTCTGCTGCGCAAAGGCAGCCGCGAACTAGCCCGCTCGCCCTCCAGCTCCTCCGCCTCAAAGAGCCCCGCAGACTCGCTCTTTCACCCTACCGGCGCCCCACGCCCCTCTCAGTCCATTGCTCGTGGGCCTGAACTTGCAGCCGCCCGAGAGCCTGCTCCTAGCACTCACCGCGACGGCGACGTCATTCCCCAAGAGGCGACAAACACATCACGCCAGTCATTGAGACTGAGAGCACAGAGACCCGACAAGATGCATCAAACAAGTTCACGCCTGCTCCGCATGACGGACGATGAGCGGCCATACACAAGAGTGAGTTCCATAGTCTATTATTACTGTTGATCCTCTCGGTCGCTGTTTTTTGCCGAGCTCACCACGTGGCTCGCCCACGTGGGCTGGCGCCAAAGTTAACATCTTGGTCCGCCAAAGTCAAAAATAAAGGTTCATTCGTACTGAGGAACCCACTGAGCATTTTAGACATTGTCTTCCTCATGGCCAAAATGTATCAGCCGCTCGACTGCGTTGAGCGCTCTTCGCTGCAGCTGCGGGTCTGGTGAAGCGAGCGATGTGCTGTCAGAACCATAACGGCCTGTCTGTCGCTTTCTCTCGATTCACGGCTCGCCTTGTTTCGACCGAACTGCCCAACATTGAGCAGCTGTGCCTTCTTCAGCCTTGTTGGATTGCAAGTAACTCGAAAACTCAACTAACGCACAACACAGGATTTTAAAGATCTTTTTGCAACATTAATGGTCTCGCTTCCCCTCACCGCTCACCGAGTGCGCTTCAGGATGATCGATTACACCTTCACATCAGATGAAGCAATCACCAACCTTGGATCCCTCAAATTCTCCCAATCCAACCGCATGCCCGACCCCAAGGACTCATCACGTGTCGTCACTACAACCACTACCACCACCTTCTCCATGGCTAAGGAGATGGCTCGCTCAGTCTGCCAGAGATTCCTCGAAGCAAAGTTCATCGAGTCGGTAGAAGGCAAAACTGACTTCATGAACAAGAGCTCCGTCTGGCAACTTACACCCAAGGGTATTCACATTCTCGAACGATTCTGCACGCGCAACGGTATTGCTTCAGCGCATGTCCGGGCTGTAATTGAATCCAACAGGAACCCACGCCAACTCGTCGTCCTCGAGCGCAACACAGAAACCGACAAGCTGCACCACGACGAGCAGACTGTCGAGATCATCTTCCGCCGCTTCGTTGGTACCACTGCAAACGAGACTCAGTCAGACTCTGATTCGATACATGAGTTCTCAAAGTGCGACATTGGCGTCAAGCTGGTAAAGCATCGGCCAAACTCGCAGCGTCAGTACGAGTACACATTCAACGGCCGCAATGCCGCACAGTGGCTGATGGACTGCTCCACCATGGTTGACCCCCGCGAGGCTGTTGAGGTTGGATCACTGTTCTTGCAGCTCAAGCTCATTGCTCCTGTCGACCCCCGCAACTCGGATCAGCAATTCCAGCCATCAAAGCAAGTCCATTACTTCATCACTAACCACGGCGAGCGTGTAGCAGGATGGCTCCTCGAGGAGGTACCATCAGGTGGAGATATGGCAGTCAAGTCGAGAGATGGTCTCACTCGTGACTCTAACAGCAACCGCACCAACGTCATCATTCGCAATCCATCCTGGCGCCTTCTATACCGCGAGTTCCTCAAGGAGACCATGTGCGAGGAAAACCTTTCCTTCTTCCTCGAGGTCCAGCAGTTCAACAAGCAGTACAAGGATGCTGTCAACGAAAAGGGAGAAAACAAGGTCGAGGTCATCCGTGAAACGCTCGCTGCTGCTTATGGTGAGTTTGAGAATTCCTATTTTATGACCATGCATTAACCATCCACAGGCTTGTACAATGCATTCTTAGCGCCTGGCTCACCCAACGAGCTGAACATTGATCACAGCCTTCGTACGCAGCTAGCCACTCGCATGACACGTGCCGTTGGAGACGATGCCGCTATGTTGCAGAGTCTAAACGAAGTTGCCTCGCTTTTTGACAAGGCACAACAATCCATTTTCAAGCTCATGTCCAGTGTAAGTGTCTTTTGTACTTGCCGTCTTCTCAGCCCACAGCTAATCTCGATCAGGACTCGGTACCCAAGTTCATCAAGCACCCTAAATATGCTCCTCAGCTACGTGGTCTAGACGCTGCCGCTGCCGCCTCAGCGTAACCGAACTTGTCCTGATCCATTAAATACTATCCGGCTCACCGGCTCATCCTGAGTGGTTTTATTCTTCCTCCGACACCCTTTTTGTCGATCATCGCATCGCTTCTCCTACTCCATGCATCCAGTCGCAGACTGTGGCGTTCCGTGGGCTTCTAGGCCAAAACAAAAAAACGTTAGCATAGGGTGGCTGTTTGTAAGATTGCCTTCTTGTCTTTTTTTTTTATCATTACTTTATTTTCGGCTTTTCTTCTCCGGTTCGATTACAATAGGGTTGCTATCTGCGATCCATGTCTTTTCATGTTTGCAAGCTACGCTGAGAGTTTTTGTTCCCTTCCAGTGGACGCTGAAATAGCGATCAAGACATTGAGATTGCTCAACGCTACTGGTTGGTCTATTGGCTTTCCTTCCTTCCTTCGGTCGCCCTCGCCTTGTTTGCATACAAGCGAGTCCACCCGACGACGATCGGCACATTTGGATGATGTAACTAGTATATCCTTCACAGCCCCCGGACATTGCACCCTTCACACCCGGGCAAACATGTGGTTAACGCCCTGCATTGGATTGCGGTATATGGGTGGGGGTGCATACGGGACGCAGGAAACAGGGACTGCAGGAATGATGGACGGTTTGAACAGCACTACTGTACCCTAATTGGGGGTTTTTCAAGATACCCTGTCTGACTCTATAGAAGAACTCATGATGATATTTTCCCAACGCGCTCACTTACATCGTGTTACCAAGGGTAGTCCTTGCTGTCGAGTTCTAGCGCTCTTTGATTAGTGTATCATGGCACGCGATCAGTCACATCCATATGCACCTCGAGCCCCTCAAACTTTACTCCGGAAATCTCTCCATCAATCTCGCGTGGCGTGGCATTTGGCGTGGCCCTGAGCCCTGCCAATGCTCGGTACATTCGGCCTACTTCTTTACATGCATCTTGTCACAAGTCCATGGGCAGTAGTCAACGTCACTGCTCCGCGAGTGCCCGGGTCCTGACTCGTATACGTAGATAGCATATCACAATACTATACCATATAGTAGTAAGTATATACGCGTCTGCTTCTGTCGGGCTTGTGCATCGCCCCGAAAGCGTCTTCTGTGGGGCCGTTTGTTTTTGGTGATATAGGGTCTCTGATGGGGGGGAGGGACCAGACTCCGCGATGTATGGTTGGCGCGGATTTGCCCGGACCCATGGGATCGACCTCGGCATGCACTGGTCAGGTAAAGGCAATGGGAAAACGTGGGTTTTTGGGGAATGTCTTGCCGTGCGGAGATTTGAGTTACCAGAAGGAGGGAAAGAGGGTTGTGCGCCGTGAAAGGGTTGCGACGAGGCCGATAACGTTTTGCCACGATTAAAAGACAGATGACCCTTTTGACGATCGATTGCGAGCATTGCTCATCGTAAAGGAATATTATCTTTTCATTTCAATAAAACACACCAGGTTTTTTTTGCGGGGGTTTTTTTTCGGGTACTTCGGGCTCGTATTTACGTGCCTGTAGTAGTGAAACTGCCACAACATCGCGATTACTTATCACATGTCGTCGAGAGAAGGGCTGAGTCTCCGATCTGCGCTCCCCCCCCTACCATCGTCGCCCAACGCTTCCACTTGCCGAATTCGGTGGGCTCGATGTTTTCCCCGTTCCCCGAGCCATATCCACAGCTGAACCCGATCTATTACATGGATGACCAAACGTCGAGTCGTACGACATTTGCTCAATTCTGAGATGGATCTACACTCTTCACCGGCGGGTACAAACATCCATGGTACATACACACGTCTGCTGACTGTGGAAAAAAACACCCGAGACCCCTCCTTCCTCATCGCTACACGCTGTTAGTAAGATTTAGGGTTTTCCAGACACGGTTCATCAGACCGAAGCGTGTGTAACACATGCATGCACCTGGATCCTTGGAGGCTCAACCGTACGAGGTTACCTTGTGCGTACGGCATTGTTAAAGGATCAAGGGGGAGGGAGGGAAGGGGAGTGGGGCCCAATTGTACCGCATAAAAAAATTGCTCAGAAAGGGTGAGTAAGGAAAAAATTGAGTTTTGGCTGCCACATGGTGACCTTTGGGGAGAGGGGGGGTGGCGAGAAGAATCTTTTTTGTTGGTTACAGCCCCGGAAGTTTGGGAGCGAAAAAAAAGCGGGTGAGAGGGCATTAAACAACGGTTTAGTGTAAGCCCTGCGAATGGAACTCGGAGGTTTTGCCGTGCTGAGCAGTTGGAATGTCCGTGTTTGTCATGCGAGAGGCGGCCACGGACTTGTTTCCGAAGTACCACACGGCCTAGTACGTAAGTACTACGTCCGTAAGTTTAAAGTACTAGTTACACCGGAAGTGGTGAACAGTCCACTCCCCACCAAGAGAACTTGGGAAGATACATAGTAAAGTATGCAGGTTGTCGCTACTAGTAACCGGCAGATCATGAGTTCGATGGCTACATACCATTCTTAGATCCTTACTACTAAAGTATTTTGTAGACGATCGGCCAAGGGACAGCCCTGTTTGCCGCGTCATTTTGCACGCTTCGGACGGAGACGTGTCCTGCTTACAGGATATTCATACTTGTTCTAAGCGCCTTCTCTGAGTATGACTCCATTACTTGTCGTGTCTATCTTATCACAATCGCTATGTCTCAGTCACGACGGAGTTGTTGCACACTCGCCAATAATACCAGTCAACCTTTCGCTTGATGGCGATCAACAGGGTCTTGACCGAATACGCGAGCCCATGCACGTACCGAAAGTGCACTTGTGACAGTACATACATAGAGAGCTATGTACATGCATACGGGATGTGCTTAGATGTTGTGACTACCGGCACATGTTTCGTACATAGAGACACTGAAAATGATAACCAGACTATTCTGTACATAGAGAAAGCAATCTTTACTACAAAACATCTGCACCACCGCAATATGATTTTCAATACAATTAGGATGCATAGATACAATCACTCTACATTGACAACAACAAAGTGAAAGGACAAGCACAATAATATTGGTGGTGTTGGGCGATCGTATCTCCAACTTTATCGGACGCCGGAGAGACTCAATCCATCAATCGGAGATAAATATTCGGTTGTCAGCGGGAGCTACTCTAGGTACAGTGTAATTCTTACTCTTTCTATACCCCAATCTGCAATACCCCCTTGCTAGTGGCCAATACACAAACCTTTGGCCTACCGCCATAATAAATTCTCTTGTGCCCTTGCCATAGGAGAGCAGCAACAGCGTCTACGTCTCCTTTGGTTAGTTCAGACCACACACACACACACACACACACATCACCTTTGAACAGCTGTGCTCAGTCTTATGTCTGTCACTACGGCGGCTTGTCTTTCTTTGTCAGTTGTTACTTCTTAGGTTATTTGGATCATCTATTGTCACACATTCCATCCACTTGCACGTGTGCCTCGTCCACTATGGCCTGAAGTTTCCCGAACATGGACGAGGTTATATATTTGCTGCCTGAAACCATGAACATGATGCTAACAGATGACTAGTAAGCATTTTAATTGACATATCCTGAAGAGCCAACCCTCTTTCGTAGCCCAGTCTAGCTCGAGTCTTACTTTGATTGAAGTTGTGCCGCATGCTTCGAGGCGACCTGGAAGTCGCATAGAATGAACTTCGTAAGAAAAAAAAAATACTGTCTACTTATACGCATTGCTCTAGAGGAAGTGAGTTGCGCTAATGCAAGCGTAATCCCTCTTATCCACTCTTCGTATAGTCCTCGGCCAGAAGACCGACTGGTAAGCCATTATCATAGTAAATATCTGTGAAACAATGACCGCTAACACTGCATCTCCGCTGCAGGTATCATATCTTTACTCCTATTCGTCTCGGCCAAAACAGCCGATCTCTCCAGCGAAACAAACGAGGAGAAATATACAAAGCACCGCAAGTATTGTTTTCGCCAGCCTATCAAATGAGCAGTTTGTCCTGAGAAACGAAACTGCAGTTGACGAATGCACCACGCTATTCACAAAACAACTAAAGAGAGCTCACTGCAAAGAAAGAAGCCAGATCAATCTATGCGAGTTGGATCAATTTTCTACGCCCACGACGTCCTTGGCTCCCGTCTTCTTCGGCCGCCCCTTTTGGCCACCTCGAGACCGGAGCCGACCGCATCGAGCCATGGAACTCCGTGCTCTTACCGTCTGATGAAGAACCCGCGCTGCATACAACCTCACAGTCCAGGAAATTAAGTCGCAGGAATACGTCCTCAGCACCTCCGGTTCACTTACAATGAAACGGTAAAGCATCTCCTGTACATTGGTGTGTGTGTGTGTGTGTGTGTGTATCAAAGAGGCTTTGCGCCCGTTTCCCATTGTAAGCTTTAAATTTACCTCGTGTCTCACCGTCGTAGGGTATCGTAATGAAGAGTCAGCATATCCCCGCGGGCTACGTTGTCAGAGTCAATCCGCATATGATTCAGTACAACCCCGAGTTTTTTTTGGCGACGATGCAGCAGAGTTCCGACCGGAGCGGTGAGTTGAGAGCCAGGCTAGCAATTTTGAGATGGAGAAGAATTTGCTTTCATTTGGTGCGGGCACGAGGACTTGTGTTGATAAGAATGTAAGTTGGGATCACCTTTTTGCTTTTCCGTACAAGTGGTTGGGAGAAAATAGATTCTTGGCATTGATATGTGCTGACTTCCTGTGTGAAATTTTAGATTGTATTGGTAGAGATGTACAAATTTGTTCCAGAGGTGCTGCGCAATTCTGAAATATACATAGCACATGGTCTTTTGAAGATGTGGAATGCAGGGTTCATAAGGCAGAACGGCCTTACAACGCGGATTGCAGAAGGCGTTTGAGAAATGATGTTTTTGTTATTGAAATATGATTGTAGTTTTCTTTGTTATAGGACTGTGCAAGAAATGCGTGGACTATAGGGATATGGATGTGAGACGTGCTGGGTCGAGTGATGCGATCTTTGCTACCCCAGACTTGACATGGATTGTCATTTCAGGTGCTGCTCATGACATCAGCCGAATGTGTAGGCTTGACGTCGCTTCCACTCGTAGCCGTACCATTGTTACGCTTCCAGAGGCGGAGTATCAGCATAGCAAGTCTGCATCATCCTTTCAGGATACCTTGTACCAGCAACCTCTGCCTCATCGCACGCCTGTCGGATAGCTTTCTCCTCCTCCTCAGTCAGCTGCACTTTGACACTTCCCACGTTCTCTTCCAGTCTTTTTGGGTTCGTAGTGCCTGGAATGGGGAAGATATCGTCACCCTGTGCCATGAGCCATGCCAGTGTCAGCTGTCCTGGTGTAACACTCTTTGCCTTTGCAATATCCACGATGCGATCGACAATTTTCAGGTTCTTTGGGAAGTTCTCCTTGCTGAATCGAGGCATCATGCGGCGAAAGTCAGTCTCATCGAAATCATCGGGGCTCTTGACAGCGCCGGTCAACATTCCACGGTTTAGTGGCGAGTAGGCAACCACGGCGACGCCCAGCTCGCGGCATGTCTTGAGTAGATTGGTCTGCTCGTTTTCGATCTCGAGGGAAAAGGGCGAGTACTCGACTTGCACGGCAGCGATTGGATGGACTTTGTGTGCCCTTCGCAAGGTGTCTGAGCTGACTTCAGAAAGTCCGAGATACTTCACTTTTCCGGAGCTCACAAGGTCGGCCATGGCCTTGACAGTAAGTTCAATGGGTGTCTTCTGATCCACGCGGTGACAGTAGTAGAGATCGACGTATGGAGTATCCAGGCGCTCCAGTGATTTCTCAATGGCAACCTTGACATACTCTGGGGAAGAGTCAAGTGCAGGGCCATCTTTGACGCCGAATTTGGTGGCAAGGAATATGTCTGCGCGCTTGGATGGGTTGGCTTTGAACCATTTTCCGATCAAGGGTTCGTTATCACCGTACCTGGAAGTGATGTTAGCACTTGTAGATCGGGGACGATGGAAAGCTTTGCAGTAGACTCACAAGTCAGAACTGTCCCAGAAACGTTCTCCTAGTTCATAAGCATGATCGAGGAGAGCTAGGCGTTCGTTGTCTGGTTTTGGTGGCCCGTATGCCATGGATAGTCCCATCAGGCCAAATCCCAGCCGATTAACCTGGGGACCATTGCGACCGAGCGGAGCGGTGGGAAGAGACATTGTGAATAGTATGGAGCTTTCTTTGAGCAGATGTTGTTGATGCGTGCTTTGGATATTGTTTGTCCTGTGACGACACGACTCCTTGGTCGATATATACGTCCTTTTCTTAGCGCAAGAATGTAGTATTGTGCGGCCAAATTTCCTCAGTCAAACAGTAGCACAACAGGGTCTGAGTGGGAGAGCGGACGAAATTAGGTATATTGCGTCTGTAGGTGGACAGCGTTTGACGGACCTAACAGCGTCTTGGCAAGGATGTTGCGTTAAGTCCGTAACACAGCCCCGCCTTCCATGAGCTCATAGTATGTACTCCGCAACACGTCAGTGAAGAAACAGGGCCGGCATGTTATTGCCTAGTAAATGGGCCGCCTTCTAGGGCAATGTGACTATTCATTGGCCACGTGTGTTATTGAAAAATCCCGACGCATTGGCATCAGCGTACTTACGACTGGGGGAAACGGAGATAGGAGTTCCGACAAGTGATGATTTTCTGTTCGTATCTCACAAGAAAATCGGTCGTATGAGTACAAAAATCGGATGCGCTCAATTACACAATAATGAACTTGTGCAACTTGTGATACATAGTCATGCTGGTGTCGAATTTGGAAGGACGGTTGCTCGAGAGTGCTGATACGCCTTGTAGCGGGTGATTCGATACTAGTAAGCGAGTTAGCGTCCGTCAAACTTCATATCAACTGTCCCGCTAGAACATGGTGATAAGCATTTGTAATACTGCCGTCACGTTACAGAGATTCGACATCCACACTACAGATGCCGTTGCTCATACACTAACAACATATTGCATTGACATCTAGCAGCTCATCATGACTGCCGACATACGCGACCTCAAACCCCTCAATATTCGGCCTGTCCAACATCAAGTACGAGACCCACCAGAAGCCGATCCGTTTGCCTTCGACCATCATGATGACAAGATACATGTCCTTTTGTGTGCTTCAGGATCGGTAGCGACCATCAAAATACCAAACATAATCAACGCGCTTGCAAAGCACACCAACATACAAATACGGCTTATATTCACGGCTGCCGCGACAAACTTCCTGCAGGGCCAAAGCGGCGAACAACCCTCACTAGAGGATATAGAGGCCCTGCCGAATGTACATGGAATATACTTTGACGAGGACGAGTGGAGAGAGCCATGGGTGCGCGGCAACAAGATCTTACACATTGAGCTACGACGATGGGCCGACATAATGGTCATTGCCCCCTTGAGTGCCAATGAACTTGCTAAGATTACCCAAGGCTGGTCGGACAACCTTCTTCTCTCCGTGGTTCGTGCCTGGGACACCACCGGTTTAATTGACCCTGTGAGGAGAATACCGGGCGTGCAGTGGCCGCAGCAAGAGGGGGGTATACAAAAGAAAAGGATACTAGTTGCACCAAGTATGAATACGGCAATGTGGTACCAGCCCATTACAAGCAAACAGGTGCGCATCTTGGAAGAGGAGTGGGGCGTCAAGAATGGAGGCTGGTTTGAAGTGCTGCAGCCAATGGAGAAAGAGTTAGCTTGCGGAGATATAGGAGGCGGTGCGATGAAAGATTGGAGAGAAATCATAGACGTGATTGAGGACAGGTTGGGCCTAGCGGCGCAAACTTAAGAGACGTGACTCTCCAGATAGATTGTCGTCCTCACAAGTCTTGAGAAGGGCATATGGATGCGCCCACAGTCTCCGTATACACCATCACCTCGCAAACACGATAGAATCCAATCTTCCTGTGAAGTTGAGATGCTGGCCTTGTGTGTCGAAGTGCAGCTTTCAGCACGGCGTTGGACAATACCAGGAATAACACGAGACTACTAACCATACAAAGTCGAACATAACGTAGGCAGTTACAATGTGAAGCGTTCATGTGCTGATTTATCATTAAGGAACAAACAGTCACTTTGTTGTGTGGTTCCAATACAGCCAGCAGATAAATTCCTTTGTAGTGTCTCTTGTGTTCTTGTAGTAAGAGCAATGCGCTAGTGCACTGGACAATGAAATCTCATCTTTCACTGTACGGATTGCATGTAGGGCATCAGCTTGATGCACAGGCACTTTGATCGAGTTGCAGCTAGTGAGCCTACAGAATCACATGAACTTTGATATGCCTTCACACATGTTTTGTTTGTGAAATGTTCAGAAAGACCAGTCCAGCGATGGCATTAGTCGTTTCGTCAGCTGCCGTTGTGTGCCCAACGAGCACAAGGCGTTGGGGCGAAGAGTCATGGCTTTGGGGGGCCAGAACATATCCAGCTATGCTTCATTAATCGTACGTTAGTCAAAGATCCATCATCAGCACACTTATTTTGTGGGCTCGAGGCTGAGAATAAGGTGGCTTGGTCTCGGGCTAGTAAGGCATCCTTCTGAGACTGCGGTTGCGATTGGCTTTGCACCCCTCAAAGAATCATACTTCTTTGCTTCAGCCTGGCTGGGGGCCGGAACGCCTCAGGCATGAACCGAAGTACGTAAAATGCTGATATTGTCATACTTGATGTGAGACAAAGGAGCCTTGTTCGACAGGCCGATGAGGCTCTTTGTAGGCTTGGCTAGTCGCAGGTCCAGCACGATACCCGTTGACTTCCACATGAAGCCAAATTCACAAGTAATCGCGCAGTCGGCCTAATACATGAAGGCGCTGTTTAGCGATTTCTCCTGCAGGATGCACGAGATGAGGTGTATTCTCGGTGTCTCGTGCATGTTGTGATACCCTGGAAGCTGAGCAAAATCCCTTGGCATGGCGCCAGCAAGCTCGTGTCTGTGCCGCTACCACGTCGGCGCAGTCCCCAATGACAGCACATTCGAACCAACCCGGCAGCCTCCACACTATTCTTGTTGACTCTCTTTCAACCACGGCATAGGCGGGCGTGACGGGCGCGACCGGTCGGAACAACGGCGCCTCGCATTGCTCGCTTGCCCGATTCCTGTGCCACGCTTGGCGCATGCCTAGTAGCCCTTTATCTCGGAGGGGCGTGAAGAGCTGAAGACATGAGAACAATTCGTGGACCAGCGCTGAGTACAACAGCGCCTTCTTTCGGGAATGAAGCTGACCGACACTTCTGCTTTCCCTCAGGGGAACAAGGGAAGATCGCCGGCGAGTTGATCCAGCAATCGCTATGATGCAATCGCATGTTTGAGCCAAGAGTTGGAAGCAAGATGCGGCGCCCAGCAACAATCTGGGGACAGGGCCCGTACCGCCAAGTGGTATGTGACATGCGCTCCAGACACTGACTGGAGGACAATTCATTTAGAGCGAAGCGAAAGTGGCTGGTGCATGTGGATCCCCCAAGCTGAACAGCGGACGAATAGACTAGCACATCCCATCCCTCCCACGGCATAGTGCGAGAGGCGTCTCCTTGTCAATCTGCACTTTAGGCAGACCGGCAGCCTATCTGGGAAAGAAAAGTAATTTGAGCGGCGTCTTTGCCTTCCTCTATTTTCGTTCAAGGTCAGGCGCCATGCTGCAGCCTTTCAGAGTAGACGTCGATTAAACCTAGAGCCTTTCACAGCCCCAGCGGCCAGTGTCCTTTTATTCACATACTTCTGTTCTTCTGCCCTTCAGCGGCATTCTCTTGGAGTTTAATTATTTGGTTGCTTCGACATTGCCCGATACCCTTCTTTGTTGGACCATCGTCGGCTTCCACCTCCGCACGTCCAATATGCTCAAGGGCGTATTGCTTGTGGCTTCTGCAGCATGGGCTGCAGCTCAATCTTCTTCTGAGCCTTGCGCAATTGTTGCCGCTCAACTGAGTCAAGCTACCAATATCGAGGCACAAGCCGCTTACGAATGTCTCGAATCTGTCCCTGTCGACGTCCAAGGCAATCGCCTTCTCCTCGACGAATTAAAAAACATATGGCAATTTCAGTCAGAACTCGCATGGCTGAAGAACCCAGGAAATGAGTGGGAGTGGGGTCCGTTAGATATTGAGGCGGAACTCGACAACATCAAAAGCAATCTTGACTCGTTTCCGTCCGAGTACGCTGTCCAACTCGCCATTCAGAACATCACCATTCGAACTGGCAACTTCCATTTCAACTACAGACCCGACATACTCCAGGTTTTCAAATTCCTACGTCCCTTCAATGTCGCTTCCATTTCCCAGGATGGTAAATCACTGCCCAAGTTGTACGTTGCCGACGACGTCTTGGCTCTGGCTCAAGGTAGCTCGGATGTCTCTGAGATTTCCAAGCTTAACGGTCAAGACCCCTATGCCTTCCTCCTATCTGTCTCATGGTCGCAGTACATTGATTCAGATGGCTTACTCAACAAAATGGTGGCTAAAGGAGATACGGACAACCCTGGTAGCTTCATGTTACAGAGCAAATACGACGGCAACGGTACAGAAGTCACGTGGGCAAACGGTTCAACAGTCTCTGTTACCAACATTGCCAGATCAGATGAAGACTTTTCGCGTGTTACCGATGGACAATCCTTTTTCGACGCATTCTGTACAGGCCGCCTTTTCGCCCAGCCAGCCACAGCCAGTACGAAATCCTCGACGGGTTCGCCAGAGACAGATAGTCAAGGGCCAAAAAGCCCCACGGGTCTCAGCTATATCATCTCTCCCGGCGCTCCTGAAGACCCTGTTCCCCGTATTCCTACTGGTATTTACCACCTCCGCAACAAGCGCCAGACTATCCCAAGTCCATATGCAGAAGCTATTGTGGAATCACAAAGTCAAGTTGTAGCCGGATACTACCTCAACGGAAACGGCTATGAAGATATCGCTGTGCTTAAGATTATTTCGTTCAGCAACCCCAGCTCTGACATCGACGAGTCGGATTTTAACAACGAATTCCAGGCCGTGGTCGCGAGATTCCTTGAAAGATGCGTAAGCGACAACAAGCAAAAACTCATCATCGACCTGCGTGAAAACGGTGGCGGCAACACCAACCTCCTCTTGGATGTCTTCATGCAGCTTTTCCCTGAAATGGTGCCCTTTTCTGGACAACGGTACCGGGCGACTGAGGCTTTTCTCAAGATCGGCGATGCTGTCAATGAGATTAGGGGTGATCCTTCCAAGGCGAGGACATTTACTCGTTTCACAGGGGGCGATATCGAGAACAGCAACATGTACAGGTACTGGTCTTGGTGGCATTTCCTTAATAGCGATGGAGCCGATTTCAAGGACTGGAATGACTTCAACGGACCTGTGAAACTAAACGGCGACAGCTTTACTTCGACCATGCGATACAACGTAAGTCCATACATTACATAAGTCCGTGATATTTTTTTCTATGCTAACAAAAACACAGTACACAGACGAACTCTCCATCCTCCCCGCAGGTTTCCGTTTTGTAAACGGCACCCGCCCAACCCCCTTCAACGCCTCCAACATCGTTATGTATACCGACGCCCTGTGCGGCTCCTCCTGTGCCTCCTTCCACGAAGAGCTCAAAAACATCGCCGGTGTCAAGGCCGTCACCGTCGGCGGTCGCCCAGAAAACAAGCCCATTCAAACCGTCACCGGCAGCAAAGGCGGTGAAGTCACGCCCCTCTTCTACTGGCAAATGTACGCTGAAGTAGCGCTGAACCTCAGCTCCCTCGCCGATCTCTCCGCATTCTCAGCCACAGACCCTGTACTTTCAGGTATTGCAAACACTCCGCAAATCATGACGCGCGCGGGCGACGAGTCCTCGCGGTTGCAATCGCAAGATCAGATTCGCAAGGGCGATGCGTCTGGTACGCCGCTGCAGTATATCTACGAAGCTAGCGATTGCAAGATTTTCTACACTGCGGAAACGTTCTTCGATCCCGATGCTGCGTGGAAGCAGGCGTGGGATGCGTTCCAGGATGAGGGTAAGTGCGTGGAGGGCAGCACGGGACATAAGAGTTCGTTGTCCGGTGGCTACAAGCCTTACGGCCCTGGTGAGCTGAAGGCGGAGGATCGGCCGCAGAGTAGTGCGGATGATGATAGGCCGGGAAGCGGCAGTAGTCAGAAAGATGCGGCAAGCAGTGTGAGGATTAGTGGGGTGGTGGTGGGTGTTGTGGCGGTGCTTGTTAGCGTTGTGATGATGTAGATTGAGTGACGGGTGCGACGGCATCTTTGTCACTTCTTTTTTAATGAGTAATGCTATTGTTAGTCCTGTTTTATGTAGGGAAATCATATTCCTATTCTGATCTGCATATTGCTTTTAGGTCAGATATGAAACTTCTGCGGTGTTTTTACTTTTCTGTAAGAGACGAAAAGAAACGAGGAACGAAAAGCAATATTTCCTCAACTAGGCTGTGATATTTACAATGATTGATCAAAACAAAATTCCGGTACCCATATCCATTCATCACCACCCACATTACTCATACCATAAAGTCCACCTACCAAAACATTACCATACAAAAATGCTCAAAACACCGCTCTATCATACACTACATAAAATCCCTCGCGCCGTCCCTTTCTTAGTTCGGCCGTAACACCACATCTCCGACGCAAAGCACTACATTCTTGAAGAACCGCCGCCACTCCAGCGGATCCCCACTAGCCTTCACAAACCTGACTTCCCAATACCCCGCGCCCTCATACACAGCCTTCTCAACCACCACATGTCCATTGAGTCCCTGACGCCGCCCATCTGCCATTTTAACGCGTATACTTGCGCTACCGAGCTGCTCTGCTTCTTCGATTTGGAGGGCAGAAAAGGACGGAGCTGGAACGCCAAGACGGTTCAAAGACGCAAGGAGCAAGGGGAGAAGAAGGGACAAAGGACGAGGGGATATAAAGCGGGCCATGGAGTAGGATGGGAGGATGTCGGCAAATTTGCGGGCGGCCTGGGTGAAGGTTAGGGGCACGCCAGGTTGAGAACTGAATTGTGTCATGCTGGGGTCTTGGGATAGGGCATCTTGGGTTGAGGAAGGGAGTTGCGAGAGGAAGGGCGTAGAGCTTATTTCCGGGTGATATATGGCTGCGTGGCCGGTTGTGGTGGGTTGCGAGGCGGACATGCCGTCATGGGTTGCAAGGCGTGGCGGCCGTTCCCAGTCGAAAGGTGTGTCGCCGGAGGGGGTTTCAGGCTGGGTAGAGGAGAGAATGTGGATGGCACTGGAACGACGGGGGTCGTTATCTATGTCAATGTCCATTGCATCACCGTCGTCTTGCGAGAATCCGCGTTGGGACTGGGTAGGTGGCCGTGTGAAATCGATGCGTAGATGGGAAAGCATCTGTGTCGCCAGACCAATCGGATTGGCATTCCGTCCCGAAGGCGTCAGATACGGGTTCTTACGCGTGAACCAAGGATGCGTACGCACTTCGTCCAGGGTAAAGCGCTGTTTTGGATCGACCTTGAGCATGCCTCGAAGCAAGCTGACAATATCAGGCGGAAGCTTAGCCCAAAGCTCATCAGTCGTATGGCCTCCAGTGTCGACATATTCCTTGAACTCTTCCGATCGCATTGTAGGCTCATCCCATGGCGTATTTCCAACAAGAAGAACGAACAGCACAACACCGCAACTCCAAATATCACACATGTTGGCTTCGTATCCCACGTCCAAGACATCCGCCCTCTTGCTTCGTCTCCCGCTGACGATTTCGGGCGCAATATAGGGTGGGGAACCACAAACAGTATTGCAAAGCCGTATTTGTCCATCTTTCTTGAATAGCGCAGCCAGTCCAAAATCGCTCAACTTCAAGTCTCCCTCTGCACTCAGCAGCACATTCTCGGGCTTAATGTCTCTGTGCGCCACACCCATGCTATGCATGTATGCGACGGCACTGACAAGCTGTGAGAAGTACAGATGCGCCACATCCTGACCAACGCCCTCGTCTGCTTCGATCTTGTCAAATAAGTCGCCTCCCTCTGCCAGTTCCATGGCTATCCATGTCCACAGTGCGTCCTCACCGGAGCCCAGGCAATGGATGATGTTATGGTGTTTACCGAGATGCTGATGCAATACAATTTCCATCTTGATCTGCTTCGGAGTGAGGCGGCCGGTGCGCAGGGCATGTTCTTTGTTGATGAACTTGATGGCGATGACGGGTTTCGGGGCATTGTGGGGTACGGCTTTGCGGATCCTAAGGCGGCGTTAGCAGGAAGACTTGACAGCATGAAGGCGGAGACTGACGAGGCGTATGCGCCTTGTCCAATAGTCTTGCTCACGAGGCGAAAGGGTAGATTTGTGGGTAGAGGGGCTGCCTGGCTTCCAGGCGGGGCGGGGCCCATTGTAGTGAGTGTGTTGTGTATAAGAGTTGGGCACTGGTCTGATCAAGGGTAAGTATGATTAAGCGACAGGACCAACGTATCGTCTGAAGTATGCTCGCGGTTCGTGGTGTTCAAAACTCGTCGCTATTCCCCAATCGCTCTCGTCCCTTCAGGCACCAACATCGCGTCACTGCGTGCAAAACACAGCGCACAGACGACAAGCCACGCGACGCGACAACGCCTGTTCACGTGACCAGCAGCGTCGTCACATACCATGTATTTTATCTGCAGGCATCTGTGTCGCAAATGAGTTTTGGTGACTGATTTCAGCAACTGTTTTCGAGTTGTACATACTATACATCTTTGCATCTTGTTACATACATAAGGCAGACTGATAACTTTGGCTGCAGCAATGCGCGCACGCGCTCTTAGTCACGTTGCACAAGACGGAGTACTCGATACCAATTTTCGAGATAGCAGAAGATGATTGGTGGGGATATTGAGTGTCTTTTGTCGCATGTTTATGTACAACAACTAACGGAGGGTTGCCGGACTTTGCCAATTGTGCCACGCTACTATCCCAAGGGTGAACAGTGATGCGTGTAAGCTATGCTCTTGCGGTAGTGCATTGGCTATCTTGTTTCCGATCATAATTCAAATTGCGGGTTGATGTCGTACGACAGCTTCGTAATCGTAGGCATTGATATTTGAAGGAAGGATGCACGTCGTCCGACCATGGGAAAGACCCGCTGCGCCATGGGCTCGTACCATATAGGTATAGCTCTTACCTAGATAGATCTCTCATGGTGCGTTTCGCTTTATCGGGTAACAGCTATACCTAATCAGGATAAAACTACATCATTTACAGATTAGTGCCACAATCATTTCCTCTCAACTTCGAGACATCGACATGTTCTTTCTTAAAAATATAGAGAGAAAAAGGGCATCTGAGAGGACTAGATTTGTATTCCAGGTGAAGACTTGAGAATATGTTTGGGTGACAGAAAATTGAGCCTAATCAGGTATAGTCATGATACAGCGCTGAAATCTCATGGTGCTGCGACTCCCTGGAATCTACGGATTTTGCCAGAAATTGCCTCTTTCGGCAACTGCCCATTCCTGCCATGTCGCGATCCCCAACGCTGACCTCACACCCGAGCCGACTTTCTTCCATATCGACCACCATCCCCGCTCCTGCGCCTAGGAGCAGCCCCGAGCTTCCAGATTGCTTTGGAAACTCCTCACACGCCGAATCGTAGAGGCATTGGCTTTTTGCCTACCCCAGTAAAGACCCCTTAAGCGTTGCGCCCACGAATTGCTGCAACTTAGCCATGGGCTTTACCACCGGCTTCGTACGTACTGTGTCCCTGCGACATCTTCTCGGCTAACCAATGCAGCTTGGAGGCGTCACCCTCACATCCGCAGTCCTGTATCTCACAATATCGCTGCACACACAAAACCGCGCAACGCAAGCTGCCCTGTTACGACAACAGCGCCGGGTGCTTGCCGAGTTCTACGAGCCCAAGAAGCCAGAGCCAGAGCCGACAAGCCGGGAGGCCCCAGTAGGGTTGGCGGAGATGGCAAAAGACCGCTGGAACAGGAGCCTCGAAGAGAGTGTCAAGAAGGTGTACAACACGGACTGGAGGAGAGTGCGCGAGGATGTTGAGGACAGGGCGAGCATCATTTTGCAGAAAATCAGGGACAGTACCAAATGAGCAAACAAACTGCTAGAATGGACCTGATGCATGCTTGGTGCAGGCGTAGGGAGCATGCGCTGCTGCTGCGATACCCTAATTGCACGTGTACAAATATGGGGAGCTTCTTATAATGAACAGCAGGTATAGATTTGTTTGATGAAAAACATCACTACAATGTTCAAAAATTCGTGCAGGCAGGCCTTGTATGTGAGGTTACCTGTGGCTCCATTCTCACTTCTCAGTTCCGCACTCACCTTCCCCGCTTCGTTCACTGCTATTGTTCCCTTGCGTTTGCGTAGCAACGCAAGACCGCGCTCTACCTACCTGTCACCTCTCGCTCGGCACCTCTCGCCCATCAAACGCGCCTTCCTTGCATCCAAGATTCTTCATCTCGCAGCGGGTGCCTCGCTTTTGCTACAGTATGGCCTCTCATGGCAAGGTCCTCGACCTCTTCGACGATCGCTATCTTGGACTACAGGACGTCGTTGGTAATGTCGAACCACTTCCCATGCTCGTACCATACGAAAGATACATGCAAAACCCTGTCGTATACAGTATGGATACAAACCATGCCATCTTCCTCGCACTCCTACAAGACTTTACAGAACGGAAGGCAAGGGAGGCGGGCAAAGAACTATGGACTTGGTACGTGCAGTGGAAGGTGAATCAGACTGCAGCTCGCCAACTTTCCGTCAACCCACACTACCTGAAGAAGCCTCGTCTCGACCAAGAACAGCCAAATTTGCCCACTGCGCAGCGATCGCGACAGAGCGCGCCCCCAATCACAGTTCGACCCCGCATCCTAGACCCAGAATTGATGCACGAGGAAGATATGTTGAGGATCCTGGTCGATATAATACAGGTGAACAGTGCTGTGGTGCCTAACTTTATCGAATTCTTGTACCGATGGATCGATTACTACGAGGGAGATGGGAGGGCGCTGAAGGCGGCATTGCATGAAGAGATTCCGAGTTTGTGGGATTTTGAGCACCACCCACTCATGGTCCCAGAAGATATCAAGAAGAAGATAAAGCAAGTAATTGAAGAGAGCAAAGATCCGAAGAACGAAACAGGTGATAAGACACCGACGCATAGCAACACAGAAGAACTTACCCAAAACTCACCTACGAAGAAAATGCGAAACAAACCAGATCTAGCAGCACTAGAACGAAAAGCAGAAGCAAGTGAACGTCTACAATACCGCGAAGTGCACTTTGGCATACAACCACCAAAGCTGAACGAACCTCTGCCACCTTTGATCAACATTCCTCAAGATTCGCAAAAACGCACAAAGTACTACGCTGCTTGCTTCAAGTCACGACAACGCGCCTTTTACATGCTTATGGAAGCTGGAGTCACCCCCCAACAGATCAGAGACTACAATCGATGTCAGAAGGAAAGTGTCAAGGATACTCCCTCAACTGGGGGAGAGGGCCTAAGGAACTACGAGAGAGACGCACAAATGGCGCAGAAAGTTTTTCAGGAGAAGGAACATTATGCAAAGAAGCAGAGGGAAATTGCTATCAGTGACAGGTTGGCTGTTGAGGCTCAAGTTGCTGCAAACGATGCAACGTCTGAAGAAGCATCGGGCGTTCCACTGATTCCTGTGACGCCGTCATACCCTCCTCGTCAGGATATGGCCGCACAGATGTTGCGCAAGATCCAGCAAGCCACAAACAAAACTGACCACAAAATCAACATAGTCCCTCAGCCTCTGGTGGGAATGATGAAAAGCGAGCTCTTCGAACGAGCAAAGGATAGAGAGATGGTATCCAGATATTTAGATGACATTCCCACAGGCCCAGCACAACGCCGTACCATTGTCCGTGAAGAAGAGGAGTATCATACAAGCGCTTCTGAGGATGAGAACATGTCCAACAGCTGCGATTTTGATAATGATGACGATAGTGGCGACGCAAGCGACCGATTGCGCATGGCTTCTGGATCATCACCATCGCCTCCTCCCAATCTTCCACAACTGAACTTGCCGCCGTTACACTCTCCCGACCCTCCTGTGCAAACCAATCAAGCATTTTTTCCTCCTACAGGACAGTCGGATGCTCACCAGCAGGCACATAGCCACGTCGGTTTCCCACCTCCATTGTCCATGCCTCCCACGACTCCTACGCCACATCAGGCAGCCTCAATGCCTTTACCCACCGCAAATTTCACTCCGTACATCGGCGTTTCTCCTTTGCAAGCTTATAATACTGGACCTCAGCATCAGCTGTCTGGGGGCTTTGGGGAATACAATCCTTTCACCATGCAAACACCTGGTGTAGGCACATATCGTCATTCTTTCTCATCTTCCATATTCGATGAGATGATCCAGCCAGATGGCTTTAATAGTTTCGGCGTTCTAGACAACATTGTCTCATACCCACCTAGATATGAGCCCAGACTACCTGCACCTCATCAGCCTCAACATCTCTTATTAGAATATCAGTCTTATAACCAGCAACCATATATACCTGCACCGTATCATGTGCCTTCTTATCCTGTCGCTCCGACCTTACCAAATCCATTTCAACCACCCGCATTTGCACATCAAGATCATGGCAACTACGCACCCGACCGTGGACAATCAAGTGAATCATCTACACTTCCAAACCAACCAGTCTTCAACGATCCCAACAGCAGATTTATAACAAACGGACAGCAACTACCCGCAAACGTACACTCCTACCCTCCTCTCTCTTTCCTTCACCCCCTCTCACCAAGCATCCACCGCACAGCACCCACCCCCATGTCCACCCTCGCCCCCTCACTTCTTGTAACCTCCCCCTTCGCTACCACCCACTCTGAAATCCCCATCCAAATCTATTTCCAGAAAATTGTCTTCCCTGCCAACGCGCTCGGCCCTGGCGGCGCTAAACTCGGCGACGGCGGCGTCCCCGAAACCGATGCATTCCTACTCGGCTACATACGTCCTGGAAGCGGCGAAATCGTGCTGAACAAAGCGATTTTCTTGCCGGTGGGTGTATGGAAAAATGCTACTGCAAGGGTGCGAAATGGGAAGTGTAAAGTTTTGGAGTCGTATCCCATACCGGGAGGCGATGTGGGTAGTTATCCAACGGGTGTAGCGCATCGAGCGGCATATGAGAAGGTGAAACAGGCGTTTGGGTTTATGATTGCGGCGCCAGCAGAGGTTAGGGAGAGGGAGGTTACGAAGAGATGGAGGACGAGCATGGGGCCGATGACGGAGAATGAACGGGGTGCGGTGTGGGAGGGTTGGGGGGTCGAGATAGATCGGCAGGTTAAGATGAGGAAGGAGGAGAGGATGGGTGCGGTGGTGCTTGATTCGATTATTGATGGGACGAAGGCGCGTAATTGGGAGCGGGAGAGGAGACAGAGGGAGATGAAGGAGTTGTTCGTCGACGAGGAGGAGGAGGCAGCGGAAGATGTGAACATGGAAGAATATGTGACGTTTGGGGATGGAGAGTGATGGCTTGATTGTATTTCTGAGGGAATGTGGGCGGGTGTTTAGATACATCGTCCACCGTCTACTTCGAGATTGACTCCTGTAATGAAACCTGCTTCTTTGCTTGCCATGAAGATGCACGCATTCACCACGTCGTCTACCTCACCGATGCGTCCCATGGGTACGTTGGATGTGAACTTTGTCCTATTCTCCGGCGTGTCTTCCATACCAGTGAAAGCGGAGAAGAGGCCCGTACCAGTGACCAAGGGGCAGATGGATACCACACGGATTTGATGTGGACCGTATTCTGCCGCAAGACCTTTTGTTGCCTGCTGCATGTCAAAAGGAATTCATGAGAAGAAAGGAAGTATGAGAAGGTACATTCCAAATAGCGCCTTTACTTGCATTGTACCATACAAGACCTGGTCTTGGCCTTGTAGCACCCACACTCGCTATGTTGATGATTACACCACCTTCGCCTCGCTTAATCGCTTGGTCAATCCAAGCATTGCATCCCAGATACACGCCCTTGACATTGACATCGAAAACCCTGTCGAATTCTTCTTCGGTAACGTCCGAAGTTGGCTTGTTTGTGTACGACCAGCCCGCGTTGTTTACGAGTATGTCGCAACGCCCGAATTTCTCAATGCAGGCTGCTATACTTGCTTTCCAGTCGGCTGACTTCGTCACGTTCATTTGGTGGAAGGCTAGCGAAGAGGGATTTGCAGAACATGTTTCTTGGCCGCCAGCAGCGTTGATATCGCAGACGAGAACTTTGGCGCCTTCAGAGGCCATGCCTTTGGATATCCCGGCGCCGAAACCGGAGCCGCCGCCTAAGAGGTGGTGTTAGTAAGAGTAGTAGGTGATAGAGATGTCTTTTTTACCTGTGACAAGGGCAACCTTGCCGTCTAGTCTGCCCATGGTGACGATTGAGAGTGGTTGTTGGAGGTGAAGTATGGGGAGGAACTCGTGAATCAATCGCAATTAGCAACAACGGATAAGTATCGGATTCAAGAGTCAGGTGCCAGGCAGATGGGACACCAGAGCAGTTGTATTGCAAGAACGGACAGCGCGCCCTCTTCTTTCACTTGTTTTAAACCCCATATCCTGCCTTAGACATCGTATATCCACTAGTTATCACGTTCCGATGACCAATACTCGGAACGACGGTGTTGCAGGAATGAGGGGTAAGGATGATGCCCCGCATAGAGTTAACGTATCGTTCGAGGACCACCGTGGTTCAGACCAATCAGACGCCGTTCTCGCCGAACGTCTCAGTTGGATCTATACTCTTGGCTTACTAGAGGTCCTTGAATAGCCGGGTGCATTAGGCCAGTGACTCGTTCAGTTCCTGTAGTTGGACGGGTCATCTCGGGGACCGGGACGGTCACAACATTGATGCACTTTCCCGCCGGACCGGCCATTCTTACACACTCACCGACACCTTCATATGGCCTCTGCTTAGGATCATTCTTGAAACATTCAGAGTCGTGGTTCTCAATTTTTGAAAAGTATCTTCCGGCGCGAACAGCCTTGAGGCTTCAGTACTCGCAAGCACTTCTTGTAGTCAACGCAATAATGGGCTCGGAAAGCAAATATCAGCTGCCATTCAAGGTCCGAAAGATCTGTCACCATGGTATAGACTGCTCGAACTGACATTCAAAAGCTGAATAATCCAGATCTTCTTCACAACCTCTCTTTTGTGAATGGTGACTGGGTGCAAGCAAAATCAGGCAAGACATTCGAAGTTGTTGGTAGGTCACTAGATTGATGCCCAAGGACCATGTACTGACACCAAGGAAAGACCCTGGAACTGGAAAACCATGGATCGAATGTCCCACAAACGATGCATCTGATGTTGAGAATGCTGTTAAGAGCTCATACGACGCTTTCCAGAAATATAAGAATATCAGCCCTCGACAAAGGTCACAGATGCTGTTCAAGTGGGACGCTCTGATCAAGGAAAACAGGGAAGACATAGCAACCATTCTTGTATACGAGACCGGAAAACCGAGAGCCGAGGCGTATGGCGAGATTGATTATTCCACAGGATTCACGTGGTGGTTCGCTGGAGAGGCTGAACGCATCCAAGGAACTGTCTTTACACCTGCGCTCCCGAATCGACGTGTCTTCACCATCAAACAACCCCTCGGTGTGTCTGTCGCGTTAGTACCTTGGAACTTTCCCATTGCAATGATCTTGAGGAAAGCAGGTGCTGCATTAGCTGCCGGATGCACAATGATTGTCAAGCCTAGTCCAGAAACACCGATTACAGTGCTCACATTGGCATACCTTGCACAGAAGGCTGGTTTCCCCAAGGGAGCACTAAACGTGTTGACCACGGATCTCGATAAGACCCCAGAACTCAGTGAAGCATTATGTCGGCATCCACTCGTAAATAAGGTCACTTTCACGGGTTCGACGCGTGTTGGAAAGCTCGTTGCTAGGATATGTGCAGACAACTTGAAGAAAGTGACATTGGAGCTGGGAGGCAACTGTCCTGTCCTGATCTTTGACGATGCAAACATTGAGCAGGCTATGAGCCAAATCTTCGCCCTGAAATTCCGTCATGCTGGACAGGCTTGCATTACCGCGAATCGTATCTACGTGCAGTCTGGTATTTTCGACGCGTTCCTTCAGCGTTGGAATGCCGAGACTCAAAGGCTTGTAGTTGGCCATGGTGCTGACGAGAAGACGACAATGGGGCCGGTAACGACACCACGAGGGATCGAAAAGGCGCTTGCTCTCGTGGAAGATGCAAAGAATAAAGGTGCTAAAATACACACGGGTGGCAACAAGGTTGAGAAGGACGGTGGTTACTTCTTCGAACCCACAGTCATTTCTGGTGTCACACCTGACATGGATCTTGCTACAGAAGAGGCTTTTGCGCCAATCTGTACATTCATCAAGTTCGACACGGAAGACGAGGCGGTAAAGGCTGCCAATGATACCAGCATGGGCCTTGCCTCATACTGCTTCACGAAGAACGTTGACCGGTTATGGAGGCTGTTTGAGAACTTGGAGGCTGGTATGATTGGACTCAACACGGTATGTTGCATGTTGTTGAACGTCAAAGTTAACTAAATAGGTCACTAATAATATAATAGGGAAATGGATCTGCTGCAGAGTCGCCATTTGGTGGCATAAAACAGAGCGGTTATGGTAAGGAGTCCGGAAAGGATGTCGCAGTGAACGAGTACCTCATCACCAAGACCGGTACCTTCACGTTGGAGGAGCAGTATTAGCCACCGCAAGCATAGTATCGTGCGACGCTTCAAGATGTCTGTCTGGAGCACCGTCTTCGTGTTTGACCCTAGTTAGCTCCCAGAAACAATGATCGTAACTGTGGTTGTCTCTCCGTAGCGTGTAGTGGGCACGTCCCCGACCCGTGCTTTCTCCGCGTTTGACCATGGCCTTGATATATATATGTACCCACCTGCGCCAAAGCCTGCTTACTGGTTACCGCTTTTGATCAAGCGGTACTGCAGGTCATTGTCGTGCACACACCGCACGCCCACACCGCATACTTCACGTGATTGTGTTAGTGCCCGCCTCTGGAGCTTACTGCGGCGCGCTTGTCACGTCGCTGGCTGTCCAGTCTCCAACAACACCTCCGCCCTACGCAATTCCCACATAATCGCAGAGCCCCACTGCACACTCCCGCCATCATGGACGACACAGATATGACAGATGTCGCCTACGACATTGAAATTGATGTTGGACCGAACGTTGAACCCGTAGCGCAACAACAGCCACAGCAAGTTGCTCAGGTGAGCTCAGCAGAACGTCGTAATGCATACGGCGCAATCATCTGACAAGATTCTCTCGTGGCAGAGCAACATAGCAGAAACCGAAGGCAGCATACCTGCAGCTTACCTGGAGGACATTGTGATTCACGAGCCATGGCCCGAGTCGATAAATCTCCAAGGCGTGAGCGACTTCGACCCCAACGACCCATTGTACTGGGCCATGGAGCATTGCCAGTCAGAACCACGCGTCAAGCAACTGCGCTGGGTCAACGACAACTCGGTCAACCTTGAATACTACACAAAGGAAGATGCCGCGCTGGCCTTGAACTTGCTCACGCATCCCGATACCGGTGATACCAGCAACCTTTCTCTGCAGGCGCCTCGCAAGGCAAAGCCATACTCGAAGAAGCCAAACAGCATTCTTTCGGTCAGACAGTCCAATGCTGGAGATCAGAAGCCAAGGGGTGCGGCGACGAGAAGCAACTATTATCAGCGCAATCCAGATGTTGCGGGAAATCGCCAGCGGGAGCCGCGACGAAGGCAACCACCCAAGAAGGACTTTTTAGACTATGGAGACGAAGAGATGGGGTCCCGTGAGCGCAGCAGGAGGAGAGACAGTGGAGACGAGTCCATGGGAGATTCGGGTGTTGACCGAAGGGGCCCGCGGAGAAATGGACGAGACACCCGCGACAATCGCGGTCGAGGCAGAGGAGACCGTCAATCTACTGGCAGGTTCCGAAGCGACAACCAAGGCAAAGACGTCGACTCTTACAGGCCAGGATCGAGAAGGTATCTCTACAAGTATCTGGCGCATCAATCTCTATACTAACAGAAGCCAGTCCCAAAGAACCGCGTTTTGGTCGTCTACGAGGGCGCAGTGCCTCCCCCGCCTCAGACGAAGAAGGCGACGGTCGATTCGGATTCGCAGAGGACGCAACGCACGCAGGCCGCAGCCGGTACCGTAGCCGCAGCCCTGGTCACAACAACCGACGTCGGCGTGAAGCTAGCGCTGACCGATGGACGCATGACCGCGCAAACTACGATCGTGCTGGAGGAACTACAGGCGGAGGCCGATGGCAAAAGGACGCCTTCTTCGTGGACACCTCGCCCATGGGCAATCACCACCGGTCGAATGCAATTGATGTGAAGCGAGGAAGCGGTGCATCATTGCTCTCGCGCATGACAAAGGATGGCCAACCTGTAGCCCCACAGCACAAGCGTTCTCTCGCTGATAGAATCACGCGCGACGATGACGACGACTCGGAAGGAGGATATGGACGATTGAAGAACGATTACCGTGACCCCAACGTCACCGACTTTTCTGAGCCAGCACGGCCTCGTCGCGGTCTTGCAGATCGTATATCCCGCGATACTGACATGAGTATTCGCGGACAGGGACGATCGCACAGCCAAGAAGGCATCAATATTCGTGGTTCTGCTGAGCGTTCCGCGGGTGGAATCAATATACGGGGTGTAGCCAGTGGTGCTTAGAGTAATACCTACTATCACTGTTGGCCGTAGTCTGAATCGTTGTGAAGGATCCTATCTTAGTATGAAGTGGCCGGGCAAGGGCAAGGCAGATTGCTTGTAGCATACATCATCACATTTGCCCTGAGCGTTTATCCTCTATCTGTTTCTTGAACCATTGCGATGGGTGGGCAGCATACCAAAAGAAATACATTTTCATTCCTGTCTGTTCATCATCAAGGGGTCAAAGGCATGGAAAGCTCATCGTCGGGCTGCACAGTTTAATTGAAATTGGCATACACACAGCTGTATACATGCTCAAGTCTATAAGATAGTAGTGTCTGAAAAAGAATGGAAACAATGTCGAGCCCACATAGGGAAACCCCCCCCCCCCCCTCTGGATACCGAGAAACAATTGCTACCGTACAATCTGAATAGCAATGTGCTTTCGCACGCCAAATTTACAGAAAGTTAAAAAACTGCTAGGGCAATTCGAACGTATTCGCTTTAGGAATGCAGGGTTTTGGCAGTTTCTGCATACAGAGATGGCGGTTTATCCACTGTGCATAGCTTTCGTCAAAGCCAACCGCTTGCTGTATGGACTCAGACTGCGCTCCCTGGGAGCTGGTGGAGGCGCTGCCTGCACCGGAGGTGCAGAAGGATACCCCTCGAACCTATTCCTCGCAATTCCACTCGGACTCACACGTCTCCTCCCCCCGTTCCTCGCCTCGCGCGGGCTTCGCGACCGGCGCAGGGCTCTACGCTTCGAAAACGGACTGGGGCTGCGATCGCGACTATCGCGGTAGGGCGAACGTGAACGCGAAGACGGGCGCTTCGCTGATGGAGGAGGCGAGGCTTCCCATCTGGCTCCTGGCGCGGCCCCGTTGGGCGCGGGGTGTCGCTCATCCGAAGTGTCCATGGGATCCGCGCTCCCGGATCGTGACCGCGAAACCGAGTACCGCCGGCCCGGCCGCTTTCTGTCTCGTCTAGTGCTGCGACTGCGGCTACGTGACCGGACGCTACCGCCCATGCTGTGTGGTATCCTGCCTCGAGCAGTCTCAAGGGATGTTTGCATACGTGCTGATCTGGATCTCGACTGTGATCTCGTTCGTCGGCGGCCGCGCTCGTCGGGGCTGAACGAGCTCATGCGTCGTCGGATATTTCTATCGCCCTTGTCTGAGTCTTGTGAGGCGCGCGAGTTGGTTGAGACTGATCGTCTGCTTCGTTTGCGTAGGGCTTTGTCGTCGTGGTCTCGGCGTCTTGCGTCATGGTATTTTCTGCGTGGTGGTGAACGGGATCGTGACCGTGATCGGTTGGTAGATATGGTGGAGACGGAGTCGACAGACGATGTAGAGGGCGAGCGTGCGTGCTTGCGCTCGTCTTCTTTTTTCTTCAGAATCTCGTCGGCGATGCCTTTCTTCCGCACTAGATCCTCTGGTACCTCGGTGGTGAGTTTAGGCTTCAGTTTGGGGTTGAGCAGTTGCTGTGTCCTGGATGGGCGCGACTTGTAAGGGCGCTCCTGGGCAGGGGCTTTACACTCGTAGCTGTAATGTCCACGTTGCAAGCATTTCTGGCAGAGAGTGTCGGCTGAAGCCTTGGAACGGCCAGCACCTGGGCGACGGAACATGGTCGAGTTTGTCGGGCGGCTGCTATGGTGTTTCCGTTGTTGTGTATACTACCAAGGGGAGACGACCGGCAAAGGCAGCACAGTACGCGACTCCTTAGGCGTCAGCACGGCGACGGGCGAAGAAGCAATTAAACGTCGCCAAGTTCAATCTTCTTTCTGTCACTTTCCAGCAAAGGGAACGCGACCAGCCTTGTTCGCGATAGGTAAGGCGCTGATGCGCTTTGACCGGGACATTCGGTGGAGAGCATGACTAAGCGCACCCACCCACTTGCGGCTTCATCATCGCTTCTGTGCCCTTCACACGCCTCGCCCTGCACCCCGCATACCAGCCTGGTCGCCGCACCCCCTACCCGACGCTCTACCCAGCTGCCCACTCGATCCGCCGCACGCATTTCTTGTTGCGTCGTGTCTCCGGGTGCGTAGTCGCTTGCCCGACGCTCCAAGCTGCCCTTGGGATCGCAAGCCTGGCGTCAAGGCTACTTCACCGCAGTCGTCGACGACCACTCCATTCCCACATCTTCCCCCGAATGTCGGCACACCAACATGTCCAGCTTTCTGGCTCCAGTTATCGCGACTTTCCTTGAGCACCTCGTTTCCTGAAAAAAATTCCATCCATTGCTCCGGTCAACACCACCTTCATTTCACTTCCACGACGACCCGTTAACGGCGTTGAGCTTGGTGATTTTTTTTTCTGGCGTGAGGCCCAGGTGTCTGTAGTACCATTGAAACGACCCGGCTGTCACCAAAACCCGCAAACTCGGACTCGCCTTGCTCGCTGTGTTCGAGCATAGACGGCGCACCGCACCTAGGCCATCTGAGATTGCAATTTCCTGCTCCTTTGAGCTAATTACACCAACCGCCGCCAAAAAGAACATGGCGTCTGCGACCCCAGCTCCTACCGAGCAGGCTCCTAGGCCGCTCTCCTTCGCCAAGGTACGTTGTCGGCCAGCGAAAAACACAATGTTTGTTAACACCGTCAGGTTGCGGCTTCCGCAATAAAGCCACAGATGTCGAAAGATTCTGCCCCCAAAGCGAGACCACCTGTTGCGACGCCGCGAGTGCCTGTCATTGCTCAGAAGACACGCACTATTCCTGCAAACGGGGATGCTCCAAAGGTGGCTACGGAGAAGCAAGAAAATAACAATGCAAACAAAAGTGCTGAAAATGTCACTTCGCAGCGAGCGCCACCAATTGACAAAGCAGAAGCTGCGGAAAGACCTCAGTCTGCCGCGGTTGCCAAGGTATCTACTACAGAAGACACTTCTTCTGATGGATCGGGAAAACCCCCCAGTATCGATGGAAAGAGTGTGGCTTCTGCGACGACATTCGCATTGGATGAGAAGGAGTCGTTGCGACCGGATGACAGTGCTAGTCTAAGGGCGGTCGAGGAGGAAGACATCATATCTCCTCCAGATTCAGTCATTGCAGACTCCCGACAGGGATCCGATCATGGTGCTGCGCGCGCCTTCAGGGATCAACTCCAAGAGATAGCTGTGATGAACCCTCAACCTCACCGAGGAGTTCCCCCAGGAAGATTCCCAACTATGCCTATCGGACCCCAGACTTTGTACGATCCAAATCAGTCGTTGAATGGCGCGGGGTCCATGTCTCAGCCTCTGGTGAATGGCATATCTGCACATAATGGCGCACCCAACATGCCTGCCATACCAGACGAGAAGCTACTCGAGGCCCTACGCTCTCCACGCGATCGTTTGTTTGTCGTTAAGATCGAACAGGACTTTATTGATTTCATCAAAGACTCTCGGTAAGCTCATCTTCTCAGTGTGCTACAGTGTATTGTAAACTAACGGGCTTTAGTGAAAACGAGTTGTGTTTGCCTAATTGTAACACTTTCTACAGAATGCTGGCCCATCGTCTTGCAGACTATTATCTACTTGGTCACGTCGTTGATACCACCATGACAGGTGTAAAGATTACGCGCACGCCATATTGTAGAATGTACGTGTTACTCGCATGCCTGGTTGGACATTACGCTAACTAATCACAGTCCGCCGCCTGTGTCGCAAATGGTTGATCCTGCAAAAGGAACTAATACACCTCCTGTGGAGCTTCCTGCTCGCAAGATTATGCGACGCGATGACGGTAAATCTGGAACAAACACTGGAGCTAACTCGCAGAATGCGTCTAAAACGACGTCTGAGATGGGTGGTAGTGAGGGCAGTAACGATGGCGAAGCCCACAAGGACAAAACTGCGCTTTCTCGAGAAGAGCGTGAGGCGCGGTATCGTGAAGCTCGCCAACGCATCTTCGGGAGTGCTGAAAGCGAAGAAACTGATGCTACCGAAGCCAACGGATCAGGAGAAGACAAAGAAAAGGGAAAGGATGTCTCGAGGTCAAGTTCCGTTGCTGGAAAGAAAAAGCCCAAGAAGCAGCGTAACTATGACGACGATGACTTTCAGGCTCGATCCCGATTCAACGTGTACTATCCACAGCAGTATCCCGTTGCTGCGTACGCTGGAGACAATGCTGTCTATTACAACGGCTTCCCAGGGCCTACACAGAACGCTCCCTTTGCAGCTATGAACCCCGGGGCCTCTCCTTCAACAACGTACAGCAACCCGTACCCTGGCATGATGAACCCGGAAGCACAGCAGCAATATGGGTGGAACGGACAGCAGTATCAGCCCTCGAATGGATCGATGATGATGTATCCCGGTTACGGACAAGGGCAGAATGGATACGACTTGTCGGCAGACTTCCAGCGGGGCATGTCTTCGTTTCAGAACGCCGGCATACCGTCCCAAGTGACGCCAAAGATGGCTAACCCACAGATGGCGTCCTACCAAGACAATTATCAGCAGCCTCAACATATGCCTATGAATCCGGGATGGCCGCAAAACAATCAGCAGCCGTCATATCCGATGGCGCAGAACAACTATGGTGCTCCAAATGGACCAGGCAATCGCCCAATGTCTGCACCCCATCAAGCTTCCATGCAGGGCTACCCGTATGGCCAGTTTGCTCCCAATGCATACAATGGAAAGCCGAACCGTAATCAGCATCCTATTCCAGGAAGCTACAACCGTGGACAGTTCAATCCACAGACACAAGCCTTTGTTCCTGGGGGACGCAATATGCCTTTTGGAATGCAGCCCAACATGATGCAGCCACAGCCACAGATGAATGGCTATGGTGGATATCAAATGTCTGCTCAGACTTCTATGCCTGCCCAGATGCCTAGGCACAGTCCATCTGCTACTTCCACACCATCCTTTGGATCGCCTCAAAGCATGCAGGGCAATGCCTCTGCTCCAACCATGAATCGAATTGCATCGCAGCCTGGCGATCCGGGCTCACAGAGCAGCATCGCCAAGTACGGCACGCCCGCACACTTACCTCCGAAGCCCCCTGCGCCCGCACCAGCACCACCATTTGCCCTACCTTCTATGACGCGAGTGCCGTCTTCTGGAATGACCAACAACGCACCCAATATGCCCGCTCGAGGAGGGTAGGCTTCTTTCAACAATAACCGCAACACCCCTAATTGACATTTCATGACATGACCATCAGCATTGCGACGGTGCTACTATCCTGGCTTTTGCATCTTTCCCTCTAACAATGGGTTACGGCAAGGTTGGGCAAAGAGGGGATACGAGGCGTTTTGTGTGATTGTTTTTCGTCGTTCTGATCTGCGGGTGCATTTCGAGGATCATGGGCGTTGTTGTTTTTTAATAAATGAAATTTCGGTTCTTGTATTTGGACTGTGCGAGTGCGGGTAAAAGCAGTCTTTTTTGGGAGGGTCAGTGCGGTGTCGGGGGTAATTAGTGTAGTTTAACAAAATTGAAATACATGGTTGCATAATGTGGAATGATGAGTTGAGGATTTGTGATGTTGGGTTTTGGGGAGGGGTGCTTATTGGGTGATGAGGAGGTAGGCGAACTATGGTTTGCTCCACCAAGAAGTTAAGACAGTGACCAGAGTACTTTACCAGAACAGTGATCGCGGGTCCGTCAGCAAAGATTTGGATATTATCACTGCTGTTCCTACTGGACACTGGTCAGCTACTGACTGGTGAGTTTTGCCGGGCAGGTACTACCGTGTCTTGAACTATGGTTGATGACAGATAGTTACTACAAGAACGATGGGCAATAATAACAGCACCACCATGCCTGTAACTATAACAATCTTATTCTCAGCCCTCCTCTTTTTACTAGTCTTATCGCCTTCATTATTGCAGCTTTAGCCGCATATTACAATCAGTCCCCGGAGGGAGGTTTTGGAGCGAGAAGAGACGCGATTTTTACCATTACCATTCCCCACAATGCCAGACTCGACCGAACTAAAGACAAGCCTCCTGGCCATGCCAGTTATATATCTTCACCGTCCAGACCCCGAGTACGTGTCTCCCTTTTTC